AGAACCAAATCCGTGGTCATTATCCAGATGTCTGTTCAATAACTTCAATGATTTCATCTTTAAATCACATACTGGACAATGTACAAATTCTTGTTCATCATCCCTACTTTCAGCAGTTAGTTCTGGAGTTAAATTAGCATCGGAAACAAACATTATAGCATCATAACATATAACTACTAAAACAACTCTTGGTAAAGACTACTAATACTGTTTATTACTATCCTATCATCGACTTATTAAGTCTTAAAGAAGTTTTCATTTATTGCTTTATCTCCTTTTATATTTGACTTAGATATGCTCCACGCGGTGTTATTTGATATCATATAGAATAAAATACTGATGGACACACACAATTGTATGGGACAAAGAGGTGAAATTGACAGTAATGCATACTATTTTATCACAACAACTTTGAACTTGAAGATTGTAAATTTTTAAATAATGAATTTTTTATTTGATCGTTTTTAATTAAATTAATAATCTATAGATGAAGTTAACTATGCTGCCAGTTTGAAGAATATGTTCAAACGCAAATTAAAAAAAATAATACACATTATATCTATGTTATATAGATTGGGAGGATATTTTGGTATATTGTATCAATATTATCTATTCTCTCCTCTCTCCTTCCTTATATTAAATGAGTGAAAGATGATGGTATATCAAAATATGATCTTTGGAAGGTCAAATGCACCTGTTTGAGTGGTAGTCATTAAAGGTGGTCTCTCTACAACTACCAATTCATTACTAGAGATAAAATCAGTGAATAAAATCGGTCTATACTTATCTGTAATGAAAAATGCTTGAGCATTGGTTTTTGTTTTGCTATCGCTATTTGTTCTGAAATTGTTTAGACTTGATGTTAAGACGTCCAATGATTCTGTTACTTCTAAATCATTATCTTCATCTTCTTCACCATCATTCAAGAAATTACTGTCGTCAGTAATAGTCAAGCCATCACGGTTATGCTTCTTAGGCTTCTTTCTTGTATTTGCTGGCAAATCTACCTTCAAATCTACTCTTGCTAACCAATTAGAACCCCATAACCAAACATTATCAAAATCTTCATCTTTGAAAAAGATTCCAACACATCTGTCTTGTAAACTCTGGAACTGTCTTGGTAAATTTTCACTGTTTTTCTTTGACCATTCTGAGAGTATGCTACCTGAAATTGATTCTTGGTTGAAACCAATATTGAATTCTAGTATTTTGTTTTCAGCTGTAACAACAATGATAGAATTTCTATGCAAATTCAATGATAATGCAGTTATGAATGTCATTAGGTTGGCTAAAACAAATGACTCTTTTGTCTCTAGGTTAGCCAACACGATAGTACCACAACAGTAGGACAAAGCAACCAAGTTACCTTCTACAGCTAAATGGTTAATGTTATTGATATAACGAATCTTAGAACTACTCTTTGTTTCTTGGATTTCAGGAAGGTCTATTTCTATCTTCTTTTCATCTTCATCATCTTCCAGATCTAACATAAATAATTCCCCATCAGTGGAGCATGCAATAATTTTAGAGTCATCAATAAATTTGACATGAGAGGTACCAGTCTTTAATAATAGATCATTATCTAGCTTTGTAACCTTTAATTTAGAGTCCGTTGGTTGTAAATGAAATACCTTCGTGGTTGATGGTCTGCTAACTACAAGAACTGTACCATCTGGTGACATTGAGCAGGTGGAAATGTTTTGTTCATCTTTTAAAGTTAGCTTACATACCAGTTTGTAATTTTGATCAGAACTTAAATCATCACCTAGTTTCCATATCTTGACTACTGATTCATACCAACTAACCAATAATCTCTGGTTCCTATTTATTAACAAATTTTTAGAGAATGGTACAACTGTAGGCATTTTCATATATAGACCATCTGTGAATGATGATAATGAACTGATAACCAGTCTTTTCTCTACACCACCGGAAACTAAGAAATCAGCACCGTTTGATTGGTAAGAACACATAGCTCTGACGTCATTAGCATGCAATAATCTATTACAAGAGACAACCCACTTATTTGAATTATCTTTATTAGCTTTTGAAGCGGATTTAGTAAATTGATAAATCTTTCTATCAACACCGGCACTGAAAATACTAGAACCCATACAATCTGTGGTCAAACATAATACGTCAGCATCATGGACTTTAAAAGATTGATTTAAGGTAGCATAATGGAAATTCCAAAATTTAACAGAACCAGTAGAGTCCCCAGATACAATTTGATTGGAAGCAGGTAAATACAATACAGACCATACCAGAGTAGATTCCTTCTTTGCTTTATCAACTTTCATTGTATGTAGCAATCTGCCTCTGACTTCCTCACTTTCCTTTTGAAGGTTCCATACTCTAATTCTACCATCTGAACAACCACCAATTACGAAATCGTCTCTATTCCAAGCCAGACTCAAAACTCTAGCTTCTTGTCTCATCAGAACACAGTCGTATTCCAAAGAACCAGGACCTCCAGAAACATCAATTATCACCACAGTACCATTGTCACAACCCAAGGAAATTTTTGATTGAGATTGATTAATTGCAATGGACCAGATCACACCAGCATTACAATCATAATTTTTCAACGGTAAGCCAGTGGATAAATCCCATTCGGTAACCACAGTAGAGCCACCAATAGAGAACAATCTTAATGGTTCACCGGAGACATTACACCAGCATAAACCTTCAATGGATCTATCTTTACCACCTTGAATCACAAATTCCTGAACCCATCTGTTCCTAGGATTCCATATTTCAATATCACCGTTGCCTCTACCAACAGCCAGTCTCAAATCAGAGGGAGTCTTCCTATTCACATCGGATTTATGAGAAAAGGCAAGAGCAGTGATATTAGCTGTACTGAAGTTAACAAATCTAGAGCGATGGACAGCTGTATTGGTTTCACCAGTCATCTCAAAGAATGTCTAATTGTAAAAACAGTGTCTAACTAAAAAAAATAGAAAACTGGACAAAAATAGAGAATTTCACACAATTCACAATAATTAGACCTTTCCCACAAAACTCCACTAGAGATTACCCTTAAGCTCTAGATAAAAATGATGGTAATACGTCTCCTTTATTGAATATTAACCAATTTAAACGTATAAGTTAGCTATAGTTAAGTATACTTTCTTATAACAAATTTGGCGATGAGCTTAAAAATTTTTCAAAAATCATCAAATTTTCCAAAAACTTCATATCAAAAAGTGTCACGTGTACGAACTCAATCACGTGAGTAGTTTAGAAAACACGTGATACGTATTTTACCCGGCTTTGTATTAGATCTGTTATTTTTTTGGTTTTTGAGATCATGTGACAACAAGAGTATTGGTAGTTTTTAAAAAAGAGACTAAAAATTGTCCATATATGTGTGTTAGAGGTAAGATTCTGTGAAATAAACTGGAAATTACCAACTAAACAGTACTTGTTTGATAAGATTCACAACTCGAATGGTCTCGATACGAAGTGTTTCTGCTGAGATCTTGCTATTGTTTGTTCTTTTCTTCATATTTTGTTGATAGTCAACTCCGTACACCGCACTGCATACAGAGACGCGATGAGTTGAAACCTAACAAAATCTATTGTTTACCTATTCGAAATTGATCTCTTAACAGAAACTTAAACAATATATAGAGATATATATGTCAAGATTAGGAGCAGATGCCATTGATCTAGGGGGTAATTGGTTACGGTAGATGGTAGCTTAAATTCCCAGGTATAGTATAAAAGAAAGTATATCAAACTGTTGAGATCAAGACTAAGCTTCAGAATCAGTTTTTGTGGGGATAAGAGCTGGAAAAGTAACAATGGCCAGTCAAGAAGGAAGAGATGTTGATCTAGAAGACACTGAAAATTCCAAGATCTTCTATGCAGTAGCCGATGTTTTTCAAAAGGCACAGTCTAGTTATGCTGGTCATCGAAAACATGTTGCAGTGTTGAAGAAGATTCAAAGCAAAGCCGTTGCTCAAGGATATGAAGATGCGTTTAATTTCTGGTTTAATAAGTTAGTGACTAAGATTTTACCTCTGAAGAAAAACGAAGTTGCTGGTGATCGAATCGTTAGGATAGTCGCTGCCTTTATTGCTTCTTTGGATAGAGATATCGAAGAAGCCACTAAGGAGAACTCAGAAACCGTGATTCACCAACAACAGGTATTTGCAAAATTTGTTGACTTATTCATGAGACATATCTTAAGAGGTGTCGAGAGTAAAGAAAGAAATGTTCGATACCGTGTGCTGCAGTTGCTAGCGGTAATTATGGATAATATTGGTGAAATTGACGAAGAATTGTATAACCTTCTTATGTGGTCTTTAAATAAAAGAATTTATGATAAGGAACCTAACGTAAGAATGCAGGCGGTATTCTGTTTAACAAAATTTCAAGAAGAAGATATCCCATCGGTAGAGACAGAACATCCTGTTATTGATGATGCTACACACAAATTAATGACAATAATACAAAATGATTCTTCCGCAGAGGTCCGCCGTGCTGCTCTTTTAAATCTAGTTAATAATCCTTTGACCAGATCACATATTCTAGAGAGAGCAAGAGACACAAATCAAGTTAATAGAAGATTGGTTTACACCAGGATACTAAAATCAATGGGTAAAGAAGTATTCGAAAAAATTGATTCAAGGATTTTGGATCAATTAATTAAATGGGGATTAGAAGATAGAGAAGAATCCGTAAGAAAAGCTTGTTTGAGATTGATATCTTATGACTGGTTGAATATGTTAAATGGCGATTTGATAGAGTTGATAGAAAAACTCAATGTTGCCAAATCAACTATTGCAGACAAAGCAATGGAATCGTTATTTAATACTAGAACGGACATCATTTCTAAGATTAAGTTTACTCCAGAAATGTGGAAAGAGTTAACCGTTGAAATTGCATTCTTACTGCGATGTTTTTACAAACATTGCATCTCTAATAACTTGACAGAAGTATTGGAGGAGAACTTCCCAGAAGCATCAAAATTATCATCAATATTGAATTATTATATTAAAAAAAGATTTCATGCAGAAAATTTGTCAAATTTGGAAAAAAGTCATCTTGACTTCATTGTTGAACAAATTTTAATCATATCCAAAGGTTATGATTTTAGTGATGAAATCGGTAGACGTTCAATGTTGACTATCATAAGAAATATGCTGGGAATCACCTCATTGACTGAGCCATCCATCAAAAGTGGTCTTGATGTTCTTAAGATACTATCCATTAATGAAAGAGACTTCGTTTCAATGTCAATTGAAATTATAAATGATATTAGAGATGATGATTTAGAAAAGCAAGAACAGGAACAAATATCAAAGAAGAAAGCAGAACGAAGTTTAGATGATAATAATGAAGATGATGACGACGATGAAGAAGATGATATAATAGAACAGTTTAGATCTTCGGTAGATAACTTTATTGAGGGCAAAACATCAACTACAGATGATACTAGCACAAGGGCATTGTCCAATGAACGCGATTTGTTACCGGAAACTATGATAAATTGTTTAACAAGATCCTCTCTTCTGTTGGAATTAGTAGTCAAGCCTTTAGATCAAAATGTATTGATAACTTCATTAATAGATACATTAATTACACCAGCGGTAAGAAACACTGATCCAAAGATTAGAGAATTAGGTGTTCGTAACTTAGGATTATGTTGCTTATTAGATGTTCAATTAGCCACTGAAAATCTATACATTTTGGGTATGTGTGTTTCAAAAGGTAATGCTTCATTGAAAAGTATAGCATTAAAATCTATAATTGATATTTTTTCAATACATGGTAATGTCGTTGTCGATGGTGAGGGAAAGGTGGATTCTATTTCTTTGCATAAAATCTTTTATAAGGTTTTGAAAAACAATACTCTTCCAGAGTGTCAAGTCATTGCTGCAGAAGGTTTGTGCAAATTATATTTGGCAGATATTTTTAATGATGATGATTTATTCGAAACTTTAATATTATCTTACTTTTCGCCATCTAACTCATCCAATGAAGGTTTAATTCAAGCTTTTGCATTTTGCATTCCTGTTTACTCATACTCTCACGTCTTACATCAGCAGAGGATTACCAAAATTGCATCTGATGTTCTATTAAGATTGTATATGCTTTGGGTAGATTTTCAAGCTAATGAGGAAACAGATGAAAATATTGAAACCATGTTGAAGCCGAATGTCATCTTGCAACAATTGATCTCATGGACAGACCCAAGAAAATTGATCGGTGAAAATGAGAAAGCAATTAACGATAATTATCAATTAAATTTCCTGTTAGACATATTTCAGCAATTTCCAAAATTTGACAAGAAAAATATCAAGAAGATGATTCTAACTAATATCAATGCATTCTATGTTTCATCTGATAATGATATGCATAAATTAAGGGAAATAAAAGAACATTTAGAAGATATAATAGAAAATGAAATAATTGATACGATGACGTTGAACTCATTGGAAAAATTCAAGAATACCATAATAGATTGTTTGGAAGAAGCTAAAGAAAAATCAGAAAATCAAACGAAGGATGAAATTGAATCAAGTGATGGAGAGTATTCAATGATCTTAGAAAGTTCCAATATTGGAAATATTTCAGATGTGGAAAAAGATGTGAACGTAGAAGCCGCTCAATTTTCTGATTCAGAGAATGATTTTGAAGATTCTGATGATGATACTTCTAGAAAGAGAAACAGAAGCAAATTGGAAGAAAGTATCGCTAATAATACTTCAGAAAAATTAAGTGTAAATGAGGATTACGATAGCGAAGATACAAATGAACCTAAAAATGACGCCAAAGATATAAATGAACCCGAAGATGGAACCAAAGATGTTATAATGGAGGATTCTGTATCTAGCAACGTGATAGAAAACTCTAAGAATGTAAGTTTTATTCTACCAGATAATGATTACAGCAGCAGTGAGAGCAGCATGTCAGTTGACGATGAATCGTATAAAGAAGAGTGATAAATTTAGATTAAACAAACACAATACACACACATATATATATATATATATATATATATAGATACATACATACATTTAGCGCATATTTTTCTAATATTGTATTCATATTTTCTATATTCGAGCGCTTGGTTTTTTATAGATTTTATCTAAGAGCAAATACTTTATCTGTTTCAGAAAATATTCATTTGTTAATCATCAAACATTGAATATCCCATCTCATTGAATATTTCCTTCATTTTGCAACTCTTTTCATCGGCGATGATTTGAACTAATTTCAATCCGATATCTCTAAGTTCATTGTATTCTTTTAAAGTTTTAATATGTGTAGATACTACTTCAGATGGCAATTTATTTCTAAATTTAAATATTTTATAGTTAATACTCATTCTTAAAAAATATTAGCATACTTTTCAGTATAATGTTATAAATTTATACATACATATCATTCTCGGCGGCAAGAATGTCGAATTGTTTTTGGAGATCATTGAGAGTTTTAGTCTTAAAGCTAAGATCCTTTTTCTTCTTCTCTAACAAAGAAGTTAAATTTGACATAATTGATTGTGAGGTTATTGTTATTGTTTTGTAATATTTAATTAACTTTTACTAACAATTTTCTCTGGTATATGTATTTGTATAACAAGGTTGCTATTAACCACTAAATTAACTTCCTTTTATATTTTTTTAAGCTAGGATTTAGATGATTAAAAATTTGAAAAAATTAAAATATTTGAAGCTTCTTTCAGAATACTTGAAAATAATTAAATTAAAATTAAATGGATATAAAAATACATTGTATGGATAAAATTTTATAAATGAACTAAATATATGTCTGTCCTTCGTTGAAAACCTAAAACTGTATTTTAAGTAAAAAAAAATATGTTTGTATAAATGTCTCTCTTTAAAGTAGTCTCCGTAAACGTTTTTTTAGTTCGTCTAACTGTAACTCTGTAATCTTGATCGCCTCTTCTAACTGTTGAACCTTGTAGTTACCAATATTGTTCTGCCATTTTGTTAAATCGGTTTCACTCGTATCTATAGGTTCATGTAAAGTTTCATTTCCTCTATCTCTTAACCAATCCCATATAGTTCCTTCAGTTTCCAGAACTAAATTATGATCTTTCTTTCTGCTTTGAGCACTGTTCCTAACATCTTCTTCGTAAACTTCGTATAGTGTTTTGATGCTTGGGACAAAATTGTACTCATTACCATTTATTAAGATTTTACCGGGTCTCATTACTTGAATATTCGATGCACTTCTGAACGTAAACATTTTTCTTAGTAATAAGATGAAAATAATGAATGATACTACAATGGTAGCTATGCCCTGGATTGAAGTAATGTCAAAATTTTCTAGTAAAGGCGATAATAAGGAAAATAGCATGTTTCCAGAGCTTGTTACCTCTGGCTCTGCAGGTTTTGGTGCAATAACTTCAACCTTTGTGGATGCACGTCTAGCTTTACTTGACTTGGTTCTTCTCCTCTTCTTTCCTGAAGTAGTTCCATTAGCAATAATATCTTTTAATTCCTCCACTAAAATTTGAGTGGATGATTTTTGACCATCAATAGAACCCTTTTCAATAGCACCCTTAATTAAGGATTTCCCAGTCCAAATGACGTTTGTAACAACTGTCATATTTGTAGAATTGTTCTGCCCCCATGAAAGATATACTCTCGAATGAACTGTAAAACTACCACCAGAAGGCACGTCTGGCGTTCTTGTGATTTGACGTACCAAAATATGATCGTTTAAATCCATATGTTCAATTTTTTCAGTAATAATACATTTAGTCTGTTTAGGACCTAATGCTGCCGTCAAAGGCTTGACATAGGAATATTCCCTTGAATTGTCTGTAAACTTTGGAAGATCTGATACATCGAAATTTTTCTGTTTTGTAATGATTTTCTGGAGATAGGAAGTATCTGATCCAAATAAGAGTTGAAAAACAGTTCCCAGAGGTGCTGAGAAATTCAGGTTTTCTTCAATTATCTTATCATCCTTTTCTTTCTTATAACCAGAATCAGTAGGAGCATGAGTAGATGGCTCCATTTTCGGTAATGTGGAAACCTCTCCCTCATCTTCACTAGGTACCTCCTCTTTTGAACTTACTGCTAGTGAGGTTAAATCCTTAGCTAACTCGGAAGCTAAAATTTTCGTAGTCTCAGTTACACCATCGAATGTACCTCTTTCAACAGCACCTTTAACCCAACTTTTACCAGTCCATTCAACAGATAGATATACTTGCATCTTAGTAGTATTATTAGGACCCCAGAAAAATAAATGTGTGGCTTTCACGTAAAATGAAGTACCAGAAGGGACATCCGGAGTTTTTGAAATTTGTACCACTTTGACATAATCTTTCAAGTTGTAATGTTCCAAATTTTCTGTAATGAGACATTTGGTTTTGTTTGGACCTATAGGTCCTGATATTGGCTTGGTATAAGAATATTCACGAGATTTTTTATCTACTAACTTGGATATTGGAGAAATATCATAATTCTTCTGGGATTTTAAAATATTCTCCAAATGTGATGTGTCACTGCCATATAGCAGGTTAATAACTTCGCCTAATGGACTACTGAATGTACTTTCATTAATTAGTTTTTCGTTAGATGCAGGTTCGTAGTTTGGATTTGTTGGTGCATGTTTTGCAGGACCAGGTGTACTACTTGCTGGTCTTGATGTGGATTTTATTACACTTGCTTCATCAATTTCTATACTTGATGTCATATCCGTTGAATTTATCAATGAATTGGCATCATCATTTCCATTATCTGAGAGAATTCGGTCGTCACTGTTACGATGATTTGGATCTTCATCAAAATCAGTAAGATCGCTATCAGAACTAAAATCTAGAGAAGATTTACTTGTCATAGCTTCTTTATTACTTCTCAAATTTAAATGTCTTCTTCCGAGAATAATTTGATTCCAAACATCTGTAATTAAATCGAAAGTCGAATCTCTTGAAATGAATGAAGCAAACACATACTTAGTATGCAATGTATCAATGACAATACCATTTGGGAAAATTCCGGCAGTGGATTTCTTCTTAATTTGCACAATTTCTTTGAAGGGAATCACCACTGTACTGACCCATCCTAGGATATTCGAATTAAAACATATATTTTTATCAGTAATATACATTTTACCTTGGATCAAAATATCACGAGATAATGCACATGATGGATCAGTTATTAACTTTTCATTGGCCGATATTCCAGCCACATCCTTAAAAAACTTGTGGAAATCAGAGTTCTTTTTTTCTGAGGCATACTCAACACCTTGTAATTTGATATTACCTTCAATTTCTACATTTACCGACGGGTCCATTGTACCTGATATAGTAGTACTAGCCCTTGCTCTAGCTTGGGAGGTATAATCACTACCACTGTTTCTGACCTTGTTCAATGGGTTTGAAAAGTTGATAATTGGTGGAAGAACTTTAATCCCAATATTGGGAGAAAATGATCTCCTATCCAAGAACTTCCTTGATAAACGCCTAGGCTGGCGTTCTTCGTTTTCTGTACCATTATGGTTCATTGATTCTTCAGCTTGGTTTATAGAGAATCTAGGCAATACCTTTTGAGTTTCAGCGTTTGGATCGTTGGCAGGTAACGTTCTACTTCTTGCACGAATTGAATTTAAATTTGATAAAGAGTTTGAATTTCTAGTCAGGTTGACCATGCTATTATTACGAGAACTATTATTTCCACTATTTGTACCATTATTACTTCCAATCTGATCTAATGGTGACAAATCGTTATCAATGCTTAAAGACCTACTAGTCGAACCCGAAATTTCGGGGATAGATGATTTACCCAAGGCATCTAAGGTTAAACTTCCTCTACCAAACGTGGTAATAGCAGGTTCTTCAACTGTTCCAATCGGTTGGAATTTAACCTTTGTAATTTTTGAATTGCCATCAGCATTATCGTCATATACACCCTGTGGATTTGGATGTCTTACCTGGATCGCATCAGAAGTTAATGAAGTTGCAGAAACATCATCGATACCACTTCCCCCATTTCTATTTATATCATCATTTGGTAGATCTAGGTGACTATCTCCGTCTGTCTTTGATGAAAGAATCTTTGAAGGATCGTTTTGATCGGTTGTATTTTTATTATCTGAGCCAGATAATAAAAAGTCTAAATGCCCTAGAAAAGAATTACTTCTATTCAACGCAGCTATTGATGTATTGACGTTTTTTTCATTATCATTATTATTGTGGTTATTGTTATATTCATTAGATTCTACTTCCAAAGTAGTATTCATGTCTGTACCTGTTCGCAGAATTGTATTAGCCTGTACATTTGCATTTTTCTTTGTACTTCTACTGTAAGTTGTTTCATTATCATTTCCATTAGTTGTTTCTTCATCTGCTGGGTCAAAAATAAATTTTGGTACTGTGGTCGTTGCAGTATGTGCCATATTTAATATACTCCCGAACAAATTGCTTGAAGATGCATTATTTGAGTTGGTTCCACCTAAATGCGGTAAGCTATGACCAGCCAAACGTGATGCAAGATGATGATGATGTCCATCTTCACTCCTAAAACCTTTACCTAATGATTTTTTTCTTTTCAAACCATGTAGTTTTGAACTACCCGAATCTTTCGTTCCCAATTTATCATCTTCTTTTTCAATTGAAACAAAGATATTTGATATACCAGGAGTAGAATAACTATTAGCATTTTTTAAACCTTTAGAAGAACTTTGTAAAGATCTTCTGGGTGGCCAAACATAATCACTTACACTTTTATTACTACTTCTCCCGCTTCTTATTGATACAATATCTGGCAACTCCAAAGGAGCCAATTCTGTTTTAGTAGGTTGGGCCATTTTCTGGTTATCATAGCCCTTTTTCGATTTCTTGTTGACAGGTTTCGCATTTTTATTCTTCTTATCCTTCTTGTCCTTTTTACTTCTTTTAAACAGTCTAGAAAACATGGATCCGCTAAAGAACCGCTTCTTTTTCATAATATCATCAACAAGCTTACCACAAAATTATATGTAAACTTTCCAATGAGCTTAATATAATGAAATTGAATTGTATGGTGGTAATCCCAAATCAAACGATGATTTTCAATCCACAAAATAAATTGGATCCTCCGATATGTTATATTATAATTTGTATCCACAAAGTTAACCAACTTATTGAAGACAGCTTATGATCATAAAAGAGTGATGAACAAAAATTAAAAAATCTGACACTCACACACTATGAGGTGATGATGATATACAATTTTGAGATTGATTCTTTAACCGATAAATTATAATAAATGTAATAACGTTTAATTTTATAAAATAAAATTCTTAACCAATATTAAATAGAATATTTCAGTAGTATAATTTTTGTAAAAAAAACATTGAAAGATAAAAAAGCTTATATTTCCCACATATAAGATGTTTATATTTTCCCACTTTAACAATATTTTATTATTTTTCATCGTAGTCTCTATTGTATGAAAATTGTTATGTTGATGTTGTTACTTTTCTTCCGTTTCCAAACTTCGATTTCTTTCAAAACAGTCAGAAAAAGGAAACAGCCGTTAGAATAACCCTTTCAGATTTCCTATTTCAGCAAGTTGCCAGTTTAGGATTATAGTACATATCGTATTGAACGAAGAGAAGGAACCAAGCTTACCTTGAATTCCAAGCCCCCCTGCCCCTTTCCTCTCCCGAAGCCCCATATATATGCAAAAAGCATTACAATCGTAATAACAACGACGATAACGACGATAATGACAACGATAGGAGAAGTTTCAACAGTGAAGCAAGCCTATTTGGCCCCCCAAAAACAATAATAATTGATAAATTAAAATTAGACGTTACTGTCGAGAATCGAATGAAAGATATGGCCATCGAGACAAAGTAGCAATCCGATAAAGGAAAAGTTAGCTAGTTTAGAGGATGTTAGAGGAAATTGAAAAGCAGTAGGGTAGATAATTCTTTGTAAGGTTCGGTGCCCCTTGTTGAAGTTCGAAGTGATGGAATTTGAACTCTTTTTTAGGTAATATTCTTTGAATATTTGAAGATAAATTTGGATAAATTTGGCCTGGTTGCAGTAATGTCCCCCCCCCCCCCCCCCGTTCTTTGTACTAGTTACTCGATCCACTGGAAGACCCCGGTACTGTGTAGATGACCATCATTGATTTTCCATAGCATCTATCTCCAAGTTCAATCACACAGTCCAGATAAACTGACTTGTTGAGCCTCAAGGTAAATTCAGCAAAATATTCTCTGGAACATAGGCTTCAGTTTTTTCCTTTTCGAAAACATTCATTACTAGTCTTCAATAAAACATTCTTGGTTGGCCAAACTAATAATAACAATAAATTTTGGGCTGGCTTTAAAGATAACTTCAAATAGGGTTTTAGCCAATACTTATTTAATTATTATTAGTAGTAGTAAATTGTACTCTGTTCCCACAAAGACAGCTTTCATCGGTTTCAAGTTCTTAAGAATAGCATTTGTACAACTTATAGTAATCATTCTTTTATTTACTAATTAAAGTATCCTTGTATGATTATATAGTGAATAGATAATAAGTTATATCTTGAATTGTAGCCGCTCTAATCCTGATGCTTTCTATATGAAAGAAGCATGACCGTTGATAATGATGTCTAAGTTTTGGTAGCGCGTTTAAATGGATACAATAACTAAACTTTACACGTGACTTTGATAATTAGCCAGTCGTTTCATAATGAGCCCATCTTTTGTTTCTAAAATGTGGTTAGATATTCATTCGATGGAAGTCGTTAATAAATTTGAGAGTAGCTTCTGAAAGTATACCTTAATCGACTGAAACTAATTTGAACAAATGTTTACATAACATTTTTTTTATTATTTTATAATCAATTATCGATACCTTTTTATGCCAGAAGATTAAATTACATACGATTTTACGTTTTACATGACGCTATTTATACCTAACCATCATCGATGGGAACTTTGAAGGATCTTTCAAAAAAAGTACGCATTCTCATAAAATAGATTTCAATTTTGATCGCTTTATTACAATATATAAATAATTTATTTTTATTTTTATTTTCAATATTATTATTAATATTAATAGTGGTATATTTTGGGCTAAAACCTTCACTCGCCCCTCCTCCTTCCCCATCATTAGCATCTTAACGGTCTTCGGCCCATTCATTTTCACGTCTAATAGCAGCTTCCTCTTCTGGTGTGAAATCATTGACGATATTGAATGTTCTTCTGATTTCCTCTGGAGATCTGCCCCTAATCATTTCAGCAACGACTTTACAGCCTGCGTCCAACAGAGGTTTGATATTCAGGTAATTGGCCGCTAGTATGATCTCATATAACATTTCTTGATCAACTTTTAAAAATTCACGATCCCACGAGTCAACAGGAGCAGATTTTCTAGAGTCATCATCTTCTTCATCTGGGAAATTAGAATCCTTATGGTGTTCTGCCCATTCTATAACTTTCTGTAAAACTGAAGATCTGATATTAGGCACAGGCATAACAATTGCATCTTCCTCTTCTTCGTCTTCCTCTTCTTCATCTTCTTCATCGGAATCGTTTTTCAATTGACTATCATGCATATCATTCAAATAATTCTTCAACAACAACGAGCGTTCGGCAATGCTACGCTCTACTGTAAACCTTTCACCTTCACCACTTATTAAAACCACTGTCTGTTGCTTGCCTGCCATTTTATCTACCTCTTTCTATCAATATCAAATATAACCAATATAGAATCTCTTCCTAAATTTCAATTGGTAACCTCTAAAGTAATGGACCAAAAATAAAATCAAAAGACTATGTATAAATCAACTTTTTTTTTGCCTCAGTAACCCCTCTAAAAATAAAGGATGAACGATCACAGAACCTAGCTCAATTTATATATAACCAATATATATCTAGAGACCTAACCATTTAACTAATCTAATATCTTATCCATGTTAACCAGTTGAGATTACCTGCTTAACTTCCCAAATTATTCATCTTTCCATCCAAATCCTTCAAAGTTGGTTGATAATTTCGAAATCGATATCTATACATTATATTGTTCGTTTTTAATGATAGTGACATAGATGTGATTGAAATCATAAATTAATAAGGCTACTTATGTATTTGATAGTGAGTTATACACTTGGTTAATACTACTATTGTTGCTGTTGTTGTGATTACCATCATGGCACTTGAATTGTTGTTTTCCTGGTTATGTGAAAGTCGTTCATTTCTGTTCTCTTCTCTCTATCATTAAGATGAAAGAGGGGGGAGACAGAAATAAAATATTGGGAATACGAAATAGGAAGTAAAACAGTTCATCAGTTTTAGAAGTTTATTCTGTGAGACCTATCTTAGAAATCAAAGTTACTGTAGACACTAGCACTTAGATCATCCAACGTAGATAAAGTGTTGATTCTTATTAGGTACTCATTTTCTGCCGAGGAAGGGTCTGCTCTTAGCATGTCGTGACAACAATCTTTACAACTCATAGCAATCAGGGCTAATTGGAATTTCTTATCAGGGTTTGCTGGACTTCCATCTTTCCCTTTGTTTCTCTTTAATATTTTATCTTCTAAATTATCCATAATGTATTGGAATGATTCATTGATTAGAGACTCCAAAACGACTAACGATTGTGTATTGTTTATATACTGTGACGTTTCGGTGATCAATTGATCAAGTACTTTACTGTCTTCATTTAAAATATCAAGTGCATCTTGATCCATTGTCTGTTGTAAGACAAAATTCTTCGATGCAGCATCTGGTAATAAAATTGAACCTATACGGTTTTTTATTTGAGTTGGGTCTTCTTGGAGATCGTTTGTTCCTGATGGATTTAATAATTGTTTATTTATGGAATGATAAATTTTCGTTAATCTATTACTCAATTCAGTCAATGTTATAGAATCTTTTGGCTTCAAATCACCGAATTCTTTATTAACATGTTCCTCGATAATCTCAGTACAATCTAGCCAACCTTTATTAATTAACCACCATGAAAGAGATAAAAATGCCTGTTCGTTGGTGTAAGTAGAAATTGATTTAGGAGTCTCCTTCAATTTAGTTAAATCTCTGGCGTTATCGATATTTGAATCTGACTGTGAAATCCAATCACCTATCCAGCTGAATAAAGACGATAGACCGTTTGATTTTTTAGATTCATTTTCGATAGCTACGTTCACAGCAGTCTCCAAGTATTCTCTTCTTGTTAAAATGTTTAATTGTAATCTTGTTAAAAGTAATAGCGAAGGGATGGAATAAGAGATTAAGATCAATTTCACTAAACTTTTCAATTTCAATTCATTCCACAAATCGGCTTTACTCATTTGATTAATCCTGTCGTCTAAGATAGCAGATGGGACCAGGACCAGATCTGATTGAGCGGTATCGATGTTAGCAATGCTACCACCAGTTGCGGTATCAGCATTAGTAGAAACCGAATCTTGAACAGTTCTATTTGATTTCTTGTCTCTTAAAGCCACCACTAATTTTTCAAGGTCCAAATCTTTAGTTAGAACCAACGAGTAAACAGGTAGCAACTCATACAACGCATACAAAGAATCCTGTTGAGTTTGGGTGAACCTTCTTCTTATCTGTTCCCTTATAAAATGTTGCTCAGTGATTTTCAACTGTTGCTTGTACAACCACCTCTTGATTAAATATATACAGATTGAACCAGTGGTGAAAATGGTTGCAACCACAGCGGTCGAAACAATAATCTTGCCTCGATGTCTCCTAATCAAGCTTTGACTGCCCTTAGAAGAACTCATCCTAACGAAATCGAATAATAAAGGGTGAAAAAAAAAGATAAGTATAATTCAGAAACCAGTATATGATCACACTCACTCACTCACTCACTCACTCACTAAGTACAACTTTCCAATATAAATATACCAACTAGATATCAAAACAGAAAAACCTCAACCTGTAAACAAACAGACATTAACTCCAGAACCTTATAAATAAATACCTAAATACTTCAATATATCAAAATATCAAGATATAAAATAAAATATACAAACATAGTCAGCTCCATCACAACTAATGAATGAAAAAAACAACAACAACAAGAACATGAGCAAGAACAGGAGCAAGAAAGAACAAGACTAAAAGATCTATAACACATAACTCCTTTCTGATCAATATTCGATTGAAAATCAACAAAACAAGAACGTCTCAAGAAAATCTAAAGGTTTAATGGGACATTGGGACATTGGGACATTAAGACCCACCTCGACAAGACTAATCAACAAGCCCATCAGGAGATAGATGTATTTACAGAATGCATGATTAAAAAGATATGAATATTTAGAAGGAAACTGTCCCATTTGGAAGTATTATATAATAAGGTCAAAGAGATATGGAATAATATCTATTAATCCAATCTCATCGATATCGATAATCAAGGTTAAACCATTTTCTGAACAAGAAATAGTATATTGTATTGACGTTAGTTTCCAAGAGTCTTTCCTGTCTACTTTGTTCTTCAATTTCTGATTTCGTTTGGTTTGGTTTGGTGTGGAATGGCTATATCGATTAAATTGGTTAAGAGTGTTGGTAGTTTGAGGTTTATTCAAGTATAAAGTACTTTTAAAACTGGGGGACTGGTGATTCGATTTGGTTTTAGTGGGTTGGTTACTCTGTTGATGATTCTTTTGGTAATTTTTAAAGTTTAACCTCTTTAATATTCAAAGAACGTTTGTTGAAGTTTCAAGAGAGCCAAAAAAAATTTTGAAATTTGAAATTTAGAATTTAGGATTTGGGATTTAGGATTTAGGACTTGGCATTAAAAGAGTCTTTAAGGTGTGTTGGTATTGATTATTTGAGTAGCTTCCCTTGTGAGGACAAATATATAACTTTTAGTGTTTGTTTGTTTATTCAAAAACACTGGGATTTTTTTTTATAGAGACAAAAAGTGGTTCCTGTTTGGTTTCCCCTTCTCAAGACCTGATAGTGTTCTTACAATTGTAGGACAGGTTAGTGGCAATAAAGAAAAATTATGGATACTGGAAACATTGATCAATTTATGGCCATAACTGGCTCGGATAATACTGATGTGGCAAATCAGTATATAGAGATGGCTGGTGGGAACTTGGAGACTGCCTTATCGCTGTATTTCGAACATGGTGGTAATCCAATAACCTCTACAGGTGGTGGACCAGATGGTGGTAGTGCTGGTAATGGTGGCGATAACAACAATGCTATTGGTGCAGGTGAATCGGATGCTGATATTGCTAAACGTTTACAAGAAGAAATGTATAAAGAACCACAACCAGGTGATCCAGGGTATGTGCGACCACCAGATCAAGCCAGACATGAAACCTTGGCTGAAACTCATGTTTTCCCAGGAACTTTTGCTGGCTATGGCGGTGTTTATGAACCTTTACGTCAAACTAATGTTAATGATATCTTTGATAGAACTCGTCCTGTTGGGGTGTTTAACCAACGTTTCGAGTCTTTAGATTCTGATGTGGATTCTGATGAAAACGAAAGAGATTCCGATATATCTGATGAGGATGAGGACGATGATCGTTATGAATATGTAGAACAGCCAGTAGTAGAGCTCGACGATAATGGCAATGTGAGAGAATCCAAAAAAATGGTTAGAAGGTTGAAAAATGTATCAAAACAAGAGATGCTAGCGATGATGTTTAAACCTCCATTTGACATGATATCAAAATTGAGTTTGGAAAGAGCCAAGTCGAAAGCAACTGAACGTAAAAAATGGGTGATGATAAATATCCAAGATGTGGGCATTTTCCAATGTCAAGAATTAAATAGAGATCTATGGTCATCGAAGGAAGTAAAGAAGTTGGTTAGAAAGAATTTTATTTTCTTACAATATCAATATGAATCACCAAGTGCACAACAATATATACAATATTACGGTTTAAGTGATAAAGAAATTTTACCTCATATCGCAATATTAGACCCAATGACCGGAGAACGTTTAAGACAATGGAATAAAACAGTGCCAAAAAAGGAAACATTTTTAAGGGAAGTTGAAGAATTCTTGAATGATTTTTCACTAGATCCAAACACAGCGAATCCAATCGTTCGTGAACCTACGCCTGAAATTGATCCAACAACATTAACAGAGGAACAGCAAATGGATTTTGCCATAAGACAATCCATGGGACTACCAACTGCTAGAGAAGAAACTGAACCTATATCTGAAGAGCCTGAAATCGATCCTTTCGAATCCATTGAACCGGTTATGCATGATGAACCACCAAATAGACCCGGCATTACAACAAGAATCCAAATTCGTACCGGTGATGGTAGAAGAATAGTAAGGAGATTCAATGCCATGGATGATACAGTAAGAACAATATATGAATTTGTTAAATCTGAAATCGAAGGATTCGATACTTGCAAATTCAACTTAACTAACCATCAAAGAGAAGACTTATTAGACAAATTGGACTTATCTATTGAAGATGCAGGATTAAAGAACAGTTCATTACTTCTGTCAAAGGAAGATGATGATGATGATTAGGGGAAACGATTTTAAAACAATTCCAATTCATAGATCAATTTATCTATAACTAAATATATTGATAGATAACATTTTCCGATCATCGATTTCTCCGTCAATTTTGGCCTATATCTATGCACATCTTACGTCGACCTCATTTCATATAGAGATATAATAGAATTATATATATATATATGTGTGTGTGTGTGTGTATCTCTCTATATATGTATGTATCTTGATAAATATGAATAATACTGACAAGAACGATAACATCTCTCTTGATTGGCTCTAGTCCTCATTAAAAGCATTACATAGAAAAACCTTCTCTCTTTCTCTCTGCAGCATTTCGTTACCCCGACCTCAAGTCTAAAGCGTCTTCACCTCTATAAAAGTTGAAAAAGGTTCAGCAGGTCAATTGAAATTTGGCGATGCTTATAAGATGAGATGAAGTTTCAAAAGTATTAAAGTGTGTTATACTGGACCATTGATAAGGACATACTAAGGGTCAATTAGCAAGATATGAATGTGTTTAAAGTTCCACCTATGGTTAAAACTGTATTTGATGAATTTCCATTGAAAAATTATGGTCCTTTGGAAAATGAAGATGTATCCTTAAGTAAAAGTATCAAAGATAGGAAGTTTTATTTCCATGGTGAGCCATTGGCTGGCACATCTGGAGAAAATAGAGTGATTTTAGGGATATACAATGTGTTTGAGCATCCAAGAACTCATGATGTTTTAGCAACTGATCCGTGGTGTCTATTTGTGCAATTTGCACTCTGTAAGAAGAACTTATTAAAGTTACCAAATTTTAATAAAAGAGTGGAAAGTCCAGATGGGAGTAAACCATGCATTGGGATATTGTCACCATTGACAGTTCAAGATGAAAAATTGCCAGTCCTGGTTGAAGGTTACAAAAAAAGATATATCCGATCATGTTTTAACATTAAAGCAAGTATTGAGGCAAAGCTATATGATGATCCAGAAGAATATATGTATATGAATTTATTAGACACTGTAATTTACGATCATTGGATGATAACTGTACTTTTCAATATCTCTAATGAAGATTTTTTGAAATTATATAGTGTTAATCAAGGAAAAGTGGATAATTTTCAAGTTAAAGACATGAAAATCGCATTACTTAATAGGAACTCCTTTGATGCACGTCATCCAGAGATCGCATATGCATTTAAATCACCAACGGGGACATTGTGCAATAAATCCAAGATAGCTAAAGTTTCCAAATTAATTCAAGACGATAGTGAAAAGACAATGTTACAAATCCAAAACAAAATTACTATGAATCAAAATCAAAATCAAAAGACGAGTAATAATAACACTAAAAGGTTAATGTCGAATGAGAAAGAGTCTTCGCCATCATATGTAGATCTAAAACTTTGCGGCTATCTTCTATGTATTCTGAGCTTACCCGAAACGGTACCTATCCATAAGTTCATCACAACCAGATGCCCAGATCTAATTTCATATACCGATAGTGTTTTAACTGAGTTTACAGTTGCTCGCTAAGGCAACCCAAAAAATAAGTTATCTGAAGTGGATAGGCGATGATACCGTTATAAAACTGATTAACTACAATGTAGGAACTAACAATAAAAGAATAAAAAAAAATAGTAATAGTAATAGTGATAATAATAATAGTATGAAATTAAGAAAACGGCAAGATGTTAATTAATTAATTAATTAATCAATGAAATTATCTCAGAAGAACAAGCAATATCAAGTAAATATTTCAGACACACGCACCCACAAAGATATCACTCAAACAATATCTCGACTCCACTAAAATATGCTTTTATCACCCAGTTTAATTTAATTTAATTTAATTTAATTAAATTTGGAAAAAAAAACGCTGAGTGAGAACGTTGAAGCAAACAAGTTTTAATATCTTTATTTTTTTTCACTCGACAACCAGAGAGTAATGACTTGTGGTAATTACATGTTGTTGTGTTGATATGGATCAAAAGAGCACATGAAATGAACCTCTCTCTGATCTGGATTCCACATAGATCTCAAGACAAGGCAAAGCGAAGGAAGGTGCGACAAGGCAAGACAAGACAAGACAAGACAAGACAAAACAAAAACAAATCAGCATAGAATAATTCCCAAAGACGAAGACGACCAGATTTATGTTTTATCTATGTTTTTTTTTTTATTTTATTTTGTTTTGCCTGCTTCATGGCTCTCTCTGTTTCCATCTGGATCTCGTCTCAAGTAAGCCTGAAACCCAACGCACACATTCGAAACTGGACTTACGTTCTCTAACTCATTCCCTCATCGTGCTCAGTCTCTGTATATCATCTGCCCATCAGCAGCAGAGAAACCAACCTGTATGCTTTTAAATTTATTTTTTTTTTTTTTAATTTATTTTGAGTTAGAACCAGCTAATGCAACAAAACTAAAACTAAAACTAAAACTAAAACAGAAAAACTACCCAAAATCCAAAACTGGGTCTGCTCTTTCCTGCTCTTACTGGGTGTCTCTAAGAATTCGAAAACAAAATAAAATAATAAATTTTTTTGTTTTTTTTATGAAAAGCAAAAATAAAACAGCTACCAAGATGCTTTCCCAAAGAACATTACAACATCAATCTCTCTAGGTGTCTACCCATTACGTTATTCCAAACCCATCTCCTTCACCATCTCATCGCAACGCATCGCTATCTTACCTACTATCTTCTCTTCTATCCTCTTCTCTACTCTCCTCTGCTATGCTCTGACCTTCCCACTTTTCCCTTTTACCTTACCATTGACGATATATCTACTATCTAATGCCTTTTTTTTCACTATGGGAAGGAAAAAAAAAAAATTTCATTTCATTTCGAAATCCAACCTCAGAAACGATGATACTGCTGATATTCATCTAGTTTTACTTGGGAGAAAACGCGCATTGATTCAAGAATGTTTCAAGTCGAAACAATGATAAATTTATTATTCTTCGAAAATTTTGGATAAATAAAAATGTTTTAAATACAGAGATTAAATCGAGAGTATGAATTGCAAGGTTGGAAACTGGTCGAAAACATTCTTGAGATCTGGGTAGGTTTCGACAATTTGTTTGTTTTTTCACCAGAACTCAGGAAGAAGAGGAATCTCTCTTTTTTAATATAAACTAATTTTTTTTTGTCTGGTTCAATTTTTGGTTTGGTTTCGATAAACAAGAAAAAAACAATACCTGTTGGTCAGTAGTTTGATTATTGTTATCATATTTATATTGTTGCTTGGTTCGACCAAACAAAAAGAAATAGAGATAGACATCAAGGAATTCATATACACCCTGAGTGATTGTAGAGCTGGTTCATGGACCAAGAAGTTAGCTTTTGCTGAAGAAGAAGGAAAGACAAATAGAAAATCGACAGATCTGGAATTGAGTAGAGCTAGCCTTGGATAGAATTGAATTTGAAATTGAATTGGGTGGAGTTAAATTGAATCAAATTGAATTGAATTGAATTGAATTGAATTGAATTAAATTAAATTAAATTAAATTTGGACTTATAAGTGAGATAGGAATCACAAGTTGTAATTCCAATTTGAAACGTTATTCCTGGAGTCACAACTACTATATATATACAATTCTTTGTTTGAAATCACAATCGAGATATTCAAAAATAGAGGCACGACTAACATCGATACAAATTCCTGGGAATTTCTGTTTACTATCCTGTGTTATTCATCGTTTCTTTAGGTTATTGTTTGTTTACTTGGTTGGTTGGTTTTTAATAACTAATTTAAGGAAAAAAAGGAACAAAACTCAGTATCTAATAACTTTGGTATTGTTCTTTGTTTTCTGTTATTGTTTTACCTTTTTAACGTTCGTTCACAATTCTTCATTTTGAAATTTTAAGGTTTTATCTCACTCAGAACTACAAGTTGGCGTATAGATAAACTTAAAGGTAAATTGAAAAGAAAAAAGAGCTTTACTGGAATCTGTGAGGTTAAAATTACACATTACATCCAAATCTAATTGCATAGACTAATCAGCATTATTATCATTTATTTGTATTTTTATTTTTATTTTTATTTTTTGTTTGTTTGCTTGGTCCTGTCGATAAAAAGGTTTTATTGACAAAAGTTTTTATTCAGTTCCAAAAAAGAATTCATATACATATATAAGCATACAACCTATTAAGCATTATTGATAAAATTCCGTATTTCATTGACATTGATAAAAAAAATAATCATTAAAATTTTAAGTTAAAAAATTTGTAAATAAAATTCAAATAATGCGGGTTAACAATATAGGAGGAAGAACTGAATCGGTGATGAGGTTAGATCACAACGGTCATAATCAGCAAAGGGCGTCTCCAGAACAAGTAGAGGAATCTTTAAAACTTATAGATGATTTGAAATTCTTCCTGGCGACAGCACCTGTAAATTGGCAAGAAAACCAAGTCATTAGAAGATATTATTTAAATAATGATCAAGGTTTCACGTCATGTATTTTTTGGAATAATCTGTTTTATATTACAGGTACAGACATCGTAAAATGTTGTATGTACAGAATGCAGAAATTTGGCAGAGAAGTAATACAAAAAAAGAAATTCGAAGAAGGTATCTTTTCTGATCTAAGACATTTAAAATGTGGTATTGATGCAACTTTAGAACAACCCAAGTCTGAATTTTTATCATTCTTATTTAGAAACATGTGTCTTAAAACTCAAAAAAAGCAAAAAGTATTTTTCTGGTTTAGTGTACCTCATGATAAATTATTTGCAGACGCATTAGAAAGAGATTTAAAAAGAGAAAGTTTAGGGCAACCTTCAACAACAAAGCCAATTAATGATCCAGCCGCTTCTTTCCAATATAACTCAGATTCAGAATATTCTTTATATGATCAACTTTCATTGCATGTCAATTCGAAAAGGACAAATAAAGAAGTCTATAAACAAGTACAATTCTCCCCTGATGATGATTCAGCTGGCACTCCGTTGAATAATCAAACTGATATTATGAGAGAAGATGCAGGAAGTACGAGTGTACAAACATCGTATGATGAAAACGACAACGCCAAAATAGATCAATCTCCGATGCAAAGTCAAGATGTCAACGAAGATCAAGATAATAAATTCTCTCAACAGACATTGGTTCTTGATTCAAATTCACTAGATATAAATACAGACAGTGCATCTTTCGAAGCAAAACAACATGATTCGATTAATAAATTGGTGGAGGAAGACGATTTCCCATTAGATTATGTACCGATTGAAATAGAATATCCAAATCAAGAAGAGGCAATAGATGGCTTTAGCATGCAACCTAATGATATGTTTCAACCTTCGTCTATGTTGTATGAAAATTCAATGGTTTTCCCAGAAGATGACTTAATGCCAACGACGGCTACTATGGGTAAATTTAACTATCCAATGGCTGCACCAATGGGCTGGCCTGTTTCGGCAACAAGACCTCATTTCATGATGAATTCTGAGTATTATGCTTCAAATGGAAAGAATCTTCCAGATTCCCCAAATCCATCAAGAAAAAATGCATCAGTTAAAAAACAAACTAATATAGATCTAGTTAAAAAATCCAGTAATGAAAATAATGAAAATGTTGAAAGTCAAGAAGATGATGAAAACGTATCCCAAAATGGAGATGTACCACAATATCCAATGTATCCTAATCCATATCAGTATCCATATCAGTACAATAATTCGATGGTACCTCCCAATGGATTCCCACCTAATATGTATAATGGATATCAAATGGAACCATTCCCTCAGCCAGTTGACGCTTCCACATATCCATATGATGATTTTTTTCCATCTCATGAAGGATTTGATGAGGGCTATTTCCTACAATCTGAACCATTTAGCTGGGGTTATGTGCCTCCACAGGGAATGCAATTAACAGCGCCACCATATATGTCAAAGGTATACTCACAGCAAGGATTTAAACAAAATCAAATTCCACCTAGGAATTCGTATCAATCATCGCAGGGTCCTTCTTGGAACGGTCAAACTGGCCAAACGGGATATCATTCAAGAAGTAATTCCAAAAACTATCAGAATACACCAATGCGCTCTCAAGGAGCTCAAGCACAGGGTGAACGCTGGAGGCATTTTCATCGTAATTCTCAATCCGCTACTGCCACCAAATTTTATTTTTCAAAAGCTGGTAAAGTTAATAAGCAAGGTGCAAGAAAAGTGCCTAACCAACAACGTCAGTATATGATGAAACAGAATCTAAAGATGAAACCGGATATGGTAAATAGCATGGGAAGTGGTAGCTCGAGTGGTAATACTGATATTAATAAAAATACATTACCAGTCTTAACTCCTGAATCAACTAATTTAATAAGTCAGTCTGAATTAACAACTGATAAGACGGATCTTAATTCCGAATGAGACAATTTTAAGTAATTCAACTTCAAATTAATATATAGCATTTAAACGTAGATACGTTCATAAATACATTTTATTTAATCTAATCATAATATATTTAATCAAAATCCTGGTTAGGGACGTTTCTTATTAACCTTAAAGTTACAATTAAAAAAAATACAGATTAAATATGCAATTTTATAAATATCTATAACCACATGTAATGCAATAAAACTTTTTACTGTTTATTCTAATCCAACATTAGGATTTTCGTCTAAATATTGATCCAACGATAGTTGTCTAATTTGATTCAAAATGTTTTCATCTTGCATTAATTCCATTTGCGATGACAATAAATCTTCTTCGCTGATGAAACTTTTGATAGTCTCTATGGTATCGATTGACTCTTTTGTTGTTGGTTCAGGAGGAAATATATCAAATTCAAAAACTTGATAATCAGACCATATATATTGGGGAATGGTTGCAATGACAGAGGACTCGTCGGATAGAAATACAAACCTTAGCAAATTAATTGGGATATCGTTAATGTAGAAAGGATGGATGTTTTCGGTATCAGCATAGGCATCAGCATTTGCTATTCCAATTTCACCTTTAATATTCTTTTCAAATAATGTAGTTAATTCATTTCTTAAAAAGGAAATATCCTCTGCATTTTTCCATATAGTTTCGAATCTAACCATATAAGCCTTCGTTTCAATGTTAATAGCATGTAACTGATCAGAATTTATGTTTTTAACTAAATCAACCTCACCAAGTAATTTTTCTTTGTAAATTTTGGCTAAAGCAATTGAATGGAATTTAAAGGATTTTTTTAATTCTATTTGTGCTTTCTCCCTTTCACCTATTCTCAAGTAACTTAATACAATACCTAGCGCCAATCCGAGAGTATACCATTGCTTGTAACAATTCAATAAAGGTGACTTTGATAAATTGATCAAATACTGGAAATCATTGTTCAGTAAAAGATAGTGGTCCATGAAGTAACGACAACCCAATGGATCCTCCATTGGACTTAATGACCATAAAGATTTACACCATTCACTTGCAGTGCCAACAGCACCTCTTTGAACCAACATTAGCATATATCTGAAGATAGCTAAGTAGAACTGTCTGTTGTAAAAATAGATATAAGGAAGTTGACATGAAATGGAATCAAATTTAATACCAGATTTCAAAGCACGGTCAAAAACAAACAATGCTCTTTGGATTAAACCGTTAGTATTTGAACGATCACCCTGTCTGATCATAATCACTGCTACCTGTAATAAACCTGCTACATGGTAAGGATATTTGGAAGATATTAAACTCACCAATGCTTCGTGGTCAGGATGAAGAACAACACTCATGTAAAACTCAGTTAACCCCTTTCTATTAGCTTCTATATTAACAGGTTCAAAGTTGAAATAAGAGATTTCCTTCTCCCATTTTTTTAAATCATATTCGATTGTATCTTTCCAATCTATAGGTCTTTGCCATAGTTGCCATTCTAATAGTTCGTTATGATTAAGTGACTTCATTGACAACTCCCCTCTTGTTGTAGGTAACCAATCGTCACGAATCTTTGTAAATTGTAATCTATGAATACTTCCACCAGGACCATTTGGAACATTACGATGATCTTTACCACTCCAGTTTTTCACCAGTCTCTTAAGACGTTGGATCTGTTTCAGTTGCTGTGGTGAAATATGTGTTGATGAGATAGAATCGATATCTTCAAGGGAGGCGGCAGAGATATCGTCGAATAATAATTTAAACTCAGTATGAGGATCTAATTTTCTAAAGTCGTTATTGAAAGCCCAGGCATGACGTTTTAAACAAGATATTGGAAATTTAGAAAAAGAAGTATCATAAAAAATATCATTCATTTCAAGTTTACTCTTCTCTGTTAAAACAGATTCATCTGGTTCAGATGCTGTTAAGAATTCTTCATCATTATCGTCAATTGATTTGGCATCAATTTTAAATTCAAAATCTCTTGCATTTTTCTTTTGGAACTGTTGCAGAATTTTATCAAATTCTTCATCATCCTTGTTTTGCTCATCGGAAACTTCCACGTCCTGAACATTGTTTGACTTAGTTTTGGACTTCTTCTTCTTCTTCTTCTTATTCTTGGTTTTTTGAGATTTAGTCTGCAATACTACCTTCGACAGTTCATTACTATCCTCATCGCCCACATTCAAAGGCACCTCACTTTCATCCTCCTCGATGACGGGCTCAGTTTCATTCTCACTTTCAGACCCTTCATTATCAGAAGTTTCCCCCATCAATGCAAATATATTTGCATTAGCCATCGGATTCTTCTTCTTAGGTTTGCTAGAACTCTTTAAAACCGTAGCTGAACTGATGATACTATTCAATAACTCATCGTCATTTTGCAATCTTTTCAAAGCTCTTGAACTCATCTGGTAACTATTCTTCCTCCAAAATAAGTCTGAATATCAGCAAAAAAAATCCAAATAATATCAGAACAACTAGAAACCACTCAGCAGACTCTATTCCCCCACTCTTGGATCCGCTAGAACTGACCTGTTAGTCTTCTGTCTTGATGATTTAATAATAGTTTCAAGTTAACATTTACTCTTATATATCAATTTCCACTGCTAAATTTTTCAGCGATATCAAAAAGCTGAAAAATTATTCAGTATTAAAACAAGAGACCATAACAAGATAAAGCTCATCGCAAGCAGTTTCGAGGGTGATAGAGGTGTTATTTGGTGCTAATAAGGACTATTTGGTGTTGATTTTGAGTATCTATAGTGGTTGTATTAGTTTATTTCTAATTAGAACGGTTTCAAAAGGGTAGAATTACGATAAAATCAGAGATGGCTAAGAGCACTAGAAAGCAAAAGTTAAAGGCTAAGGACTTCCAAAAGAAAAAACTGAAGGTTGGTAAGGGCAAAGATAAGCCTGGTAATGTTACTGATACATCGTTTGCCGCAAGGACTATAAGCATCAAGGATCAACATTTGGAACATAGTAATGATTTGACAAAGCGTCTTCCATTACTGAAACATCATAATGTATCAGTTAGAAAGGAAACGTTACAATTGTTTCAAAAGAGTTTGCCTACAATTATTGACAGCAGCATGATGACACCACTTCTGAACCAAGCTATACCTCTAATCTGTGATGATTCCAAGCAAGTGCGTTTAGCGTTTATCGATTTAATTGATGAAATTGGTAAATTGAATGAGCAAGTATTGAGATTACATTGTAAGTACTTCGTTTTATACATCAGTATGTCCATGACACATATTGTCACTGCAATTCAGGCAGATTCTACCAAAGTATTACGAGTTCTGTTAAAATATTGTGGTGAAGAAATTTGTAGACAGGCATGGGTGAAACTATTGGACGGTATATTCAGTGTATTAGGATGGGGTAAGAATGGTAAAAATCAAGCAGCAGGTATTGTGCATACTAGGAAGAAAGATGCAAAGACAGTTGCTATCCATTTAGAGGCGTTACATGATTTCATCAAGTATGGTTGTACCGATAGCAATGAATTGAACTCTAATGAAGGTGATGGGGGTGAAACTGGTAGCAACGATGACAATAATCAAATTATCAATGAACCAAATCAATTCTTAATCCCTAACTTCCCACAACCCTATGAATATTTGAAATTATTCACTAGAGAATTGCGCAAAGAAGGTGGCAGCAGTGAAACCAATTCGAATACGTTAAATTCTAATAACAGTAGTTTATATTCGCAAGATATCGCCAATCGTTTACAAATACTCAAAGAACAATACCTTGCCAGCATTGAAAAGGAGTTAGATCTACTGATCAAAGAAGGTGGGGAATCTGGTAAAACGTCAAATAATTTAAAACAGTTGTTGAGTGAAGTTTACTAAGTAGTCCATTTCAAATGGTTTTGAGGTTGATTATAGACATACCCGATGGACTATAGTTATATGAACGGGTCCCTACAATTATTGCTGACACTCGTAGTGTTCATTTCATATATATAGATAAGTATTTTGTATAGTATAACATAATAAGTGGTGCGTTGTCACGTGATTCAGGGATATGTGATTAGTTTATACTGTAGTATAACATAGTGGAGGTGTAATAAGAGGTATGAATCTCTGATTGGATGTGTGTGTATACGTTAAAATTCCACTTACTGTTCTGTCAGTTTGATTTTAAAGTAATAACCCAATGGTTCCTTTCTTGTGTCAGTTTATCTCACCCCATCTCACCTCTCCAGATGAAACAACCCAGTTTCTCATCTGGCAACCACACAGATTTTCAAGAACTGTGTATAAAGTAAGGTATATTCCAATGCACAGGGGTGTATCTGGGAGTAACACATTAACGACAGCAATCAGTTTGGTAATAACCATGAATATTACTATCTTTCATCAAGTAACCATCTGGTAATTGAAAAGGGCCAATTATTGCTTGATAATAGATACTATTGGTAGTCGATAGACTCATATAATTAGCCATTGGTATTGCTAGTTAGATTGTCCAATTCAGCGTTACCGTCACAACTGGTAAGACAACAGATTGGTCACATGACTACTTCTATATAGTATGTAGAGCCGGGTAACACTATAAAATGTAGGGTGGCCAAAAACGGCGACAAACTTAAATAAGCAAATGAAGGAAAATTTGGTGGCGAGTTTTTAGTAACTAGTTTAAAAAAATGGGTATACAAGAACAAAGATATAACTTTAAATTGGTCGAAAGAGAACAAAGTAGTAAACGTACCGGTCTAAAAATTGCTATATTGGATACTGCGATAAGTTAGAATTTGTTTGGTGTTATTTTATTTTTATAACCAGGCTAATCGCATTTCTATTTTATGCATATAAGAGAGCTTATTTATTTTATGGAAATTGAGGTTTAATAATGGCTAAAATAATTGAGGAAAAGCTTAAGCGACGTTACAAGTTGGCTGAAGATAGTTTCCAATATAATCTTTTGGTGAATGAATTGTTCTATCTACGGGAATTTGTTTCGTTGATTGAATTTGATCCAGCTCATCGTAATGATAGCGAAAATTTTGATAGATTTTTAAAAGATAATAAACTAAGTTTAGATGATTTAGATGAGGTTGGTGAATTGAGCAAGGACACTGCAAATGATAAGACTGATTCTATTCCAGCTGTACGAAAGAAGAGGAATTTAAGAGGAACGACTACTTCTTCTTCTAATGGCACTAATGTTCGTCCTAGTGATGGCATAGAAAAGAGTTGGTTGAATGATATTAATCAGATTGTTGATGAAAAATATGATGAATTGATAAATATAATTGGTGGTGGTGCTACTGGTGCAAGTGAGGGAAGTCCCAAGGAAAAAATTCATAATCTGACAAAAAAAAATATAGATCATAAGAAGAAAAATGGGCCTTCTTCTTCCTCCTCCAAAACAGCAGCAGCAGCAACAGCAACAGCAACATCAACAACAAAACAGCAAACTGTGAAAAATGAAACTATTAAACAAGAGACTGTGGACGTAGTACCTAGTAAATCAAAGAATAGATCAAAGAAAATTACAAATAACGTCAAGATTGAAGATGAGGTTGATGATACTATTGAGACCGTACCTCCATTAAAATTGATTAAAAATAGTTCAAAAAGAAAAAATGGCGGGAAAGCTAGTATTACATCGGAAAATACTGATAATGACGTGAAAAACATTTATCACGACTACACTCATAATGATAATATTAACAATAACGACGAAGATGATGACAATGACTATGGCAATAACGACGATGATTATGATTTTTATTTCACTTCATCTTCGGATGAAGATACAAAAAGACCTTTGACAAAAAGACAACGGTTAGCTCCAAATAGACCACATATTAATTTGATTGTACATCCACCAAATCAAACAATAACTAATCCAGGGCATGTGATAAAGCAAAAATATAATAATCTAAGTGAATATTTAGATTCTTTCAAATCTATGGATGAAGACATCACAATAGAAGAGTATAATAAATACATTGATGAACAGAGGGAAGTAGTAGGCCAGATTAGAAAGGGTTTAGAAAGCGGTGCTTTAAAATACGATCCAGTAACAGACTCTCTCCAACCCATTACAGAAAAAGATACAAGATTGATCCAGTCATACAGACCTCCTCCAATTTCATATATGTATAAAGAACAAAATTTACAAACTCATCAGGACCATTTGATCAATCAAGGTATTTATATGAGTAAACTATTACAAAGCAACAAAAAAGCAAGAATTTCGAGAGCACGTAAAGTGTCACAAATGATAGAACAACATTTTAGACATATCGCCGGTGCAGAAGAAAGAAAATTAAAAGAGGAAGAGAAACAAAGGAAAGCATTGGCAAGAACTGCTATGCAAGCTGTTAAAAGAAGATGGACATTGGCAGAAAAAGCATTTAGAGTTCTGAAAAAGGATGAGGAAGAAGAGCTGAGGAGAATTCAAGGTAAAAAGCATCTTTCTAAAGTTTTAGAACAAAGTTCGCAACTTTTGGGAGCCCAATTAAATCAACAACAAGACGATTCGGAAGTAAGTTCGATAGATAACTCTAAAAATGAATCTGATTTAAGCTCTTCGGAGAGTAATAATGATGATTTCTTAACTTCATCGGATGAAGAAATTGAACAAGAGTTAGAAACTAGTATTTCTGAAAAGTCAAATACAGTTGATGAAGCACTGACCACAGAAGAATTAAAGTTAAAATACAGAGAATTGGAAAATGTGAAATCAATCGTCAATACTTCAGAAGGTAATGATATAACAACACAAAATGAAAGTGAAAGTGATTCGGTAACAACAGAAGAAAGTTCAGAAAATGATGAATTGGAAGAAGATGAAGTTTCAGTATCTGAAAGCAAAAATATTGGGTTAGGTTCTTTATTTGAAAATACTGCATCGGGAGAAGAATCAGAATCGGATGAAAGTGTTGATTTTAAGATGGGTGAGTCAGATGCAGATGATATGAATATCTCTGAATCAGAAGATGAAACCATGGAGAAATCACCAACTCCAGCCAGTGAAAAATCTGAATTCAAGCTAGGAGAAACTGATCCTGTTTCTGTTGTTGAAGTACCAACTCCGCCATTACTAAGAGGAACATTAAGAATTTATCAAAAGCAAGGTTTAAACTGGTTGGCATCATTGTATAATAATAAAACTAATGGTATTTTAGCAGATGAAATGGGTTTAGGAAAAACCATTCAAACAATATCACTTCTAACTTATCTCGCTTGTGAAAAACAAAATTGGGGTCCTCATTTAATTGTTGTCCCGACATCAGTTTTATTGAATTGGGAAATGGAATTCAAGAAGTTTGCACCAGGTTTCAAGGTTTTGACTTATTACGGTTCCCCTCAACAACGTAAAGAAAAAAGAAAAGGTTGGAATAAACCAGATGCATTTCACGTATGCATCGTCTCATATCAATTGGTAGTCCAAGATCAACATTCTTTTAAAAGGAAAAAGTGGCAATATATGATTTTAGATGAAGCTCATAATATTAAAAACTTCAGATCTACTAGATGGCAAGCATTGTTGAATTTTAATACCCAAAGGAGATTATTATTGACAGGTACTCCTTTACAGAATAATATTGCTGAGTTATGGTCTTTGCTTTACTTTTTAATGCCTAAAACCATCACAAATGGAAGTGGTATATCTGGTTTTGCTGACTTGGATGCATTCCAACAATGGTTTGGTAGACCTGTAGATAAAATTATTGAAACGGGTGAAAATTTCGAACAAGATTTAGAAACCAAAGAAACGGTTAATAAGCTTCATCAAGTTTTGAGGCCGTATCTGTTGAGAAGATTAAAAGCAGATGTTGAGAAGCAGATGCCAGCAAAATATGAACATATCGTATCTTGTAGATTGTCTAAAAGGCAAAGGTTTTTATATGATGATTTCATGGCTAGAGCTCAAACAAAAGCCACTTTGGCAAGCGGAAATTTCATGTCTATTGTCAATTGTTTGATGCAATTAAGAAAAGTGTGTAATCATCCTGATTTGTTTGAAGTTCGACCTGTTTTAAGTTCATTTTGTATTGGTCACTCAGTAGCTTTTGACTATACTGATAAAAATAGAGTTGTTGAAAATTTATTATCCTATAAGGGGTATAAAAATAATGTAAATCTGAATACATTGAACATGGTGTTTACAAATAATGAAAGGTTAATGACATCATTCCATTCAAGAGACATAAGTAAATTAAAATGTATCGAAGAATTCACATATGAATTGGAAAGGTTAAGAAATGAAAGAAGAGCAGATATTGACGAAAGTAAGTTAGCCGTGGATATTAATGTTGCCTCTGAATTTTTTAAGCAGTTGGGAACACAAAAGTTTGATGAAACAATAAGCTCTTTGGAAATGAAAAAGGATATCAATATATTAAGATGTGATAAAAAGCCAGTGTATGGTAGCAATCTGATTAAATTATTGGACATAACTGATTCAGATAAAACTCATTTAGATTCTGTTTCCCCTCTAATTGAACCACTACAGACAAAAATCCTAAATAATAAGAAAATTATTGAGACTTTTGCCGTGATTACACCTCCTGTAGTTACATTAGATATGAGAAAGATGGCTTTAGGGTTAAACGGTACAAGTTCTTTACCTGGAAATTCAAAAGATTCATTGGCACTAAGTTTGAGAAATATGGAAAACCCACTTCATTTATTACAAACAAAGTTAACAATTGCATTTCCAGATAAATCATTACTACAATATGATTGTGGTAAATTACAGAAGTTAGCTATTCTATTACAACAGCTAAAAGACAATGGGCATAGAGCACTAATTTTCACACAAATGACTAAAGTATTAGATATTCTGGAGCAATTTTTGAATTACCATGGCTATTTATATATGAGATTAGATGGTGCTACAAAGATTGAAGACCGTCAAATTCTCACTGAAAGGTTTAATAATGATCCCCGTGTTACAGTGTTTATTCTTTCAAGTAGATCCGGTGGTCTTGGTATTAACTTGACAGGTGCTGATACGGTTATATTTTATGATTCTGATTGGAATCCAGCCATGGATAAACAATGTCAAGATCGTTGTCACAGAATTGGTCAAACAAGAGATGTTCATATCTATCGATTTGTCAGTGAGCATACTATTGAAAGTAATATTTTGAAGAAAGCTAATCAAAAGAGACAATTGGATAACGTTATTATCCAAAAGGGACAATTTACCACAGATTATTTCTCTAAATTGTCCGTTAGAGATTTACTGGGAGCAGATGCTACAGAAAATATTGTCAATGATGACAAGCCATTACTTGAAGAAGGTGAAGATGCAACCAAGGATCCTCGAAGCTTGGAAAAAATGCTGGCTCAAGCGGAAGACGAAGATGATATTCGTGCAGCAAATATGGCAATGAAAGAAGTTGAAATTGACAATGAAGATTTTACTGAAGAAATAAAGAATAATGATTCTGACGCTTCAGAAGAAAATAGTGAGTATAATCAGTACGAGGGTACGCGTCATATTGAAGAATATATGCTAAGTTTTATTGCTGAAGGATACTACTTCTAAATAAAAGCATAAGAGTAGAAGACACTTTCATTCAAGTTGTAACATTAATTTACAGAATCAACTATTTAAGTTTGATCTGGTCCTTGCCGAACAACTAAATACTTTATTAAGCAAGGTTGCATATAATGTAAATAAGCATTGAAATTCAAGAAAAATAATAAGCACTTTTTAACATACATAGCATAAATAATAATGCATTTTTAATTACATTTAAAATCCATAGTTCTTATTTATATATATATATATATATAAACTTCGGGTTAAGCGTTATGATTCAACAAATAACACATAGTTTTACAATCTGAGAATTTATATCGTCAATTATCGATTGCTTTAACCAAGTAACTAACATAAGCACAACTACAAGGATGATCTACTGTATTAATTTAACATCCTACTATGGATATTTCCCTTGATATAATACAATTATATATAACTCAATGGATATTATGTCAATTAGCCAAGTGTTTAAGCTAAGCTCAAACTTTTGATGTAATAATTAACATGGTATAAATGAAAAAGTTCTGATAAATTGAAGGGAATGTCTCAAGGGTAGCAACGAAAACTATTCGATTTTACTGAAGACGTTAACGAATTGACTATAAAAAATTCTGGTGTACCTCAACAATATGTACTTATACGTTTAAGTATTGATCGTATACCTTATTTGTCGAAACTCTTGGCTATAGGTCTCCAAGCTGTTCTGAGTTTTCGAAATGTCAGGGGAGGCGTAAGGTGATTTTAAGAATATATTACTCAGAATTCACCTTTAAAGTATAGGGAGAAACCGTCGATTCCATAATTGATTTGTAAATGTGTGTGTATATATATAAGCAAGTTGGATTCAATTGGTTAATAAATCTATTTAAAATTACATAAAGTTACTTAGAATTAGTCTTGATACTTTAATTTAAACCTTTTACACTTGCTCTAAGCAATAATAATAAATAACGCTACAATACTTTTCAATTGGAATTATCTGACAATTGAATTGAATAATAAATATAATACACTGAACTCCCAAAAATAATCAATTAAAATGTCTGAAACTGTTAAGTATTTTTACAAGGGTAATGACACTGATTTAATAATATATGTTAAGTCTGAAGATGCAGTCAAGAAATATTTGGCAGCACCAGCAATTAGCAAACTAGCTGACACTGTAGAAGTCTTCCAAATTTTTGCCAACAGTGATGGTAAAGGTGTTGAAGGTCAGCTTGGTGAAGCTTCTCATGCTCAATTAGAAAATGAATTTGGTAAAGGCAAAAAGACCGAAGACATTCTTGATTTAATATTAAGGAATGGTCAATCAAAGTCTGCTAGAAAGACTATATAATCATGGAGCCTGCAAGCCACTTTATCGTAATTAAATGATGATTAATAATGAGTACACAATTATAACTTATATAAATCTTAAATAAATAAAATAAATTCATTATTTTTTTTTTGAATTAAATTAGTTGAATCTATTGAAGTTCGTACTTTAAACTGAAGGCCAATTCGATGAGAAATCTTATATTTATATATTACTGAACATTAATACATACATATTTATAAAATGAAATATAGATATAATGATAATGATTTTAAATTATTGTACATATATTTTGAAGTGAGTGATTATTCAATATCCTTTATTTTTGTTTTATCAAAGTTTCTAATGGAGAGTACATGATGGGATGTTGCTATAGTAGAAATGACTAGTAAATAAAATTAAATCTTTTCTATTACTAAGTTTAGTATCTACCGCCACGGCCACCACCTCTAGAGAAACCACCTCTGGAACCACCGCCTCTGGAGAAGCCACCTCTGGAACCGCCGCCTCTGGAGAAGCCACCTCTGGAACCGCCGCCTCTGGAGAAGCCACCTCTGGAACCACCACCTCTGGAGAAACCACCTCTGGAACCACCACCTCTGGAGAAACCACCACCTCTAGAGAAGCCACCACGGCCACCTGGAGCGCCGGACTTCTTCTTCTTTGGTTTTGGTGGACCAGCGACCTTTGGTTTAGGTAAGAATCTTTCAATTGGTAGTAATTTGTCTGGAGCAATGTAGAATTTATCACCTTCTTTGAAACTAGCAGCTTGAACACCTTCAGAACACTTGATAGTGAAATAAACTTCATTTAATGGGCCCAAAATTTCATCAATTTTACCAACTTGAGTTTTATTTTCCAAGTAAATTGGAGCATTGAAGTATGGAATCTTGGTGTTGATAGAACGACAGACAATGTCACCTTCACATGGATGTAAGAAAGCACCCATTTCTAATACAGAGTCTGGAGGACCTTGTGGAGCAGAAAATCTACCACCTCTACCGGCAGAACCACCACGGCCACCACGGCCACCTCCTCTAGAGAAACCGCCTCTGGAACCACCTCTGAAACTCATATCTTGCTATTATCTGTCAATTAAACGTTCACCTGAACAAAAATTTCAAATCAAATTAAGTTCCAATTCAAATCTACAGAAAATATGCTGATTCAATTATTATGCAACCAAATAAAAACCAAATTTAATCACACAGGGAACACAAAAGGATTCTAGAGTACTTGGAAATAGACTTGCAGAATAGGAAGAGCTATCAATATCAGATCTTTTAAAACAATTTAGTTCTTCAAACTATAGTTATATTCTTTTAAAGCTCATCGATTTTTTTTTTTTCATCAAATTTTTATTTCAATGGGAAAGAAAAAAATTTTCACCAAAATCACGTGATAGTCTATTATAACAGATAGATATTTCAGTTAATTTAGTGAATTTGATGGTTTTTCAATCCCTTCCAAATGGAATGATCGGTATCACTGTATCTGTCGTGAGTTCAGGTTTCTATTGATACTATTATTTGTATATGTTCCCCTACAGAAATAGGCTCAAACTGCAGTTTTTATCCGTTTTTAATGGTTCAAAATGGTTCGAAACCGTCCATGAAACAACTGTCTATCATTATGTACGTATGATTTGGACTGATATCAAATTCAAATTTTTAATCTCAACAAAGACATACAGACAAGTTTAAAAGAAGGTTTGATTTCCAAGAGAACAATAGATAGAAAGATTTCACAAGTCACAGGAAAGTATATTTGTTTGTGCCGCCCCCAATTGGGAGATCTGAAGATATTTACTTATTGAATATAATGAACAGGGGGATTTCCGAATTGAAAAGGCCAATTTTATGTCTTGTGCCAAAGATTTCAACGAGAAGTTTTACTGGTTCTTCAATTTTGCAAGGTTCGAAAGCTGTTAGATTCTTGAAATCACAGAGGAGGAGACAAGACAATGAAGCTAAACAATCAAAGCTGAAGAATGTTTTAGACGACGTGGATCCGGTATTGGGTCGTCCAGAAACACCGTTTATTGATCGTATTATGGCAGAATTAAAGGAACCCTCGGTGTTAGCCTCTGGTTATAATAAAACTGAAGTTGAAAGACTATTTGCTTCTGTAGAGGCTACAAAGCATGAGGAATTGAACTTGTCTACTATGAATGCTAATGTGATAGAAAAGGAAGACTTGGCATCGATAGATGAGAGACGTGAAGCTATCTTCAGGATTTTAAGCATGAAAAATTCAAATCAAAAGGATTCAATGAAATTAGCCATACGTTTGGCACGTGAAGAATTTCAAAGATTCCCTGGTGATACAGGGTCTAGTGAAGTTCAGGCTGCATGTATGACAGTGAGAATTCAGAAATTAGCCGACCATATCAAGGACAACCATAAGGATTTTGCAAATATTAGGGTCTTGAGAATTTTAACCCAACAAAGACAAAGTATACTGAAATATTTGAAAAGAGATGACCCAAAGAAATATTATTGGACAATTCAGAAATTAGGTCTAAGTGACAACGCCATTACCACTGAGTTTAACATGGATAGAAGATATATGCAAGATTATAAATTCTATGGTGATAAGATTTTGATAAAGGAATCTAAGAAGAAGGCTGAAGAGAGACGTAGAGAAACTAGAAGACAGAAAAAGGCAGAAAAAAATGCACGCAGATTATAAGAACATATTTTGATAACTGTATTCAGGCATAGTTTATTAATTGTACAAACATCTCTAACTTGTAAATACTATTAGTTAGGAATTTAAACAAAGCGTTTAATTTCAAACAATTATAATATATATAAATATATACATTCATTAAAAACATGTTTGTTTTTTAAAATTTCATACTTTTATATTTACTAATACAACATTACACAATTTAAATATCCTCCTCTAAGGGTAGAGAGGGTTTTCCGATTCAGGGGAAATAGGTGTAATAAATGCAGGCTTATAACTATGCTTATGATTGTCATATATGCAGATGTAAGTGCTCGATTTCAGCAATTATACATCATACTCTTTTTCTCTTCAACGTGTTTTTGGCGAGTTCCTGAGTACAATCTGGACAATACCAAGCACCTTTGGGAGGTTCTTTTAAGTTGACACAACCATAATGAAACCATTCATATTTACAAGTTGGACCATCACATGCCACCATTTCACCATATGATACACTTTGACAAAAACAGTATAATGTTTTGTCCTCTTCATCTTCATTGTTATTATAGGCAGAAAATAAATCGTTACTTAAATCTTGTAATTCGTAATTGCCCTCCACTCCAGGTACTGGAGTACCACTTTTTTGACCACTTGGTTTGGTTGGTTGTTCTGGCTGTCTCGATGATGTCCGACTTTGCTGTTTTCTTTTCTTCAAACTTGGTTGTGCTGAAGCAGGTTCTAATGGTGCAGTAGTCTTCCTCTTCTTTTCAGAAGTAGTACTAGTAACTGAACTTGCTCTTGTACCTTCATTTCCACTATCAACCTCTTCTTCGAATGGTGCCAATAAACCATCTTCTTCTAACATTTCTATATTTTTTTCCAACTTTGCCAAATGTTTTGATACTAGAAATAGAGCTGTATTTGCCAAAATACATTTATCTTTCTGTATATCCTGGCATTTCAACAGCTCTTCTTTAACGTTTTTGTATAATTCTTGTTCATCTGGCTGCACTGCTAGTGAGCCATGAGCCTTAATATATTTGTGGATTATAGAATCATTTTGCTGGTATTTCTTCTTGTGATCATATAATTTCAAATCACCAGATTTTATTTCTTTCAATAAGAAGTCAAACTCTGACTGAAGGTTTGATATATCTTGAACAGTCTGCTCTAACACAGAACTAGGATCCATCGTGTAAGTAAGTTGTTATATATTGTTTGATCATACTCTTTATATCAAACTCTAAAATGCTAATGCACAGTACCATTTGGCTCCCTCTCTTATAAATTTCAAATTATAATATTTATATGATTCAGATAAATTATTAAAGAAAACGGATCACGTGAATCAGATCATACAATCATGAATTCAACCAACAGGCATGATATTTGATTTATCTTTATATCGTAGTTCTAGTATTATACAGTTTATATTGTTCTATATTTAGTTACATTAAATATGTGGACTGTTTCAGTCTGCTAAAATAAATAATGAATGGTGTGATGATAATTATATTGATTAAAATACATCTGGTAATTTTTCAATGACATAAGAGTGTCCACCGACACTCATTAATGGGATACCTGGAACTTTTCTGATTCTTTGTTTAAGCCCCACATCATTAGTTGCCACTATATAACATTTGTGTTGTAATACTCTGTTTACAATACAGTCATCGGCATAGGTACCTTTATGAGAGCAACTCAATCTCTTGATTCTTGGATCTCTTGCTAATCTTAAGGCTATACGATATTTAGGACCCAGCTTTTCCAATTCTGCCATTACACAGTCCGTTATTAGTGGGTTACATTTAGCCAAAAGACAGTCCATCATACCTTTTATAATATCGATTTTTTTTTGGATAGAAAAATTGATAAAATTGGTATCTATAAGCACTTGATATGGAGGCTTGATAGCTTCATTATACTGGAAAAACAATGCACTTGATACTTGAGGAACATTTCTTGTTAGTTCTGGATCATCTTTATCAGTCTTTTTAGGTTCATTAGCTTTTATTCTTTGATCCTTTTTTGCATTCAATGTACGTTTGACTAAAGCAAACTTTCTAGTCTTCTTAGCTTTACCCATTCTTAAGGAAATAAATTATAAGAGATATCCGAAACAGATAAAAAGCAAATAAGTGGCTAGTACCTTGAGACTGCTCTTAAAACTAACCTCTAATTAAAATATATTGTTGAACATTTAGCTTATCTTATAGCAATATAGAGGCATCTCTCTTTAAAATGGGTAAAGAATTTTTCATGCGATGAGATGAGCTTAGAAATTTGACAGCTCGTACAAAATTATTGTACTTCATAGTGGGAAGAAGGAAGGTAATAAATATAAACCAATTTTAACTAAAGCACTGAACAAAAAAATAGATAATACATTATGGAAACTGTTAATATATCAATCATTTGGTTCAATTTTTAGTTTGGTTGTTTCTCTACTATTTTTTTATGGCTTATTTGGTGGAAAAAGTTAAAACTTGCAATACAAAAAAATGGCGTCACAGACAGGATTCGAACCTGCGAAGGTAAAACCCAATGCCTTACAGCTGTTTCTTAGGAAATAGCAGGGCATCGCCTTAACCACTCGGCCACTGGGACGTCAAGTTATTTAATTGTGTGGTAAGGAATTTGCGGACAGCTGTGGTAATATGATAGGTCCGGGTGTATTGATTGTGTTCTATTTGGATATTACTTCGTACGAACATTGATAGTGATGAGATGTGTGTTGTTACAACAACGTTGTTTCATATTATCAATAGTGCTATTAAAAGAGTTTATTATGTATTATTTAGTGTATTAACATGTACATAAAAGAAATATAGAACTACATTATTAACTAATAGTATATTTACTTTATCATACAGATCTCTAAATTAAGATTCCCTTGAATAAACTCAGAACTCTCTTTATTCCAACTTATACCAAGCTAACTATACAACTAAATAATAATTAATACTCGCCAAATACTGGCCAAACAATGCATGATTTACCATGAATGTGAATATTAAGATGGCACAAATCAATGGCTAACACGACGTATATAAAGGACGGTGTTCCTGAGATATAAGGTACCCACTTCTTGCTATTCAACAGAAGAAGATAGAGATCTTTTTATATTTAATACTACTAAATAGTTACTATAATAGTTAAATAAACCATATAGAGCTTATAATTAGTAACCTTAAGTATTGGCATCTACTTCTTGTCTACCTAGATATATACTTAATACATTAACATTTAATATTCCGGATCCAAACAATACACTGGTCAAAAGATCAAAAGACAATTAGTGTCACAATAAGGAAGATGAGACATAAAGGAAGTTATATAAAAAAACAAGGTTTATATTATAACGAAGTATATTAGTTACACTTTTTATAGAGTTGTCATTTAGATATAACAAGGCAAGGGTTTTCTGTAGAGAATTATGTTGTGGTTTTTCTACCGAATCGTTCATAGTAATAGATTCTTTATTTATTTCCAAGGACATTCTTAATAAGTTGATATTGATCCAGTGTATTAAAGTATATAATATACACATGGGAATATAGTACATATGATAAGTATCAATTAAGATCTCATCATTTCTTATATACAGTGTTGGAAAAGTTTTCAGCGTCAGTAATAACACTTTCGTGTAAAGTAACATTTCTTTATCCTATATGAATAATGTCGTAATACGTCTAGATCACGTGTTACCTCATAATTCTGACATTTTCATTACAATAATATTCTGTGTTTTTTTTACTCGACCAAATGACATCAGATCAATTCTAACCTCTGATTTTTTCTATTTTGCAACTTGAAGCCCTAAAAATAGTGTTTACAGAAGAAATTAATCTTCCAGCTACATGTCATTCACCACTAATGTAGAAAAAATTAACAACTTAAAACGGAATAAATTGTGGATACTCAAGGTTGAATATGATTACAAACTATTTGACGACAGCCAACATTGAAGACGTCATTATATTCTAAATGGACCTTGTTGTATTTTGTTTAGACCTTAGTAACAATAGTCATTTAAATTGAAACATATTTACTACAAATTTCTAGTTAATGTTAATATTGTATAACAAAGCAATAAAGTAAAGAAATTTACTTGAATAATTAAAAACATTAATTTATAGAGAAAAAATATAAAAAATATCAAATAGAACTTATTTCAATTGTAAACTAAAACTGATATTATGTAATTAAATACTATTTGATAGACTTTTAAAAATATAAATGGCTAAGAAATTTTCATCTTAGTCAATTGTAACCAACCATGAAATAGTTAACAATTATATAAACGAAACATAATTGAAGGAGAGAGAGTAAATATAAAAGTAAATATTCCCCCAAAAACTAAAATCAATCCTTTTCAGAAGAGCAATCACAACTTTTTTTGGAAGTAGCACACCCTTTTTGTTTATTTAAGCATAAATCTGAATCCTCACAGCACTCACAACATATCTTTATTTTGCAGATACAGATATTCTTTGAATCACATGGTTTTTCCTGGCTCTTGTGACAACTTTTGATTGTACATGAACATTGAGATGTACAAATTTCTATTCCGCAAGTACATTTTGGAATATTAGTTCTACAGCAGATTTTTGGCTTACCTGAACATGAGCATGAGCATGAGCATGAGCATGAACATACCTTTTCACAGCAACTACACTTTTGTTTCTTACAACAACCTCTCTCCTTTTGTTCACAGCTGCAATCTACCTTCTTATTGCCAATACAATCATCTTTATCACAGCATTTTGAGTTGCTTTGGCAGGTACATTTCTTGTCACCGCATGTTGAAGGTTGCGAACTATTTCCACATGAACATGAAGTTTGACATGATGTACATTCGCATTGATCATTACATTTACCTACTTGCTTGACCATTTTTTAAATATTATATTACCTTGTATTTTTGTTTTATATCAACGACACTAATTATTACCTTTGTTAGTGTATGCTTTTTTTTACAATTAAAAGAATAAAATGGAACTAATAATCATAGTTATTTCAAGAACTTTAAAAATTTGAAATTACAAGAAATGTAATATCAACATCTGTTTATATACCTTTTAACTATTTGTAAAATCCAAAAATTACAATAATAGTTCAAATTAATTTGATTCATTGAACATTTCAAAACAATTCAGCAAAACTACCTCAATCTACATAATTGATAAATGAATCAAAAATATTAGAAGAGAAGGAATGAAGTATAATTAAATAAATAAAATGTATAATCTTCTATGTCTTCTAGAAAGATTGTTTTGGATATAAACTTTCATATACAATTCAAAATTACAGGATATACCATACCACCTCATACAGCATTAATCCCGTCTCCATTTGAGGTTTTAATTCTGTACGTAAACAGCAAAAATAACGACATCAAAGCAAAAATAGAGCCAAACATATGGTTGCCATTGGATTGATCAGCCAATAAATAGAATGTTACAAAGTATTGGAAGACGAATACTCATCTCGGAGTATATGGGGTGCCTATTGTTGCTTTCAATGCACAACAACTCAGCTAAGACTAAGAGAACAGTATGGATATGGATGGAACGATACAAACTATTTTAAAAATGGTAACAAAAGAGCGACTATTGCTGACTGAAGTAACATATGTAATATATTAAAATCAACTATTTCTAGTAGCAGATATTTCATATGGAAAAGAAGAACAAAATAGAGTTGCCCTGAATGTATCCACTGATATCCTATCTTCATTAAATAATTAAATAATTACCAAAAGTGGAAATGATATCTTATCAGCAAATATAACTCGAATTTTCTCGAATAATGATCAAATAAGAAAAGTATAGTTAACTCTTGGTTGTTTCAATGATTTTACATGAGTTGCAGAAGTTAAAAAAGTTATCATCGTCATACCGTTCTATCTATTTTCTGATTATTTTGGTTGCTGGCTGGGGAGAATGCCTGCACAATTTCTTGAACAGTTTGAACTCAGGTAAGATGTATTTGGTAAATTTCAATAAAATTCAAAAGAATATAATGTCCCTTAGTTGTGTATACTTGATTAGAGGAATTATGGAGTATGTTTTTGGTTTGTGATCATTTATTATCCAATATGCCAGATATTTTATGTACAAAAAGTATAAAAATAATATCTCCCGGGGGCGAGTCGAACGCCCGATCTCAAGATTACTTTGTTGAAACATTACAGTCTTGCGCCTTAAACCAACTTGGCTACCGAGAGGTGATATTATGAAATTTTTGGTAATATATTTCTTAGTCGTTCCAGATTATAAATATTTTTTGATTTTAGAGATAACATTATACGAATAAATCGGCATTCCATAATCAACGGATTTGTGTGTTATAATAACCTAAAATATACTGTAGATGGCTGACATTGGTCATGTGAGCCTTTTTATAGTAAAGTCATACTATCATGTCTCACGAGTGTTTGTTCGAACCGAAAATGCTTCAACGCATCTCAAAGTGTATAAGAACCTTATGTAAGATAATATAACAAGCAACTATGTATCAGACTTAAAGAAATGATCCAGTTATCTACTAAAAGAGTGACAGTGAGAGTTGAAAGTTACCCTTTACGCAATTGTGGTAGCGCTGCTGTAAGTAAGGCTGAAATGGATGACAGCATTGACTTAATTCAGATCTTAGAAGAACAGATCCACCAGATGGAACTTCAACGAGAGAAGATCTGGTTAGACACTAATATCGACGACAAAATTAAAATTAAAGAAACTACAGAATTGATGAGTCAAGTCGAACAAATCAGACAGCTAATTAAGGATGCTAAAATTGAATCCAATCAAAATTCAAACGATATTACAGAAAATAAAACCCAACATAAAAATATGAATTATGACAATAAAGATATTCATCATGTAGAGAAAGACGACAAGCTCATCTTCACAATGTACAAAGGACTATATGAAAGTAATCTGATTCCAAAAAAGGATGAATTTGGTTTTTACTATGAAATAAAAAAGAGAAACCAAGATATTATAAAGTTTTATTTTGAAACTCAAACAGCCAAAATTGACTTCACTCTATCCAAAATTGACGATTTACATTTTTGGATTAATAGTTTGAGAAATTTCCTAAGGAGGTGGAGTTTTACCGATTTTACTGTACCAAACAAAGATACAGAATTATCAATGGATGAAAACGACATCATAAAGCATGCAATATATGAAAGCACTCACAGTTATCATAAGCATATAGTCAATAATGAGAGGACTGCAAAAGATATCTACGATAACTTGAAAAAGAGGTACACGAATAGATATTCAACTTTTATCATAGAACAGATGTGGGAAAATATCCTTATTGACGCTTCCTGCTCAGATATTGAGAAGATGGATGATGATTTGAACTCAATGGTAGTGATTGAATACAACAGTATAAAATTCAATCACGTTTCACACACTATTACCAATGAATTCATTAATAGGAAGATTAAGAAGTGTATTCATATTTACCTAGACAGAGCCGTAGATAGCTATATTGTTTCTGAAAAATTAAAGCGAAGGAATATTGATATCAATCCAGTTGATTACATCGAATACATAGGTACCACTATTCGATCCATTCGAGAAAAGAATGACATATACGACATTGAAATTAAGCTATGTAACAATTGTCAATCTGCCTTTCATAGTGCAAAAAACTGCAGATTTAGGTCCTACCTAAGACAGTCTGGAACAAGACCCTTTCATGATAAATCAAAGAAATCAGGAAAACCTAACTGGAACAGAAACAAAGACAATAGTAGCGGATGAGAACGCAGATTCGAAACCAGGAGGGGGCATATATTCGTAGATGGAGGAACTTAAGCTGGATTAGACGGTAGACCAGGGTAAGACATAGTTAGGATAGTGTGAGCAAAGAATGATTAGGTTAGTTGTAAGGTATAAGTACAATTATACGTTAGTAACCGGGAAACTGTTACTCTTATATCATTATAGAAGGATTCAATAAAGGGCAGGAATAGTTTTACTAAAAAAGAAAACATAAAAACATAAGAAAGTCCACACAAACAGACCAATTCAAAAAATTTGTTATCATTGACACTGGTTCAGGGTTTGAGATCACCAACATTGAAGACCTGCTCATTGAATACACTCCTATCAGGAATCCTCCTGGTTTAGTGGTAATGGGCGAAGGCAAAAATCCAATTAAACTGGAGGAGGATGCCATAGTAGGTACCGAAACTTTCTTCTGTCCTTATGAAGATGCTACAGCACCACACGGAAGGTTCAACCACCTGGGGTAAATACTATCACTTTATGCAAAGATCCGAACAGTTTTGGGTATATTTTCTATTTTCCGGAACAAAAGACAATAGTTTTGGCCAGTAATTGTGTTTTACCAAATTTTATGATCGATGCTTCGAAAGTAGATGAAGTCAATAACGAAACTAACATATTATCAAGAGTGCTATTAAAAGAGATTATTGTATATTACTGTGTATTATTTTGTATTTTAACTTGTACGTAAAAAGATCAATTAATAACAAAATTAATGTTGTGACCTAAAATATAGGTAATATAGTTGTAGGTTTACAGGATATTGTTATAAAGCAATAACTATTTATTGCAATGATAAGGTACAATCGAAGATTACAAATCCAATAGATTATTAATATGATAGTGTACAACTATGAATGGTATTGATAGTTTGCAACTATGATTAATGATTACAAGAATAAACTATAACCTAGCAATTGACAACAATCAATTGTATCAGTGGTAGTGAAGTGCAAAGGACATGATATTTTTGAATATCGAAATATCATCTGTTCAATTTATTATTATATATTTATTTAGTTCAAATATAAGACTCCACGGAGAAATAAATAAATATTACTAATACTTCAAAAATCATCTTAAATAAATCACTATAATGAAAAACTCAGATATTAAGTTAACATCTGAACATAAACATACAACTGTATATTATTGCATATAACTTACTTAATTCGTACATTAGAAAGAGGATATAGAACTCTTTAATAGTAAATATATTTATTAACAGTACTAGACTGCTACCAAACAGACGAATAGAATAAAAGCAATACCAAGCACTTATTCAACGTACGATTACTAGATATCTATAAATTAAGAATTCACAACAAAGAATACAAATCACCAAAATCACGTGATAAAATATCCTGCAAACCTAACAGCATATTCACTATGCTGTTAGGTCGTAACAAAGAGAAACTAGACATATTACCCGGACCCACCAGAGCATCGCAATTATCGCCGAACTCCTTACGACATTTGCTGTTGCCTAGTAACCTCAGCTAACAGCGCGCTTACAACAAATATCGAAAATGGTTGCAAACTCATCACAAACAGAAGTTTATATAAAGAGGCCAATTAACCTAAGGTTCAGATATGATCAAATGTATACAATTGTAGAGTTTAGATACACAGATATATAGAGAGGTAAGCGTGAGAGTACTCGATTAAGTAAGGATTACTTCAGGGATTGTATACTTGTTAACTATATAACATCTCGTAGTGCTATCCAAGTGTACATTGGTGAATAATACAAACTTAGACTAACAAAAAAATGGTTAAAACACACATCACCGTAATAGCGACAATACTAGTTGCAGCGCTAGCCTGGGTTGAATCTCCTGATTACGATAAATCAGTGATGCACGCAGCGATCTGGGCTGCCATCCTGATGGCGAACACCATGCCGGATTTTAGTTATTTTGCAATATGGGGGGCTTTTGCTCATCATGCTCTGCAGACCATAATTGCGGTGTGGGAGTTATGCATCGATTGCAAAATGGATAGCAAGTGTCTGACCTCAGACTGTAAAAGAAGTATAGAATTGTTGACTTTTTCTTCACTAAGTACACTACTATCATTGAGTTACAGTCTCGATGTTGTACTCTACGGGAGGGGTCATGAAGATAACGGCTATATCGTGAAGGAGACTAAGCCAGGTAAAATAGACTATCATGCGCTATTCAACAAATCAATCTTAGCAATGACAGTTATAATGAAGTTACTATTCTTGAAATGGGCGAACAACTAATTAAATGCGACCAAGATGTACTAGCCTCAGCATTAGTATACAATCAGACACCAGACACACACCGCCATTATAAGAGGTATAGTGACGGAGTTTCGCCAAATGGGGTCATTGATGTGGCCCCGGACGGGTTGCGTCAGAATGGTAGCTATAGTAACTCTGCTAGCATGGCCAATGATAAACAATTCCAGTCGCATAGTTATGACTGGTACCTATGTGACCAGTATCATGTTATCGAATATTGTGTCAATAATAGTGGGTGGGGAGGACTGATCAGAATGATTTAATACTTCAGACCAATTTTCAATGCTTCCCACCTCATTGCCTGAGATGTATTATTTTGAGGTTACTTCTTATCAGCCTTGATAGTGATGAGATGTATGTTGTTACAACAACGTTGTTTCATATTGTCAATAGTGCTATTAAAAGAGATTATTGTATATCATTTAGTATTTTAGCTTGTATGTAAAAAGATCAATTAATAACAAAATTAATTAACAGTATATTCACTTTATCAGACAGATCTCTAAATTAAGATTTCCTTGAATAACCTCAGAACTCTCTTTATTCCAACTTATACCAAGCTAACTATACAGCTGAATAATAATTAATACTCGCCAAATACTGGCCAAACGATACATGAGTTTTTGAGCACGTGAGTAAAAATATAAGAAACTACGATGACACGGATTTCAACGAAACCGACTACTTGGAACGATTTTGAAAAGTTAAAGTTAGTAATTGTGTCACATCATTCTTACCATTTATGTATGACTGCACCTTGACTTAAACTAAGGTGCTCTAATTTATTACATTTTTATGTTTTGAGGCTTTTGTTTTTTAATATTTATATTTTCTCTTCCATTTAGAGCTTTGATAGCTATTTTATTATGTTTTTTATAGTTCAATCTGGTTAATAAAAAACCTTTGCAAAACATAAAATTCTATTTTCAACTAATAAAAGTAAAGTTCTTAACCTTAAAATGTAAAAAAAAGAGGAGTTTACAGTAAAATAACCAGCTAACGAAACGATTGAAATTACAAGTGAATATGAAATCATTACATCTGTCATAATGGTAAGAGCTTTAAGCTTTAATGAGAGTAGATATACGTTACATAGGCATTTTGACCTAGTATCGAGATCAGTGAGTGGTAACTCGTTCATCCTCCCTTAACATAGTAGTCTTTGTAACATAAATAGTTTATACTTTGGAACTAAAAATTATTTGTTCCTTCTATATATTGGAAAAATCGATACATCCACCTTGTGCGAAAGACAGCAATGGTGACATAAACTTTATCCTCGAGCATCCAGATCAAAGTCACAACGACATCGTCAGTACAAGTAACATGACCACTTCAAACCTAAATCTAAATGTGTATGAACCTTTCGAAGATAAACCGTTAGACGAAGTCTTGTGGAATAAGAGGACAACAGACAGATATATAGTTGAGATAAGATAGATAAGATAGATAGGATAAATATGGTAGATAGAATTGATAGAATTGTGCTGACATTAGTCATGTGACGTTTCTTATAAAGCCATATTATCATGTCTCACGAGTGTCTGTCCGAAGTGAAAATTCTTCAAGGCATCTTGAAGTATAAAAGAACCTTATGTAACGTCATATATTAAGTAACTATGTATCAGAATAAAGAAATGATCCAGTTATCTAGTAACAGAGTGACCACAATGAGCCAACGTAATCCTACAAACCAGTAAATTGATACATTTAGAATCGTGTCTAAAACTGGGCACAGTATGCGCCACAAACTCCAACGAGCCCTAGACAATACCCTGGAAAACAGGGTATTCGTATATAACGATCCAACTTATCCTAAAAATCCTGCTTTCTTGGCAGCTTATCGCCCACCACTTAAAGAAGTTTAGTTTATGGTGTCTGATTTGCCTGTTCATACGTAAGTTAAAGTCATGAGAGCTTGTTTGCAAAAAAAACAAACTTTATGTTATAAGGACTTATAGAGCTATTGAAAAAAATCACCACAATTAATATGGTTTCGTGGTCTAGTTGGTTATGGCATCTGCTTAACACGCAGAACGTCCCCAGTTCGATCCTGGGCGAAATCAAATTAATTTATTTTTTCCATCCCATAAAAATTGAGCCATTTCTTCGTCTCATGTTTTCTTTTCTTTTTCCTTTTTCTTCCCATTGGCTTGTCCAATGGGACAATTTTATAACCAGCTACTTTCTTTCTTCTCTACTCTTCTCTTTCTTCACACTGGTCTCTTCCTCATCCCCCTGCAGGAGCCGACTCCATCATCTCCTGCTAAACCCAAAAGAAACAACATGAGTTTCATTTTTTTTTATTCCTTGTCCTCACATTAGTGCCAAGCACCCACCACTAACATCACCATCTCATCCCATCCCATCCCATCCAGTCCATCTCCCAACCGCAACAACTAATACAAGAACGACCGGTACTACCACCGATGATGATACTCTGCTCTCTCTTCCTCCTGCCCCTTCCGATGCCTTCCAAGAACTCATCTTTCAATCACTACAAAGTACTACAGAGTAGAGTATATTGCAAGGACTCTTAATATATCAATGCAATGCGGGTCAAACTACCTGCCCTATTGTTAGCGTTATGGGTTGATTGTGATCCGTATTACCGACAAAACCACGTTACTCTAAGACCAAATGTACTTGTTTTCTACTCTTTGTTCACCCTTATCCATCTCTTACACTTACACAACCTAAATGAGGTCTTCTTCCCCCTTCCCCTCCCCTCCCTTTGTAGCACACCCTCTACAATTCAAGGATTACTGATAAATACAAGAAACAACCAGACAGACAGACAGACAGACAGACAGACAGACATACATACATACATACACATCGGACTGGACAGGACACTGTATGCTAAATATAGATTACTATTAAGCACTAACCCAACCCAAACCAGGCCAGGCCAGGCCATACCTCATCCATATACACATCCATCTAGATAATACCACGTTGTAGAAGACCATTGAAAAGATGAGAAACTGAGATATCTTGGGGAGGGGGGGGGGGACAGAACACCTCAACAACTACACATCATCATCATCATCAACATCATCTCTGTTGTTGTAGTTGTGCATGCTGAGTTAACGTCCATCCCATTCATTCTCTTGAACGATAGATATATTCACTTTCTTTTCTTATTGAAGTATATATTCTTGAATGGATTAGAATGAATTCAACTGGAAGGGAAGGGAAGGTCACAGGTCCAAGGTAGGGTAGAGAGAGAGAGGGTGGGTGTATTGCAATCAATTTAAGATTAATTTCAAATCGACACCAGACCTCTCCTGGCCCCAAGATAGAGTTTGTCATCTTCTTGCTTTAAATACAAACACAATTAACTGAAAGCTAAAGCTTTCAGTTAAAGCTTTAGGCTTTAGGCTTTAGCTTGTAGTTGATTCATATGTCAAAAGTTGCAACAATCGTCTCATACGTCTCTTGGTACTGAGAAGATATTGTTATTAATTACGGATTTATCCGAATTCGATTCGAATTTTTTGCTTTAATTCATATAACTCATAACTGATAACTGATAACTGATAATTTAAAACTGATAACTTAAAACTAATAACTTATAACTAATAACTAATAACTTATAACTTGTCTTTTTTTTCCTTCTTCATCTCTTTTTTAAAACTAACTTTGGTTTCTACCCATTTAATTTAAATTAGTAAAGCTCACCATCTTTCAATCTATCGATTGGTATCGGTTTATGCATATTTCTTTATATTGCATCTAAATATATTATACATTTGCCTTACCACCATTTTTTTGTTCTGCTAAAGTGTATCTTTTCGATATATTTTATTCTCTATCAATTATAGCTATTAGGAACTGCTATTTGTGAAAAATACTGTAATAGAATTAATTTATTGGTTCGTGATCGTTGTTACTACTATCAGTTTTTGTTCCATTCTGTTGTAAAGGAAAAATATAAATACAGGCTATTCCCACACATACCTTCCATTTATACCTCTCTATTTCAATTAATACCCTCATCATTATCCCCTCATTACGGACACTCCACTGCAACTACAAAATGAGTTTTGATAGTTTTGTCAAAAACGAATTTTATTTCAACAATGATGTCGATAATCAAGCTGATATTATGGCTATGATTAAACAGCAAGAACAAGATGAGATGAATTTAGTTCCAAATAATAATAATAATATCAATGGCAATACTGACCCCAGTGCCTTTAATAACGATAATAACTTTAATAACAATGTAATCCAACAAAACCATCCTATCATGAACTTTAATGAAAATAATACCAACAACAACACTTCTTTATTCGAATACTCTCCTATCGATTCAATCAAAAATGATAGCATGCTTCACTCAGCTAGTTCAAGCAATAATAATATAACTATCTCACCAAATAGTACTGAAAATTTCCCTTTGGATCATCCTATGTCAGATGATAAAGCAAAGAAGAAAGAACGTAATAGACAAGCTCAAAAAGCTTTTAGAGAAAGAAAAGAGGCCAAATTAAGAGAACTAGAATCAAAATTGAGAGAAAGTGAATTAAACAAGCAAAATTTATCATTGGAATTAGAAAATTTGAAAAAAATTACTAACCAACTGATACTAAATAACAATAACAATAAAAACGATACAAGTAGAAACCAAAGTCTACCGATGAGTCAAACTGGTTCACAAAATGAGAATATTAGTCCAAATTTTAGTCAGGATTCTTATTCTTATAGAAACAGTGTCTCTCATGACATCAGCAATCAAAATTTAAGCTATCTAGATAATGAAAATATCAAATTCAATTTCCCAACAGAAGATGAATTCTTCGAACAAATTCTAAGTGGCAAGCAACATGGCTCAAATTCAAAAAATAAACTATTATACAAGGATGATACAAATAACCAGCTGTTGACAGTGACGGCAACTTGGGAGTACTTACACAGTCTGACGGATTTCTTAGACTTTGATATAGCTCAAGTAATGGAAAACTTGAGAGGTAACGAAGTCTGTCATGGCCATGGCCCTGCTTACACCAAAGAATTAATCGACGCTGCTGTAGAGAAAGCTATAAACGATTGTAAAGTGTAGGTTTAATAATTATTTTTTCTTTGTCTATTTGAACTAATAACAAATTCAAATATAAATTCAATGACGTTAATTATTATTATACTTTTTATTATTATTACTACGAGCAATTTTTTTTAAAGAAACTATAACAAATCAAAAAAATAAAGATACATATAAAAAATCGTACTAATTTTTTTCATTAATACTAGTATATATGCATTACTAGAATTCTCTATCTCTTATATAAGTTATTTTATTGTTAATATTGAACGGTACAAGTACCTGCACTACTGATATGACATTCAATATTTCGATGTCAAAGTCGGTGACGATTTAAATATGATGCAATTGCATCAGAGTGAACCAAATTGGTGTCTTTCAAAATAGACTATTGATTGTAGAATAATTCAAATTACTGACGTTCCAATTGAAATGAAATGAAATTAGTGGTGGTTTTACAATAACATCTTCTTTTATGTCACAGTTATCGGATCCAAAGGGGAGGAAGCCAATTATAAAGAGAAGGATTCCAAGATCCCACTCATCCTGTTTTGTTAAATAAATTAGTAGGTTGTATTATATAGATTTGTTATGTATTATTTAAAGGTTTTAAATACATTGGTTTATTAAACTTGTATCTAGTAGTCTTTATGAATTAGATATTTACCCGAACTCTTACAAGTTAATTACGCGTGATGGGTCCTGAGTACGCGTCAGTTTCCTAGAAATATATATTTAAAGATAGATCGATCAAATCTATCCATCTAAAGACTATTTAATTATAATATCTAATTTAAATAGGGTGACTCCATTAAACAAGTCCTTGTGCTGGTCATATTTCATTTGAAGGACCTTTTATAGTGTTCCCTCCAGCCTTGCTTGATCCAATTTTATTACTGCTTGGAATAATGGATTATATGAACCTGGGTGTTAAATCCAGGAAAACTGGTATAAATGCTAAACAAAGGACAAGAGATGAATATTCTATGGAAAATATAGATGATTATTTCAATGACGATGATACTGTGAGTTCAATTGTTTCCCAACCTAGAAGGAGACACTCCAGGAAGTCATCATTGTTAATTATAGATAATAATAATAGTATTGTTGATACTAGCAATGGTGATGATAATAATAATAATAAGGGTGGAACCCTTTCTAATACGGACAACGAAGGTTTTAGAATACCCAATACCCCTATAATAAACTCCAGAAGAACTTCGCAATTGCATTCATTCAATTCAGTTAATGATTTTGATCCAATACTTGAAGAAGGTCCACAAGATGAATCTATATCTAATTTAGGATCACCTCCTATCCTGAATCAGCGAAGGTATGTTCCTGAAAATGACAATGATCAGTCAATGATTAGATTGACGCCAGAAAAGAGACAGAAACCAGACTATAGAGATGTTCCAGATCTAGTAGCAGACGATGACGAAGACGCAAATACTACACGAGATAATACTTCTTTCAACACTTCAGATAATGCAATACTTGAAGACGAATTAGGTGATGACTATGAACTAATTAGTGAAGAAGATAGAGATTACATTTTAGGAGATTCATCAATTGATGAAGGTTCTTCAACTACAGATAATAGTGATAATGATAATAATTCTAGTGTTGAAGGGGACAATGCTAATGAAATTAATTCAAGTATAGTAGAAGAAGAAGAAGAAGAAGAAGATGATGATGATAATGAAGAGATATCGTTACCAAGGAGTTATAGATCTAATGTTCCTGTCAGTTCTGATGAAGAGTTCCCTAATTCAAATGAAAATGAATTTACAAGTAATAAAGATGATAATGATGGTTTAAGAAGGTCAAGTAGAGTTAAAGTAGCACCATTGGAATATTGGAGAAATGAAAAAATCGTTTACAAGAGAAAATCTAATAAGCCACAGTTGGATATAGAAAAAATTATTACATATGATGTTGTTGATGAGGACGAAGCTGAGGCAGAAGAATTTCAAAGACAAAGGAAGAAGAAAAAGGCAGCAACAAGAACAAGACCTTATAACTATGTTCCAACTGGTAAACCAAGAGGTAGACCAAGGAAGACACCAAACTATGACCCGAATGGTATGAATCCAAACAAAGAAATTCTTGATGAAATTTCTTCAGGTTCAATCCATTCTGCAAATTGGTTAAAGAAAGGTATCTTGCAAACAAATGTCAATGTAAATCTTAATACAAAAGGTGATGAAATTGTGGGTTTTGGTCCAAACATAGCACAATCAGCACAATCAAAGGAAACGAAAGAAGAAAACTATTCACTTGAAGTGATGTTTGATAAGCATAAGGAACATTTTGCAAGTGGGATGTTAAAATTACCCATTCACGCAAAAAAAAAATTAAGTGACTCCTATAATACCTTCATGACTTTTTATATTATCCAGGGCATTGTAGAGGTGACACTATCAAATAATAAATTTATAATGACTGAAGGTTCAACCTTACAAGTTCCTGCTTTTAACGAGTATGCATTCGAAAATATTGGACGAAATGAAGTAAAGATGTTTTTTGTTCAGGTGTCTGTTCCTGAAGATTTCAACAGTGATCCAAATAGAAAGGTTTCTTCTGTGTCTAGTATAATGGAGAGTGAAGATGAAGAGGACGGAGAGGAAGATGAATTCAGTTTAAAAACTGATAACAATCTAAAAGAAACTAGAAATGAAAAGAGTGAAAATAATTCACCTGTACCAAGCAACATGTCATTAGGAAGTACAATGAGTTTGTCTGAAATCTAAGTTTTCAAAAATTTGTAACAATAATTTTAGCATTGATAGGGCGATATCCAATCACTTTAATTTAATTATTAAATAGCATTTAAATATATCCATATATTAAATTATTCTCCAGAAATCTTTTTAGCATGTTTTATGCACTCCCCTTGTTAATAATAAAAAAAAATTTAAAAAAGTTTTGAATTGTACTTATCATATTTGATTCTATATATTTACATTACATTTGAATATGATATTAATAGTTGAAGTCTATTAAATATCTATCTCTTAGTAATCTGATTCATCATCACCATCATCATCCATTTTCTCGGATAACTTCTTCATGCTTGCCAGTTTCACTAAAGGCGCTAAAGATTCATTACTATCGGCTATTTCTGTAATAAATGGATCTAATAGTAAATCTTTTGCAGAGGCTCTTTCGTCTGGATTGACCTTTAGACACCATCCTAAGAAATTATTCAGGGCATCGCTTAATGCTTCTGGTTCTTTCAGGGAAGGTGTACCATTTGTTGCAATTAAATACAATGCTCTTAATGGTGTTTCATTTAGATATGGAGGTTCACCTTCAATCATTTCTATTATCATAATACCTAATGACCATATATCAACTTTTGGACCATATTCTTTCCTTGAAACAACTTCTGGTGCCATCCAATACGGAGTACCGACCATTGTCGTTCTTTTTAAATTCAATTCATTAATTTGTGCACAAAAGCCAAAATCTGTTAACTTGATGTCACCTCTCATGGATAGTAGAATATTATCAGATTTTATATCTCTATGAATAACACCTTTGGAATGTAAAAACTGCAGACCTGATAATGTCTCTCTACAAACAGCACCAACTTGAGCCTCTGTTAATAAACAATGTGTAACGACGTCTGTTAAGGATCCACCTTCCATATATTCCATAATAACCCATAAATCGCCCTTCAATAAATATGAATCTATAAAATTAACAATATTTTCATGCTTGCTTTCTTTCATAACTATAATTTCATTAATAATTAGTTCCTTTTTAGGTTGTTTCTCTAAATTCATTTGCTTGATTGCAACATAACCTTCCCTAGTCGGATCATGAGCTGTATAGACACCACCTGAAGCACCTTGTCCAATCTTAATTAAGTCCGTATATTTAGAACTTGGATCGCCATCAGATACAATTTCAGATAGTCTTTGATATAGCAATTTAATAGCTCTTTCCCTTTCCTCTCTCTTCTTTTCTAATGATTTTGTATTTACCTTCTTAGATGCATCTCTGTTTATATTATTTGTATTTGGAATTGGTGGCATCTTTTTATCGTTGGCTACATTTGGATTAACCTTAGTAGTGTCATCATTAGGTAGTGGGGGAAGAGGCTGTTTTTCCTTTTTAGCGGTTTCGTGACGAGATGGTAATCTAATCGATTTCTGACTTGGTGATTTTTTAACAGTATTTATATTATTCGCCGAAGCTGGTAGACTAGGTGAAGATAATGGTGGTGTTAAACTGCCGCTAGGTTTAACTGGTGGCTTTGGTGCAGGTCTTGTGGGTATAAATTTATCGCTTGATGAGGATTTTGGTAAAGAATCATAAGATCCCATTATTGGGGAATTTCTAATATTTGGTGTCGAAGCCGATGATGGAAATTGTTGTAAATGAGATGAGTGTGCATTGTAAGAAACCTCTGGCGAAAGTGGACTTGGTGATGACTCAAACCTGTTTACTGATGACGAAGACGGCGTTCTAAAAGATGCTACCAAATTGGTGTTTGAATCTGAAACCTTAAATGTTTTCAACATTTTTTCTTCACCACTTGTTTTGGTAGCATCCTGATAGAACTGAACAATGTCCATTACGGCCTGTAGGTTTTGCTGTTGTTCTTTTTTGGATATACCACTAGATGTTAATAATCTTTCCCATTCTTCAGGAAGGCCGGTATATTCACCAGTCTTTGTATCAATTCCCACATGGTGAACATGTTTTGCATTATATGGAGTTGAAATCTTGACACTACTACCTGACTTTCTTTTTTCACCCTGAGAATTCCTTTTCATATTTTGAACAAATGAAGAGAAGACTCCTTTCATTCTGCTGCCACTGGTTTTTCTTTTACTTATGTCAACATTACTTGATGAATTTGATGAATTTATTTGATTTGAGATTTTTGAGTATGAATTTATTTTGGGGCTATTCTGTTGAGGGGCCTTTAAATTAGTTAAATTTGTTGCAGACCTGTCAGATGCTTTAATCGTCGATATAGGAACACTTCCAGAATATGTAGACTTGGGTAATATTATACCTTGTTGAATTACTGGTGTAGTAACGTTTGCGGAAGTCATTGGTGGTGTAGGATTAGGAGTTGGAGGAGCAGGCGTTGATGGTAATGGAGGTTTCTTGTAAATTTGACTTATATTGCCAGTATTATTTAAAAAATCATGACTTTCTGATGTATTATTATAAATAGTAGATGTATCTTGAAATGCAGACGAAATTTGTTGATCAAATTGAGAAATTCTTAACGTTGAGGTTAAGGTTTCACTAATGGTAACAGTTTCGTTAACTTCCATATTAGAGCCCGACAAAACAGTTGTATTATTGTTACTTGTATCTACAAATGCATTTGGTTCTTCTTGGCTAGTATTAGAATTAGTCAGTACCTCTTCCCTTTTATCCTTTAAAATTTTATTTTCAGCATTTATAATTTCATCTTGAATATTTGAGCCTGACATTCCGCTTAATACTGATGAAGAAGAGACTCTAGTAAACTGTATTGGATCATCCAGAGATGTAGAAGCATTAGTCGCATCTGTCATACCATCTGGTAAGATTTCAACTTTCCCTCTTGGCAAATGCCTAGGATCCATTGACTTATAGGCCGTCGCATCTTTACTCTCTCCAGCTTCTTTAACCACCGAGTTTAGTCCTGAACTATTGACAATCCCTTCCTCCACATAACTTACCTCTCCACGCACCTCAGGAAATGATCCCTCACTATCGTCAACCATTGCAGTCCTGGAATCTTCATCATTGTGAAGGATATTTTTTTCAACACCATTTTCAAAATGATCGTTGTCTTCTGGCTGGACAGACCCAGTCATCCCTTCAAGTACAATATAGATCTGATCTAAGGATCTTCCTTTTTATCTTTTCGAGACTCACAACAACGCCAAACTTACCTACTACAACTCATAAAACACTTTTAAATCAGATATAAAACCTTCCTTTCTTTAAATCAATTCGAAATGCAAATAAAGTTCCAAACATTTCGTTTGATCTATTTTCGATATGATTTTCTCCTTTTAGCAAATTCGACTAAAAAGGCGAATTTGACTGGAACAAGATTACCGAATAAGGAAGGTGAGGTTTCTGATAGTATGAAAAATCGATGAGATACACCTCAAATTGGTCAACCTCTTTGGATTATAATAATAATAATAGTAGTAGTCCTAGATTTCAACAACAAACTACTACTATTGTATACCCATTGTATGAGGATTGAATATTCGCATGAAGAAGTATTATCATAATGATTTCGTTATCACAGCAATCATTTTACAATGATTGTCCCAATGGGCTGGCCAGGCAGGAGTGAGGTTATCTCAATAATGAATTATAAGAGAGAGAAAAAAAAAGTGATGTACGTCACTTACATGACAGTTCAGACTATTTTTTCTTTCTTTTGGAAGCTCGAGTAATACTGTTTCATTATTAGCAACATTCCCAATTATCAGTGATCTTTGAGGTATAGCACATCGTCATAGATTAATTTCTAACTGATGTCATATTTTAATGGTGTTTGATTTATTATTGCGTCATTAATCATTATGTTATCAGATCGATCTTTAAAATATACCCAATATTGTCATAACTTATTTTAAAAAATTTGAAAATAATGCATCTGTAAAGCCATGATTGCTGATTTATACCGTTTATAGAATGTGGACTTTTTGATAGAGAAGTCATTTCAATGAAAAGAACAAATCCACATTATATGGGGAAATATTATATTGTAGTTTTAGCGACTTGTCTAAACGAGACGAAAAAACAGCTATTCAGATGCAACAGAAATTTATATATCTTATTGAATCTTTTTATCTTGTGTTCAGCATTATTTGTACTTTTATATCTCGAAATTAATTTCCATTCTTAACTGATTTCGAGCCTTCATCGATACTTTCGTTCGGTTGCTATTAGAAGCTTTGGATTAATCCCTTGAAAGCAATTTTAGGAAATCGATATACTCACTTGTCTAGGAATGTAGGATGAGATTCACAATTCAAATACTGTTATTACGAATATCTCTTCTAGTTTCTAATTTTTGAGATCATCTTAAAGAGCCGCTACAACTGTTGTCTTGGAAGGAATGAAAGCCATTCCTCCCTTTTATATTGGGTTCTTTATTTCAATTTATATAATATATATCAAATACAAAGCTAGATTTTAATCTAAGTACTGCACTTCAATTCTTCCTTTCATTAAATATTCTCCTCACAGTTTAATTTTCAAACAGGTATCTTCATGCACCTTGTCTACTCAAGTTATCGTTAAATATCTTCAGGAAATGACTATTCATAGTAACTAAGGTGGGAATAAATGTATTCAACGAAAAACGAATAAGCAAGTAACTTCAATTGGTGTTATATCCACATTTTTATTAAAGATGACTTTGCAGAAAGCATTTCCTTACAAGATGTCAGGAAAAGTCTTGCATTTGAAATTTATGAGGTATATGTCAATCTTTTAAGTTTTGGCTCAATCTTCTCATATTAATAGATTTATCAACTATTAGATGCTAGAGGGTCAACTGATAATTTATCTGTATTAAATATAGACTGATTCTATTAGCTTCTATACCTAGGTTTCCACCAGAGTTGTGATTGAGGATGCTTTAGGAAGTAGTATTGACCCATATCCACAACAATCCATTTGTTTTTAAAATATCGATTCTAACATTATTTATCCAATCGCCAGTTAGGTTCCATTAACAACGTCTCAATAACCAGAGGCATCGTGAAATTAAGAAACATTTCCCTAAAATTAATAAAATGTATCACTAGATACAATATTTCTTAGTTCTTGCATCCAAAATCAAATTTAATCAGCTAATATTTAGTCACAAACATTTCCAATGAAGTATACACCCTAGCCAACGATTTTAGAAGATAGCCAGTTGAATGAACTCTTCTCTTCTTTTGAATACATTTACAATCACTCATAAAGTTATAAACAAAAAATCAGTGACATGACTTGAAAATTATCCACCAAATAACATCGATAACATTAAACTAACTGGAAAGACCTTGACATATTAACTAGTTGCCCTCCCAATAATATAACCGCCACTGTTAAAAATCTTATGGATCATGAAGAATCAGAAACCTTAAACCGCATATTTTCAAGTCAAATTTTAGTTTTAAAGAAAAATCCACATCTTGAAGCTAATAAATTATTTATAATACATTTTAGCGACTATCCTAAACTATTATTCTTATCCAAATCTTTAAAGGATTGATTAGTTGCCATATTTATTACAAAAAGTCTTAAAATGTTCCAACATATCTAATTTTATATAACTTGATTACCATTGATGAAACTTATATACAAATTAAACGCTCTAACATGCATCACCTGATAAATAAATATATATATATATATATATTCGATAGAAAGGTATATTGATGCACAACGGTTCAGTTACGTTATAAATAAATCAAATAACTAAAAACACAATTCCATTACATTCATTAAAATTGTTAACTATCTATAATTATATACTCAAATAAATTATCTTTGTAAATCGACAACACAAGATTGGTTGGTTTTGTTACTATATAATATAGCCCATCTGTGTCCTTTAGATGCTTCTTTTGAAAGGTTATTATAAATGCTAGTTGCAAAACTTCTTGGCGCTGAGTTGTTAGACGAACCAAACACTTTACGTAACCATTCATCTTTTTGTGCTAAAGATGTAATGGATATTATCTGCAACGTTTCTTCACGTAATGTGTCTACGGCGATAATCGGTGCTGACATCATGCTATTGACAATATTTTGAGATGCAGCTCTTGCTCCTTCTTCATAGACCCATTTGTCCCTTTTGTTAGACTTTTTCGATCTTGTTGCCTGATTCGGAACATAGACAATTTTTTGTCTTGATAAATAGTTTAATCCTTCATCAAGATCACCACCTTGGCTACTGCTTGCACTACTAATGTCGTCCCAATGTTTTGAATCATCAAGTTCAATAGAGGATAATTTGTCTTTAACAAACGGTATCCCTTCTGTATCATGCTGGTAAATAGTAAAAAACTCGTCTAGGTCCATATCAATATCAGTGTTGGTTGTCAATCTTTTAACTTTTAAAGGCTTAAACTTCCTATTATGCCCAGTAACAGCATAACTCTGTTGCTTTACCAGAATTATCCAATCGACACCATCCCTTTGTGCTCCAGATACCACGTCTTCAATGGAGTTGCAATTTCTCAACATATCGGCATTGATACCCTTCTTCCAAAGTTGGTTTAATATATTGACACCTATCGTATTCAAAAGTGGGTTGGAAAAACTAGAAATCAACACATCACATCTCCTAGGCTTCCAATCAACCGCAGTGTCCTTCAGATACTTGTTCCTCTTTTTTAATTTAGAGCCTCCTCCAAGTTTGAAGAAATTTTGCCCTACACCAAATATGGTCTCCCATGCTAAATTGAAACCAACAGCTCTTTGTACAATATTACTCTTTTCATCTGATGGTCTTGCAAAGTAAGATATTAAACTATCGTACCTACCACCAGCAGCAACCAAATTTCTATTCGTACCATCATCATAAACAGCTTGATACATAATTCCTCCTTTGTAGAATGCACTATTGTAATTACTTAATGGTGAAATCACAACATTTCTAGTAACCTCAAATGGTTTTAAGAAATTTAATACTTTAGTTATATATAAAAGAGACTCATCAATTTTTCGCAAATGAGGACTGTCTATCATGACCTTATGAAGTCTGTTCTTGGCACTGTCAAAATCCAGCTTGAAATCAAATAGTTCAAGATCATTTAAAGATGTAGATGAAATGTTTAACTGGGTTTTCAAGTCATTCTTAATATCTTTAAATGACCTCGCAAAACCAACTTGTGATAAGATTCTTGAAACGATTGGTCTTTGAGCCTTGTCAATGTTTGCAAAGTTAAATACGCTATCCAGAATATCCGCGTGATTCATAATAAAGAATGCGTTCGACTTTTCAAAGACAGGTAATACTGTCAATATTTCATCAATAATTCTAATCGTTTCTGCATCATGGAATGGGGAGTCTGATGATGTTTGGGAGATTATATCAAAATCAATTTCTCCAAATTTCCTTGGTTCTAATGTCGATTTCAGATTTTGTGGGGGCCTATATACATGCTGAAATCTATACTGCTTAGAAACACAGTTGGGATTTTTGGATAAATACCTCGCCATGGGATACGTCAAATCATATTGCAATTGTAGAACAGTACCTCCCTTATCTAATACCTCGTAGACATTTTGATTGCTATAGATGGGTGCCTTAGGAAATATCCTTGGTGGCTCATTATTTTCAACACCACCATGTTTTCTAAATATACATATAACTTCCTGTATCATTTTTGATCTTAAAATTTGACCAAATGGAGTACTCAAAGGTTTCGAATTGTCATAAAAAATATCATTTGTTAAACTATATGATTGGTTGAACAGAGCTTCCCTAACCTTTTGCTGCCATGGAGAAGAAGGATCTGCCAAACTTTTCAATGCTTCTTTTGTAACTTCATCTTGGTGCTTTACAGGAAGTAGTCCACTATTCAATAGTGCTTGGGCATCTGGTCTTTTACTAGGATCGTGGTCAAGAAGCATAGTTATTATCCTTTTCTCTGTTTTCAATCTACTATTATCAAAGCCACTTGGAAATTTGATCTCCGGGCTTCTTAGGTCTTTCAAAATCATAACCCTCTCCATACCAGTAGAAAATGGGTGTACCATTTCAAAAAATATAATCCCTAAAGAATACATATCGATTTTTTCATTATAATGCCCTTTTCCAGTTAGAACTTCAGTGGCAACATATAATGCGGTACCGATTGCTGATGTCAAATTATCAGCACTGCCTGCAACAGATTGTGACTCTAACTTTGATATATCTAACGACCTATGGACATTTTTAGCTAAACCGAAATCACCAATTTTAATATTTCTGGATTGATCAAAAAAAATATTCATAGGTTTTAAATCCCTATGAATGATACCTTGAGAATGAATATAACTTAATGCCTCTAGTATCTGACGAAACAATCTCCAATACTCATTACGTTGACCACTTAAATTCTCAGAATGTATCAAATCATATAATGTTCTATTTTCACAATACTCCATTTGGATAAATAGGGTACTCTTTTGTTTAACCTGTTTCTGCTTAATGTTTCTATTTTTTGAGGATGCAACGCGATTGTTATTACCATTCATTGATTCATCATCATCATCACTGTCGTCATCATCGTCATCGTCATCGTCACTGCATTCTGTTGAAAGTGCTGTACTACTTTTTAAAGATCCATCTTCGTTAGAATTGGCAAATTCTATTTCAGGATAACCAGAATTGGAAATAAAATCCCAGTTTCCACTCTCCATACCAACTTCGCTTCTAGTCCTAAACATACTGGATTGATTAAATAACTCATCATCTGTACTATCACTATCTTCTGTTTCATCGTCACTGTTGTCTGATAAACTATCTTCCTCTTCATCTGTTGATTCAAAAACTTCCTCATTATTGATATCTTCTTCTAACCAAGCAGCATAATACCTGACAACATATTGATGATTTAAACTAGCCAGTAACATCACTTCACTTAAAATTGTAGATAATTTTTCTTCAGTGTGTCTAATTTTTTTAATGGCGTAGTATCTACTATCTAAGGTATTACGTGCTTTTACAACTTGACCATATGCACCCTGGCCAAGTAATGCAATTTCTTCAAAATCAGAAGCATACCGAGAACGAACAGCAGGATTGACAGTGTAAAATCTTGAACCTACATTAAACGACCTTCTTCTATTGCCCGATTGTGAAGTTCCTCTAGATCTAAATGTCGCGGAAGCTGTAGACAAACGCCTATTAGAAACCAAAGTCCCACTACTGTCCGATGGTAATGACAGTTTATTAGTATTTATATCCATATTGGTTCTCAAGAACTTCATTGGTAGCAATTCTAGAGCACCGACCCTTTTCTTTGGATCCGGATCCAGCATCTTGACTAATAAATCATATAGACTACTATCCATCTCAGTGCTATCCAAGAATTCCTGAGGAGTAGGATAATTCAAGACGGTATCGACACCGTTGATTATTTGGACAAAGACGACACCCGTTTGCCAGATATCTGTCATTCTCTGTGGCTTGCTATTCTTTAGTTTTGTCAATTCAGGCGCATTCCAAGGCCAAATTGGTTCCGAAATAGCAGCTGTTCTATTTGGATATCTGAGAAGCATGTTCGTTATTGTGAACCCATAACTTGGATGCATCAACTTTGGAAAGGTAGTACCAAAATCCGAATCTTTTACAAGAACAACCGTATGTGAGGAAATAGCCTTGTGAAATATACCCAACTTATGCAGTGATTCCAATCCTTCTAAAATTCTGATCATCCAAACTCTTGAAGTGGCCAAATTAACGTATCCTACTGATTCAATCAATTCGGAAAGCATCAAGGCCTGACAATGCTCCGTTAGCAGCCTGACCTTCCAAACGAAAGTTGAATTACTTCTTCCTAATCTCTCTACAGTGTAAGAATAGATTTTATTAACATTATCATGATTAACTTTTAATAGTGAATCCAATTCCTTTTCTAAATGTGAAATTTCCTTTTTACCATTACTCGTGTTAAAATAAGAATTATCAAATTCAATCTCAGTAAGAAGATAACAAAAATTTTCCATTACGCCAGAAGACATCAATTTGTCAGCCAATGGAGATTCTGGAGGTATATACGGTTTCACCAAAAATTGTCTTCCAAATGAAAGAATATCATTAGATAATTTAACCGGCGTAGGATTGACCACAGCTCTGAACTTATAAATTGAATTGTTTGGCAATTTTGCCTTGATATCCTTTGGAAAAACGATTGCTTCTCCAGAAGATACCCATTCAGGTGGCGGCAATAAAGAAACTGGAGCTGTTGGATTAAACATAATATCATCATCATCTACTTGCCTTTTCTCTAATTCTCTCTGGACCATTTCGTCAATCATTCTTTGCTCATTAACTCTCCTGGCTTCAATTTCCTTTTCCCTTATTTTTTCCTCTTTTTCTAATTTATCGTTTTCCTCTTGCAACCGTTGCAATCTTTCTTCCTCTAATGACTGTGAATTCGCATTATTTTGAATCTCATCAAGTCGTTCCTGTACCAGCAGTGTAATATCATAAATATGTTCCTGTCCCTCTGCCTCTTTTTGGATTTCGACGAACCTTTCTTGCATTTCTTCTAATTGCCGGCTCATCACAGCTTCAACATTTTTAAATGTAACTTCTGCTGCAGTATGAGGATACATTGGAGTCATTGCTACGTGTAAGGTCAAACTTGACTCAACAGGATCATTGTTTACAGATCGCAGAGATATTTCAAATATAATCTGAGGCTGTTTATCCCAACTACTTTTTTTCCTAGTTAAATCTGTAAAGTCTTCCATATAAATAGATTTCAGTGCCTCGCACTCATTACTCTGAATCTCATAATATTCGTTCAGTGATAAATGCTTCAGTGCCATTATGAAACAAATAATTCTATATTATACACCCCAAACCAACCGTACAACTAATTTTGTATACTAATTATTTCCTCACCACTTCTATTCCTACAGAATCTGGAAATATGATAAAAATAGATTAATTAACACACACACACAGACCTTCTTTTTTTTTTTCTTTTAAAACTAAACCGGAAAAACCTTCAACTTCAATCAATCCAAACTTTTCATGCAATTCAAAATAATATACAACGAAATCTAATTCACGAATCTCAAATATTTATAGATATATATAATCTATGATTTCGTATGTCCCTTATTACCTTTCCCTTCTAGTCGCTTCATAAAGTTACAAGTACCTATCTCATATTCATATACTCATTAAACCTTTAATAAAATTTATAGCGTTACGTTTTTGACCTTTTTCCTTAAAAAATTCCTTGAAGTCCCTTTAACGGCTAAGTAGAAAAATTATCACGAAAGCCGGGTAACTTGCAATGAGATTTCAAGATAGCAAACAGTGCCATCTAAAGGTTAATACCATCAAGTTGGACACATCTGTTTGACATTAGGAGGGGTATTATCTGTCAATTGAACATCTATATTGGGTTTATTTTTGTAATGGATGAGAAAATTTATTTACTCGTGGTATTGGGACTAGTCATGGGAAATGATGGAGATTCAGCGTTGGACACATAATAAATTGTTAAATATGGATATATATAATATAATATAATATAATATAATAAAATGAATGTTATAGATGTATTTTATTTCTTTACGTTTAAGATGAAGCTCTAGAGGTTACTATAAGGCTGTGTCATCAGATTGAGGGAGTCTTTGGTGGTGCAATTCATGAGATAAAAATACATCAGAATCATCTTGTAATGGTTTAAATGGATATTCAGAATCAATTGATGGGAAATATTTCTTGTAGATATATGTAGCAAATATAAACCCAACTAGAGAACCAATTAGAACATCTACAAAATGATGTCTGTAATCTTGCGTCCTCGATAGTGCGATGACAGATGCTCCTACAAGTGGCAATACTGAAACGAATTTTGCCCATAAACTAGCTTGAACGTACTCTGATAAGAATTGTCCACTTAGCCAATAGTACAAAAACCCTAACCCTGCAAAACTTTCACTAGAGTGGCCTGAAGGTGTAGTTCTAAAACCTTCAAGTAATCTCTCTGTATTTTTTGTAGTGCATACTTCAGAAGGGTTTAGTAAAGTGTTGAGTGGTAAGTTGTCCATAGGTTGACAACGATCTAGGAAATCGGGTCTCAATCTTCCAATCCAGTTCTTAATAAAAGTAGTGAATAGTAGGTTTGAAAAAAATGTAACGTACAGCCCTAGCAATGATATATATAACAAATACCATCTATGTCTACGATCAGTGAATAATATCCATACGGAAATAATCACTACTGTAGGTAATAGTAAACTGTAAACGAATAGCATCCCATCGCCTACTGTTTGTACCTCTGCATACGGATGTGCAATTGTTGGATCATTGATTATGAATTGCCTTTCAAAAGGTTTGGCAAAGTATACAGGAATGTTTAGTATTATTAAGAAAACTAGAAATATCACATCCCCAACTTTCCACCTGCTATGAGTACCTCCAGTGAGATTGGAAAGACCGTTTAGAAATATCGTCCTATCGATAGCCATGTCTCTAGAGTATTTTAGTTATGCAATCTACTTAGCTCTGATGGTATCACAATTCTAAAATTCTCTCAATCTGATTTATCTTGCACTTATGATGAGTGAAGCACAAGAGAAACAAAATAAATAACACACACAAAAAACCCTAGTTTGGGAGCAAATGTAATTATCACAGCTTGCTAAAATCAAGTTATTCCATAAACTTGAACTCGCAAGTTTCTAGATCATCTCTTAAATACATCTTTAATGTGTCTAGATTTGATTACTTTAGTTTTCTTTTTTTTTCAACATACCTAATTGAACCTTCCTTACCCCTGTTGCAACAATAGAACATACACGCCGTTACCAGACAGCAAAAAGCAAACCATTCCATAAGATAAGATCAAAAGTAGATCAGTCATTGTCTATTCGACGAAGTGTTTACAAGTCTTATTATAATGAAATTCTAAAAGACATTTAAACCAAATAATAACATTAACTGGCATCTCAGAAGATTATTAAACGTTTAGACACCAAAGTTTGTTGAATCCCGCCATATATCTCCTGTGTACAGTTACAATTGCATTATCTAACTCACCAAGAGCTCAACTAAAACCATAATTCCACAAATATAACCATCAGAAATGAAGATTGGAGGTAATGTTGTATTCCTTTTTTCAATTGTTCCTTCCTTGTCTTATAAACTTAACCAGATGTAACGTTAATTTGAGTCATCTCAAGATCACTTAAAGAACACTCTCTTCCTTGACCCTGATTCCAAACAAATTAAGTATATTTATCTAGAGCAGACTAGAGACCTTGATTACCAATCTTTATATATTATTATTTGTTTTATTTATATTAGTTCTCGTTCATTATTGATATATTTATTTATTTATTTGTATTTATATAAGCGCGGTTAGGTCCAGAACGAATTACTCTCTCATTTACTTGCCACTTTAATTAAAAAGAAAGACGGTAATAGTTTAGGAAAAGTGTTTCAAACCTGATATAAACAAGAGAAGAGGTCAATTCTTGGACCTGTTTGCTTGCTGTTGTTTGGTTCAAGGGTTAGTGAAAAGAAGCTTCTGCCATTAACTCTATAATTTAACCAAGGTATAAAGAATCAATAGAAAAGAGCCTTTATTTGACCGTTCGGCGGCTATTGTTTTTTTATTTACTTTGAGTTTTAAAACAAAGGAAGTTAGAGAATCGACAATATCATCATATTAATCAAGAAATGTCAAACTTCTTTAGGGATTCCTCAATGGCTTTTAAACCGAGGACCAATATATTTTCGAAATTAAGAGTACGTGAGCCAGAGCATAGCGGTGGTGACACTTCAATAAATGGAGAAGAAGGAGAGGAAGGAGAAGAAAATAGTTCAATCATTGAAAATTTGTTTATGAGCACTGGCCATCCCCATGAAGGTGAGAGTACAGAGGGTTCAACCGTGATTTCCAAAAATAATAATCTAGATGAATTATCAGATAAGAAAGTTCTAGGTAGAGCGAGTTTGCAGTCAAGTACTCCTAAATCTGCCCATAGAATGAAGGAAGACTTTGAAGATGAGCTAGAGATCACAGAGGTGAGAAATGTGTCTCCAATTAAAAAAAATATTTCGAGTAGAAGCAGTGAGTTTCTAGCAAAACAATTGGATAACGATAAAGCTACAAATGATAGATTTGAGTCCACCGAAGCATCATCGAATGATGTTTTATTAGAAGCATTCACCAATACCCAAAAAATTTGTTCTAGTTTGAAACAAGAGCTATCAAAACAACAACAAGAAAACTCAAAATTAAAATTGCATGTTAAATCCTATGATAATGAGAGCAAAAAGATTCTTGAAAAGTTTACTGATTATAAAAAATCTCTGACACTATTAGAAGAAAAATCAAAATGGTTGTTAGAGCAAAAAAAAATAAATGATACAAAATTCCAAGATTTGAAACGTAGTAATAAGGCTGTGACAGAGAAATTGACTAATTGCAAGAATGATGTAGATAATTTAAAGGTTTCTTTAATCAAAATGAAGAATTCGAAAGCTGAAGTAGAAAATGAAATAGCAAGAAAAGTTAAAGAAATTGAATATTTGAAAAAAGAATTAGATAATTGTTCTGGTCAGCTAAGTGAAGAGAAAATTAAAAATAGTTCCTTACTTATGGAATTTTCAAGATTAAGAGATCATTCTTCTAAGCAGCTAGATGAAACTGCCAAAAAAATGAATGAATTGTATAATAACATGGTCGGTTACTTAGAAACTGAACTTTCAAAGAGAATAAATGATAAACTGGATTCCTCAAACGAAAAAATATTAGAAAAGATAGATGTCAATAAACTCGAAACTGTAATATTATATGAATCACAGATGTCACAGTATGAACAGCACTTCAAACAATTTGAAGCAACAGAAATGAAAGCACTAGAAAATATACAATCCGTCTATAAAGCAAATAGTGAAAATTTAAAAGTAACATTAACTTCATCTGTTACAGAAGTTTCAGAATCAATCGAATCTTTGAAAGATAAGATGATATCTCATGAAAATTTATCAATCGAGAAAGTCGACAATCTCAGTGTGGAACTAAGTCAATTTAAAAATCAAGTTTTCGATTGTAAGGAATATGATTCTAAAATAAATAGTCTGTCACAAGAGATTTCAGATCTGAAATTACAAAAAACCCAAACCTTGTCGCTATTAGGAACGAAGGAAGCCGAATTTGAAGAGGCTTCTAAAAAATTAATCGAGCAAACTGCACAACTAGAAAAATATATTATTAGTAATGATACAATGACAACATCTATCAAAAATTTAGGTAATGAATTAAAGGAGGCAGAGATTAATATAGATCGTTTAAAGGATGAAGAGAAAGTCAATCTTTCTAATTATGAAAATAAAATAGCCGCCCATACTGCTATATCAAATACTCTAAACTCAGAAAACGAAATGTTAAAAAAGAGAATAGCACAACTAGAAGAAGCTTCAACAACTATTCAAGAAGAAAACACGAAAAAGAAAGACAGATATCAAAAAATCAATGACCAATTAAATAAGTTGAATGTAGAAGTTGTTCAGTTAAAAGCTCATGAACTTGAACTAGAAGAAGAAAATAGGAGACTGAAAACAAAATTTGAAGAAGAAAGAAATGGTTATGAAGAAACTTATAATGAAGTAAAAAGGTACAAACAAAAAATTATTTTATTAGAGTCAGATAAACAAGAGATAGTTTCTGAAAAACTCGAATTACAAGATAGCATTGAACAACTGAAAAAAACGATAGATCATCTAAAGAAAGAAAATCTAAAGAAGGAAAAAATTAATACAATTAATAACGATTTAAAGACTAATGGTGAGAAACATCCAGAAATATCAGAAAATTTCAAAAACCCATATGTCTCATTAAATATAAAAGACGCAGAGAGTCTTTCTGACACTAAAAGTCAAAAGATAATATCAAGTCAATACACTTCATTCCCGCAACGTCAACAGTCAAAATTAAACAAGAAAGATGAGGAGGGAAATGATGAATTTGATCTATCATCCTCAATGAATGATGATCTAGAGATGACTATGCCATCTCCAGTTGCCATTAAACAAGTAAGAAATTCTAGAAACTGTAGTCAATTGAAAAAAGCCACAATTAAGCATTCAAGAAAGAAACTTCTAATCCCTGATGATGATGTTGGAATGAAATCCAATAACAAGAAAAGGAAAAAAAAGATATGAAAATAAGATACACTTTTACTACTATGGGAACAATCGTCAATATTTGATGTCAAAACGTTTCTATATTACGAATATCTATATACAAGAACAAATAAATGAATATATGGCTGATAATTCTATTTAAAACCTTTAATCTTTTCTACGACATTTTCTTTCTTCATTCTATGGAATATTTTTTCTAATGGCTTATCTTTATTACTGGCATCTTCAATATGCAAAACGGGAATATCGAAACAGTATTTATCCCACCATTCCTTATTTTTAGGATCTTCGATATCTACCTGAGTATATTTTATCTTTCCATCAAATTCTCCATCTTTTACTACTTTGTCCAGAACAACCTTCGCCGTCACACATAGTCCACAATCCTTCTTCGAGAATAATGTCAATTTAACATTTGAGTAATTTAATACCCTTGAGCTTAAGTGGAATGACCTGTTAAAACTGCGGCTCAACATTATAAATCTATACTCAATTAATCTTTTTTCCACCCATGTTAACCATTCTAATTAAAAGGTGTCCTATCATCTCAACCTTCATCTTTTTAGTCTAATCCTTATGATTTTATCCACTTCTTTAGGTAATTACTTCAGGTCTACCAAGATGCAGCTTCCAGAGTGTCAATTTACCCAAATGTATCGATACTTAGATTCGGGAAGTTACTATTGAGAAGTTTAACTTTAATTTTTGGAGTCCGGTTATAATAGATCAAGCTTCACTGTAGGGTAACTTTAAGTAACAGGCTATATAAGCTATATATGTTACTTAGTTGGTTAAATTGTTGTTGTTATATTGAACAAAATTATTAATCAATAAACTAAAATTCCCAACCAGTTAAAATCAATTTATTAGTTGATAGACCCTCCTACTTCTAATTTTAGGATTCCAATTGCTTACGAGAGAACGATATGCTTCTTCAGTGACACACGAGTAATTTTCACTCAATTACTCATATAGGAAATTGATATATGCATTCAACACATCTCATCTCTCAGCCACATTAAATAATGTTCCTCGAGGAACTCCAATCCTCATACGTGATAGTGTGCCCATCCCACTTCATAATTGAATGCGCACTTTAAGTTTATCTCATGAGTTATCCTCATTAAATCCTCTAATGTTGATCACGTGATACAGATATCCAAGTATCAACCTCCCTTCCCTCCAAATCATTTGGAACTACGAAGAATTCGACTTAAGCCTTCCATACTATGACAAATATATTATTACCAGGCTGCAGCTGAAGAAGTTTGACTCGAACCTCTGGTTCCGCACGTTGGTAAATTACAATTCTAATATTGGATTAGTTCGAATAGTGATATCTGAGTCACTGGGGACGCTGTGACTAATTGTTCAATAAAACTGTAAAGCTAGCTCCAGAAAAATAGGACTGTATAAAAAGGAAGGCAGATAGATAATTTAATTAGATTAAGATCGACTTTCTGAATACTCGAGGTATTTAAGTTTAATTTTATCCAATTGAATTTGTTCCAGATCAATTCAACTCAAGCAAGGTCTAATAAATTGTTTTTACATTAGACAAATATAGAAACTTAATAGTCATTGAGGCAAGCTCAGGAAAAATTCAAAAACATTTTCAACATTAAAGGGTACAATGGATTTAGTTAATCATTTGAACGATAGATTGCTATTCGCAATTCCAAAAAAGGGACGTTTATATGAAAAAGCAGTCTCCATACTAAATGGTTCTGATATTAAATTCCACAGATCACAAAGATTAGACATAGCATTATCTACAAGTTTACCAGTTGCCTTGATTTTTCTACCAGCAGCAGATATCCCAACGTTCGTTGGTGAAGGTAAATGTGATCTAGGTATAACCGGTGTTGATCAGGTTCGTGAATCTCAAGTTGACGTTAATTTGGCAATTGATTTGAAATTTGGTAATTGTAAATTACAAGTCCAAGTTCCACAAAATGGTAAGTATACGAGCCCAGAACAATTAATTGGTAAGACAATTGTATCTAGTTTTACCAACTTAACAAAAGAATATTTTGCAAAATTGGAAAATACAACGATTGAAAACATGAAGACAAAAGTTAAGTATGTCAGTGGTTCAGTGGAGGCATCATGCGCATTAGGTGTTGCTGATGCGATCGTTGATTTAGTAGAAAGCGGTGAAACCATGAGAGCAGCTGGTTTGACAGACATTGCAACAGTGCTAGAAACTAGCGCCACATTAATAGAATCTAAGAATCCTAAAAGTGATACACAATTGATAGAAACTATTAAATCAAGAATCGAAGGTGTCATGACAGCTCAGGAATACGTTTATTGTACTTACAACGCTAAGGAATCACAGCTAGAAGAATTGTTCAAGATAACCCCAGGGAGAAAAGCCCCAACAATTTCCAAAATAGGCTCAGATGGTCAATGGAATTCTGTATCAGTAATGATCGAGCGTAAACGTAAAGGTGTCATCCTAGATGAGTTAAAATTAAAAGGTGCTACAGACATAATGGTGTTTGAAATACAAAATTGTCGTATCTAAAATCACTTAATATCAAAATAAAAATAAAAAAAAGAAATACAAAATGTAATTCCATTATATTTTTGGTTTACTGTTTTCGAAAAATCCATCAATAGTCATATATATTTATATAAAGAAGGTAGATAGATTCAAGACTACTATTGTGTATAAAATCAGCAATGAGAACCATTGAAATGGATACATATCAAATTATCTAGAGTAGAATCTAATTGAAAGATTAGATTATATCTTTCCCTATTCATCGGTTCGAGAATGTATCATATATTATGAACTTATGATCTATAGGGGAGAGTTAAAGTTACATAACTTGGTACTGATCTTGAACTAATAAGGTGAAGTAATCATAGGAATGGTTGCGATGAAATGGATATTTCCGGGATGGTTTTTTTGTTTTGTTCTCTTGAAACTTTAAAATTTATTTGTTTCTCTTGACAACAATCACCTTTAATTCAACAAGTATTGTATTCTGAAGTGGAAAGGAGGGGGGAGGAGAGCATATGTTGGAATCGTATATGCTTACACAACGATACGAATTGATATTATTTAAAAGGTTAGAAGATTAAATCGTTTAGTTCCTTTTTGCTTAATTGTCTATAAGACTATCTTTTCTTGTATCTGTAAATATGATTAGAACACTAATACTGGTTGGTTATTCAGTTCAGTTGAATTTGATTCGTTATAAAAGGAGAAGATGTTAAGGTTTGTTACAAGTGGATCGATGTGGATTAGACCAATAGTTCCTAAGACTCGGAATCTATTTGGTAAATTTAATCTTCCAACTTTAGCCAAGAATAAGACAGTAATCTCCTTACTTACAGTTTCGACTGGTATTATTGGTTTACATCACACTACTTCATTTCCTCACTTCTATAATAGTCAACCTATATATAATGACATTGCAGTCCTGGATAGTAGTACTCGTTTCGAATCAATTAATTTAGATAATAGAAGAGCAAAATATAGGGAAATGTGTGTAGGGTCAGTTTTAGGTTTGGTTTCTGGTGTTATCATAGGTAAAATATCAACTGTATTAGCATATGTTACAGTATTCTCGTTACTAGCAATTGAATGGTTGAGCAATAAAGGTATTATAGATAAAAGTTATTTATATGGACGTACTTCAAGATATCTGAAACATGTTGCGGGCTCTAACATTAGTTTAGATAAACCATTCTTTAAAGTACCATTTTTATTAACGTTCTTTATTTCATCGTTAAATATATGATTTTATTGAATGATATATATAGTTGATAATTTACATCTTTCTCTTTGATTGATGATAATTCAGAAATATATTGCACTTTCATTCATAATTTTTCTCTTTTCTTTGAAGATAAATTCAGTTCAGTGGAACTTATTTATTGATCTATAACCAACAGTTGATAATTGTTTGGCCAAAACAACGGGGTTGTGCCAGAATATATACTTTATATTCCTGAAATTGCTTTCAGATGGATATATCTACTTCAGAGTCATATTAATACTGAGGACAAAATTTAAATTATCCATTTTTTGGGATCAAATCCTGAATGCATAAAAATTGGCTAGAGTTTAACTGCAAGTTCATTTTTTGTTTCGATAATGCATGTTATTTCTTTTAATAAATAGGTATAATATTAATATACGAGAATGTTACTTCAAGTTCAACCTTTTTTCTTGAGAATTCTTTAGTATTTCTTGTATTAATTATATAACATCGCTATTTCAGAACTTTTCCCCTTGACATTCTAGGACAATAGCATATTATAAATATACTACACAATTATTCTAAATCAGAACTGTGAATATATGGTTTCTATGTATCTGCCAAGCGTTTCGAGAGAACTTTTCGTGTCATCTGGAGCATTAGCACTTGGCGAGCCGCCATAATCACAAATGCCGAACATATCATGAGGTAATTCCGACTCTACACATACTCATATAAGGGTTTAATAGTTTCCTCATCTTCCTTAAACGATAACATGGTATAAAACAAGTAATCTCATTTGTCAAACGTGAGAGTTTGTTCTTCATTTATATCCCAAATATTTTAAAACCCTTTCATGCCACCTCAATCAATAGTAATAAATATTGGGCATATGCCCTATATGTGTCCATATAATTCTGTGCCATTATTAGAGAATTTTGAGTTAATACAACTGAATATTTTGTTGTTTTTTATTATTTTAGGTTACTAGGACTGGTCATTCCTTTTCTAAACAAAAGGTAACAAGTTAATATGGTTTCGTGGTCTAGTTGGTTATGGCATCTGCTTAACACGCAGAACGTCCCCAGTTCGATCCTGGGCGAAATCAAATTAATTTTTTTTTGTTAGTTTGTTCAATCTTATAGAAGAATTGCTGTACTTCATGATGAATGAAGTAATAATTCTACACTTTCAATAATCATGGAATTGTATTATCTATGAATATTTATTTATAAATGACTAATCTATGATATTTAATTATTCTTTTTTCTGTAAATTAAGATATAAGCGGTTCTTGTGTCATTGCCATCTTCGCCACCTTTCAAAACATCATCCTTTTCTAATTCTATAATATTTACATCATCGATTCTATACCACTTGTCCAATTCTTTATGATACACATCAGCTGTGTAGTGTCCACCATCAGAACTTAATCCATGATGATAAATTACACCTGTCAATTCGTATGCTCTATTTTTAGTATCGATAGATGCAGGAGATAACGATTCTAATGGTATAGTCAATTCGTGATCATACTTAATCTTCTTACGAATTTTTTCAATGCGACCATTATAAGCATTATAGTTTGTCATATTGTTGTCTTTATCGGTGTTGTTAATGAATGAAAATCTCTTTAATTGAACTAAAAGAACCTGGGGAAGCTTATCGATAAAAGTTTGCTTTTTAGCCTCCACATCACTTCCAGAAGATGATTTAAATGGCAATAATTCATATTCACTAAACTTCTTGAAAGCAGTTTCTAAATCATCAATAGAAGAATCAGAGATATCCAATTGGATGGTTTGAAAAGGGTCTAGTGTGATAGATTGCGATTCCTTATTATTTGGAATATCTAGTACAGAACGGAATTGACCACCAAATAAGTTGGAAATAGGAGATTGTTCGATTTCAACGGTTCTTTTTGCAGCAGTTTTAGTTTTCTTACCTTTTTTGCTAGTGCTGCTAACCTCATGCCACCCATTTGTTTCATCATCGTCATCACTCATTGGGCCATATTTTGAAATTAATGATTTTAATTGATATGAGGCATTCTTCATGAAATCAGCTTTCTTGTATTGAGGTAAGTTTCTAACAAAAAAGACTTTTAATTCCTCATCAGAAATACTTTGTACGATATTCAATATCTCATTGTCAGTAAGGGAATTGATTGAACAGATAAACTCTTCATGTAATTGATCTAACAAGTGAGTTAAGAATTCTTCTGCATCCTCTTGGTGACCCCATTGTAAGTCTTTGAATTTAGGTAATGTTGATAAGATTTTATAAAAGTCATCAGGGTTTATAGCATCAGATGCAGGTGCAAAGTTATTCATTGGTTTCTCTTCGACGGCTTTACCATTGGATTTCTTGTCTTTGTTCTTATCATTCTCTTTTTCCTTTTGGTAAGTTTGTTTATCAAACTGTTTGTATATAGTGACACAAGCATCTAATAGCTTGCTTGAGTTTGAATTAACTTTTGAATAAGAATTCCTCGTGCTTGCAATATTCAAAACACTAATGAATGGTCTACAATATAATAAAACTTGCAAAACTGAACTCATGAAACAAATATTGGCTCTGTTAACAATACCTCTTGGAATGATTGAACCAATTGGTAATATAGACTCATTATTATTTTGGGTATAATTAAGGTAGTCGGGATCGAAACACATTCTCAATGTTATAGAACCTAATGGCTCGGCACCTAATGTAGTTGATGGAATATATTTTTTATCTTTTCTCTGAGGAGCTTGTGATGAACCTTGACCACTTAAATTATTTGTGCTTGATGTTGGAGAATGGTTCATGGATTTTGGTTTTGAGATGGCGCTCGATGCAATTGCGGACCATGATTTAGGTGCAGGCTTCTGGGTTTCTGTAGAGGAAGGCAAAACAGCAGCACTCTGTATGGTAGAAACATGTTTGTCTTCGATGACTTTCTTTTCATTTTCTTCTGATACAGGTTCGGATGTCTTTACAGTGGTTACATGTTTTGGTTCAGAAGGAGCTTTATTAGGAGCTTCTGGTTTTCCTACAGGCTTTTGGTTTAGCGTATCACTAATTTCGGCGGTATTGGTCTCTGGAACTTCTTCCTTTTCCTCAACTGGACTAAATTCAGTCACAGTTTCTTTCTTTTCAAAAGTATTGTCTAGGGATTCAACTCTTAATCTATATCTAGCTTCTTTAGCCTTAGAAAATTCTTCTTCCGAAGTGTTAAAAAATAATGGGAATTCAATAGAGACATTGTTTGTTTTTTCATCATTTGCACTTGGGATGTAAAATTTATATTTGGTACTAGCCACGTTATTTGTGGTGGCTTGTGTCTTTGGCTGTGAAAAAGTAGAACCAGTGCTTGAATTTGAAGAGTTGGTTGAAGATGATTGGGGATGATAACTAGCGCTGTGTTGGTGATTTTGATAATGATTAACTTTTGAACCAGAAATTCCGCTACCTGAATTTGACCATTTCTTTTTAGATTCACCACCTTGAGGCATGGAACCATGTTGATACATCATTTGATTCTGACCCATCATATTAAATGGATAAGCTGGTATTTGACCATATAAGTATGGTGTTTGTGGGTAAGCATATATTGGCATAGCCGCTTGGTAAGTAGGGAAATGCATGCCACCACCTTGATGAGGAGGAGGTGGTGGAGAAGAAGTTTTTGGATACATTGAGTAAGACTCTTCGGTATTTTCGTGGGAATTTGAAGAAGACATCGTTACAAGTAGCAGAAAATGATTAAAAAGAATCAATCAAATAATGACCAGGAAAAACAGTGAAAAATCTTAAACAATAAAAGGAACAAAAAAATGCAAATTAAAGAAATGCTAATAATATATCTTGTGATCTTCGGATTGTTATTACTTTCTTTTAAAATAAAATAACAATAGGATAAAAAACAGAATTATAGTAATATATCTGTCAATTTCAAATAAAAATTTTTTCAGACTAGACCTGTTATCTGATAAAAACTCTTGACCTGATTACAAATCAACAAAACAGAGTAACCTACACTGACCACTTGACAAGTACTATATTCCTAATCTAACCAGAGATCATTCAACGTTCAATAAAACATCCTTTTCTTAAATTAAAACTAACTGCTTGTGAGTTGGTTAGATGAATAAATACTTTCCAATTATTTTGTTGATGGTTCCGGAGAAAGATGAGATATAGGATATTGGTCACGTGATTTCTGGATCAAGGTCTAACCTCAAGAGAGAGAGACATACACTTATCATCACTGCATGCTATCTTCATCTCCATCGTCATATTAAAGAAGGCTGGATTGGATGATCAATACCTTACTGTACTCAATTCAATTCGGTTCATCTCGACTAGATTAAAATTAGTCAATTTGGGGCCAATTGATCAAGAGACGATGTTGATATGTAGTTTTAACCACTCATCCATGTTGCTGATTCGAATTAGCAGCACAGTTTGATTGACCAAAGTGAAGTATCTAAGAGTCTTTGTTGATGAAGCTAAAAGTATTGAATATGCTAATAGATGTGGACACATTAACTTCTCATGGCAAACATATTTTTGTTTCGAGAGACTATGGGCATCTATTTGAGCGAATTTATCTTCTGAGAACTCTTGAATATCGTCAATATTCCTAATCAATGTATCTTGGATTGGAATCGATTGATTTTTTTGTAGTTCTAAATTAAAGTATGAATTGAATTCATCACATGAACAGAACCATGTCTTTAGATCGACGTATATCGGCGGTGAATCCTTCTCATGTGTCTTGACTATTAGTCTATTTTGTAACTCAGTATCGATATCATATAATTCTTCTACTATTGAATTAGAATCGATCGTATTGCTTTCATTACTTGCCTCGTTGTTGGAGTTTCCTGATGATGATGGACTTCTGCTTTCATCTGAATCACACACGGTTGGAACCAAATTCATAGAACTGCTTGATATATTGCCATTCTCTAACACATAGATGAACATATCCCCAGAATCTAGCAACGACAATGCTCTGATAAACAATTCTCTAGGGAATAAATAATATAGGAACGAAGTCATCGTATCATCCATCTCGTTATTATCATTGATCAATTTGGAAAAAAATTGAGAATATATCACACTTTTGTTGGTATCCATGGTTTCGAGTTCAACTTATTTTGAGTTCTTGACCATCCTTTGACAATGATGTTCCTTTCTGTACCAAACACGTTCAAAGTAGTTGTTGTTTAAATAGAAGAACAATGATGACTTCAAAAATAATCAACTAACGCGAATTTGATCAATGATTTAAAAGTGTCAAGAATATTACATTGTTTGCAATGCGTTCAATGCTTCTTGAAACTATATATTACATGATTTACAACCTATTTACATAATGAATATTGAAACATACACATCTATATACACACCTATATTATATAGAACTAAGCCAAATAATAAAAGTGAAAGTGAGAGAGACTATGCTGATTGATAATGTTAATGAAAAATAAAATTAAAAATAAAAATATGCAGTTAGAGCTCTAAAATTTGGACTCTTTAGGAAAACTAGTTTTATTTTGGAATGAATCTGTATTCTATCTTCAATTTTTTTAATAAGTACATCGTTCTTACTGAATCCATACTTGGATTAGATTGATCAAACTTTGGTATATTTCTTAATGCTCTCGTTGTAATCTCAGATTTCATATCCTTCTCTATGATCATGGTCAATAATCTGTTCATCCAATAAGGTTCTGATTTAGTTTTATTCATTAGAATGGCAATAGAATCTTTATAGTCTAAGTTGGGATAACTCTCTAATAATTTTTCAAATATTCGTATTTTAAAATCCAAGCTGAATGAATTTCTTTGCAGTAAAACCATATTCAATAGAAGTGTTAATGTTGTTGGATTTGCTATAGGCGTTTCATTATCAACAATTAATAATTCTTGTATTGTGTCCTCTGGAGTTTGATATACACTCATCGTTAAAAAAGGGTAATCTCGTACATCAAAAAGAGTGTCTGGAGGTAAACCCTTATCCATTACTTCGAGAAACGTATTCCATTTCTTCACGAACGTTAAATGGGGATCCTTTGCATTAATTTCGATATTTATTTTTGTTAACTCATATTTGTATTTCATAATGCTATTTTGAAGATGGCCGATTTCATAATAATCCTGATAATATTTATAGACTTGACTTGGAATTTCATCATGACCCTGAACCTTTGCTAAATTACTAATATCACACAATGCTTCTGGAGGAATAATTAAAACTTTATGTCTCAGTACATATTTTGACCAAATATGTAGAATCGACTGCATATCGCCCCATTGACAACTCTTATTTAAGTAAAGTTGCAAAAACGAATAATCAGCCTTCTTCACTGGGATATGACGGATATTCTTAAGAACACCTGAAAGCTTAAGATTCAAACAGCGATTGTAGATTCTTTTCTTAAATTGTCCTACAAGTTCAGGTGGAATCACTTTTGCTAACTGACGTCTCCCCATAGTTCAAATAACAATAACAGAAGAGGGGGAAAAAATACTGAAACCTTAACAACTTAACTCAATGATCCCCCATTCAAAACCAGATCGAATCCAAATAACGTATCGTTATTCTAGTCCTTTGCTTTAATATTGCTCTGTTCTTAAACACTTTGAATATTTCCCAATATCAATTTTTGATATCGTTTCCTTTTTAATATAAGAAAGGTGAAAAATTATAAAGAGACTTGAGACTATTAAGAATAAGTTCAAATGAAGCTGTTTAAGTTGATCTAGTACTGGAACAATTTGGTTAACGATGCTTAGGTCTTCAGTTATCAGGTCAGTTGGAAGATTGGTATGTTAATAAATCTTTAATAATGCTTTTATAGTTATTTTTTTGTTTATTTTTTTTGTTTTGGTGATTCCAAATCTCAATCTGAGATATTGGATGAAAAGTTATTTACAATTGACTAGTTTCATCTTACTAACATTTTAATTGCAATTGTTATATATAGTCTTTGACATCTTCTAGCTCTCTGGTTGTCGGTTCTGTAGTAGTTCCAAGGTTAAGCTTTAATAATCAATTCAATGGTATTCGTTTTAAATCTACTACTAGTCCAAGTTCTGGAGTTGATGCTGCTAATGAAATCCAAACTCAGTTGCCTTCATTTGATGAGATAGCTTCAAATGCCGGTGCTATCTCTGAACAAGTTTCACAAGCTGTCAATATGACTTCTGATCAAATTGGTTATATGAATAGCATTGGCTTAGCTCAATCATGGACTTGGCCACCTGATCTTATTCAACATTTCCTAGAGTATATTCATGTATATACAGGTCTACCTTGGTGGGGTACTATTTGTGCAGCTACATTGTTGGTCAGGCTTGCTATGTTCCCATTATATGTTAAATCTTCTGATACTATTGCTCGTAACTCTCGTATTAAGCCGGAGTTAGATATAGTGACTAAAGATCTAATGTCAGCAGGTACCCTTTTAGAAAGCCAAACCATTGCTTTAAAAAGAAAAAAGTTATTAGCTGATAATGGAATTCAAACAAGATGGCTTGCAGCTCCAATGTTGCAATTGCCTGTGGCTTTGGGTTTCTTTAGTGGTATCCGTGCAATGGCTAACTATCCCGTGGATGGCTTTACCACACAAGGTCTTTCTTGGTTTACTGATTTAACTCAGGCAGATCCATATCTTGGTTTACAATTCATCACAGCTGGTGTATTGATGACATTTACTAGATTGGGTGGTGAAACTGGTGCTCAACAATTTTCTCCTGCAATGAAAAAATTCTTCACCATATTACCTTTAATCTCGATCCCGGCTACCATGAATCTTTCAGCAGGTGTTGTATTATACTTTGCCGTTAATGGTACATTCTCAGTGATGCAGACCGTTTTATTAAGAAATAAAACTGTGAGAAAAAAATTGGGAATATCTGATATAGTGATTCATCCTACTAAACCTGGTACTGAACAGAAAGGTATTATTGCATCTTTAAAAGAAAATATGGCAAATGCAAGAGATCAAGCTGAAAAAAAGCAAGCGATGAGAGATAAGGAACAGTTACAACAGGAAATGGCTAAGGAAAGAAAAAAGAACTCAAAAGTAAAGATTGTTCGTCGTGACTCCAAGAAACATTAAACTCGATAACTTTTAGTATATTGGTTTGATTCATAAAAATACCATGTATATATTTATTTCACATAAACTACCTTTTCTTTATTTTAATATATGTAAATATTTGTTATCACAATAGATGTACAATATAAAAGTAGTACTACTTATAATAATTAAGCTAATGAAGTAGATTAGTTTCCTGACGGGAACTAATACTATAAAATAAATAAATGCTCATTAATATTAATTAAATTACAGTTAAATATGTACAGATGTAGGCTGGTATTGCTAACTTATCTAATTAATAAAATATGTCTCTGGGTTTTTTATAAAATGCTGTAAAATTGTCTGTATAGCACCTAAATTGGCACCCATACTACTTGCTAGATCTTCTTGATCAATAAAACTCATAGAAAAAACGATTGCTAAATTAGAAGCATCCATACGATTATGACTGACATGTTGATGAACTCTATTCAAATGAGTGACAATTTGTTTCATAGTGTGATAATAACAAGTAGGAAGTTCGGATAGTAAAGTATTCATTCTACTGGTGAATTCGTTCTCTGAAATCCGTCCTGACTTGTAATTAATTGCTAGCTGTGCAAAATCTCCTACCTTCTCATTCGTAAATAAACTATCAGGTAGTTCTCTCAGATACATTTTAAAACAACCAGCAATGGCATTGATTTCAAACCATCTATCATCCTCTAATGTGAAACTATTTGAAATAGCCCCTTCTTCATCAAATGCATTTTTCAATGCGTTAATGCTACCTGCTGAGCCGGGAATTCTATATAAGCCCACTTCATCTAAACCACGAAGTTCAATTTCTTCTAATAGCTTAGTCACTATTGTTGGAATAGTTGTACTCTCGCGTTCACAAACATCTTCCAATGGAACACCAAAAATCTTGTTGTGAGTTCTACCCTTAAATTTTCTAGAATAAAACGAATACCTCTTCGAAGCCTTGATCATCGATACCCATTCATTCAAATCTTCTAAGCTAGATGCCTGTATCATGTAATCTGATCCGTTCTGCATTACTATCTTGAAAGAATATAAATATGCTGGGTTCATTCTATGGTTGACCGTTGGAACAATGGATTTTATTTCAAAAGTTCTAATTGTGTGAAGAGCTTTATTATCCTGTAGGATTGATATATCGATGCTTGGTAAAGCTGCTGGACAAATTGAGCCATTACCTTGAACATCGTGGACTAAAATACTATTCAGAGAAGTGTTTGATGATGAGGAAGAAAAGAATGGACTTCTGAAAAATTCACCCAGTTTTTTACTTACACCAGTATGAGATGTAGCAGACATAGAATTCCTTGAAGACATTACCGGTACAGAACCTCTCTTATCTCTTGATGAAATAGAAGTTGAATTTGATAGATGCACAGAACGAGGTGGGGTTGATTGATATATATTTGGAATGATAACAGAATTGCGTTTATTCTTGGCTACTGTTTCCTGTAATGTCGACGTCTTTTTTGACTCACGTTCTTGGCTTAATAGCGTTTCCCTCTTCCTCTGTTCTCTCTTCAATTTATCTACTTCGTTTATTAATAACTCGTTGAATAAGCCAGAATCATTGAAATTCATTTGTTTTGATTCTAAAATAGAAACATTTTTAACTTTTTGTCTGAATGTTGTAGATTTTTTATCAAAAGTAAAATATAAAATCGATCCAAACTCATCTCTAGTGTTGTCTTCAGATTCATTATAATGTGGAATTAAATCAAAAATATTGGAAATAAAGTTATGAACAAATCGTCTCTTGTCAAAATTGATTAATTTGGAATTCGTCATGCTCATATTTGGAACAAATTGTGAAATTTCTAATAATCTTGAAATAAACCAACCTGGACATGGAGATAAATTTTTTGGTTTATTTAAAACAGTCATATCTATCTCGATAAACGACTTTATGTGAATGTCATCAATATCATCCATAATCTTATAAATAGATCTTAATGGTTTTTCAGAGTGGTTTGAATTCATTAAGGAGTATGCAGTTCTCCAGGCCAATTCAAAACTTCTTGATTCAGGAGTTACCATAGCATTTGATATAGCAGTTTCAATAAACGATGGAATATGTGGAGATATACTTGAATTTGGATCTTCAGGAGTCTGGTTGTCAAATAAATCTAATGATGAGTTTTTCCAACGAACATAATTCAATATTTGCAATACCACACAGCATCTATTCAAACGAATATCAAAACTGCAGTTCACATCTGATATAATAATTGTGAAAAAGGCGGTTAATGATTTATGCAAATTGATGAGCACCTTTACAGATGTTGGCAAATCGTCAAACAAAAGTGAACCATCATCGTAGGTAATTGAAGTAATCCATGTAAAAATATTCGATATGCTCAACTCTACCAATTGGAGTGATCCTGAATTCAATAATTTAATCGTCTCTGATTGCGGAGAACAGTTAAAAAGGGCAGTCAATGATTGGGTAGAGAACAGATTTAATTGTTCATATGTAATAAATAATTCCCCATTATTAGCTAAGTTGAAATTTTTTGTAACGAAACAATCAAGTCTATTGATCCATGATAGTATTGATGGATAATCTTTATAATCCAACGAGGTAAAATCTGACAACATATTATCAATATTCTCTGTATCTGTATTGAACAAGGTGCTTAACTCATCGAATGAGATATTTGAAAACTTATCCAGTAAATTGAGGGCTTCCCTCTTTGATGGACTTACTCCAACAGGTTTATACAATTGATTTTGGAAAGATTCTTTAATATTATAAAATAATTCGTTAATCCTTAGGAAGTGTGATTCAATAGATTGTAAAGTTTCATGCTTTGAGTTAGGATCATTTTTGATCAACTTAATTATATTCGGCCATTCAACAGTAACTTCTTGTTCCATAATTTTAAAGAAATCTAAAAATGTCGGTTTTATTTCCAAATCATCTGTTAAGTCAGAATAATGGTTTTTAACAAAATGCAAGGTTGCCTCCATCACACCAATATGAATCATAATAACAAATATGTAATTGATGTCTTCTTCATTGGTAATTTTAATATCCCAATCCGGAACTTGCAAATGCCAATTCATATTTTGATTCTTGTCAGTGCTATTTGATGAGTTGGTTTCTGATATTGGCAACAACATATAGGAAATTGATATAGCACAATTTTTGGCTTTTATAAACCTTTTGGCCAAATTTTCAATTACCGATGTAGCAGTAGTGAATGTCTTGTAGGTGTTAAAAAAAGTCTCCGTAAAATTTGTATTATCCATTGATAATCTAACAAATGCATAATCTAAGAGTCCAATATCACTATCCTTCTCCCGAGACAAACTCAAATTTGTTGAAGATGGAGACTTGGGTAGCCTAGTGTTTTCAAAATTGTAATTCTGAACCAAGTTTAAATTTGGATTGAAATTTGATTTCTTTTTTCTGCTATTAAAATAGTTTTTCAAATCATCTGTATCAATTGAATTGGAGAAAATATTAATTGTTAACACTAGCAAATCAAAGATTTTGTCTAATGAACCTGATTTCAATACAGTATTGATAACTGTTGTTTCGGAAATCGTTTCAGAAATTTTAGAAATATTTTTGAAAAAGTCCATATTTTCAAGACTTTTAGTTGAAATGCTTTGAGAATCCAGATTGTCCCTATTTATTGTTGAGCCATCGGTATTATTTGAGATAGACAATTGTGAAAAACGCTTAGCTGATTCTATTACAATTGATGCAGGCCTTGATGTAACTTCATTATCATCAGTTGATTTAAAAATTAGATCGTTGGAGATATGGAAAAGATCCATATCAATGTTTAGAATATCTCTTATACTCCTCATCATTTTCTGTTTATTTGATTGTTTCATAGAAATTTCTTTAATAGTAGGCATATCAACTTTATTAAACCCCGTAACCTGTTTGGAAGCATCATTATTAGAACTTTTCAAGTCAATAATATTTGATAGATTCGAATTAACGACCGATAGTGGTTCGCTTATTGAGATAGTCTTCGAAATTCTAGCTGATGATCTTGGAGGAGGATTTTTCTTGTTGGATTCGTTAACAAACATTGAAGAATGTGAATGGGATAACATTCCTGATGCACCAATCAATGAATTTTTAGTGAATAATGAATAATTTTGCAATAAATCATTGAATATAATTGGAAGATAGCTTCCAGAAAGAAGTGGCGACCTTTGACTAACATTTGAAGAATATGATTTTGCATCCAAACGAGATGGCTCTATTTGTAAACTTAGTTTCATCAAATTTTCAACATTCATATTTGGCTGTGAAAGATGAAATCTCCAATAGTGGAAAATTGAATTGGATACATTATCTTTTTTAATTAAATCTTGAAATTCATAATTATCTAATTCTAATTGATTCATATTTGCCATTGACGGAATTGCCAGATTATCATTCTCATGCAGTTTTTGTTCCCATTTATGGAAAGCATTCTTAGTACGATTAATTTTCTTCTCTAAATATTTCAATTTTGAATCAGATGGTAATTCATCTGCGTGAATCATAAGATCACCAAAGTATGATATTACATTATTTCTAATTATTGGATCGTTCAAATTTGGAGGAGCTAAAATGAATACACTTTGTGTTGACTTGGATGAAAACTGTCGTCTGTCAAGTTGGATTATTGTTGGGATCCAATCCTTGAAAAGAATTTTTAGGAGGTCTTCATCTATGAAATTCCAAGTGTTTTGAAGTCGTAAAATTGGTAGAGAGCAAATAATAGTTGCGATTGCCAACCAAGATACCATATCACCAATTTGTTCGAACTTGCAACCAATTTTAATCCATTTTGTAATTAATTTTGCCCTTTGACTTGGAGTTGAGTGTGTATTCATAACATGGATAGTTAATAATCTTCCTAGTAGATGAAAGTTCTCATTATTATTAAAGACTAATGGATTCAAATTTTTCAATTTTAAATTCTTTTTATTATCAAATAGATTTAAGTGAGTGAAGTTTGAATCATATAATAATGAATAGTCTAATCGAGGAGACCAAATTTTATCAAATTTCAAATTAATCCTATGGAAGGTTTCTGTAAATTTATCAATGTCAACATTTTGTAGAAAATTATTAGAATTCAATAAATAATTTGAAGCAGAAGGATCTGGAATTAAATTAGTGAAAAAGATTAAGTTTCTGATTTTTGATATTTTTAAATCAATTAAAGAAATTAATTTTTCAGATGAAGTCAATTTTATTAGTTGAATTAGTAATTGATAATTTGAATCTATTAGCAAGAAACTAGAGAGTAATTCTGCTATAGTTTTAATTAATAATGAAATTCTTTCTACTATAATTTGGTGATGCTTCTTTGAATTAATATATAATTTTGTGTACTGGACAAAACAACTCAAAAATTTATTAAAATTTTCCAATAAAGGCAAAATTAATATTAAATTTATTGTGCTACGGGATGATGCATCTTGAAATAGAACAGCATGAGAAAGACTTTCTACTGTGCCTGATATTATTTTCCCATTTTTATCTAATTTTAAATTTGGATGAGGAAAAGAATCTGAAGTAAATTTGATCTGAATGTTTTTTGTATCGATATAATTAGATGTTGAATCTATATTCTGCTTCTTATCGTTATGGGTGTCATGATGATTAATAATTTGTTGATTTTGATTTTGATTTTGAGTATTATGTTGATGCATATGTTCGTTATTATTACTGATGTTATGATGTGTTTCATTATTATTTGAGCTCTTTTTCAGTAAAGGGTCAAAATATTTTATGTTACTATGGAGACCATTTTTGTATAACGAAAGAACAGAACCCTTCAAAACAGCTTTATGAACTCTATAATCAGGAATGACTGTATCTTGGTAACTATGTTCACTCGGAATTTGGGTTTTCAAAGAGTCTGTATCATTATTGTTTGCACTCAAAGATGGCTGTTGTGGCTGTGACAACGAATGATTACTGGGAGATCTCCGTAGAGGGTGGATGAATCCCACTGATTTGTTTAACCAACCAACCTTAAAGATAGTTGTATCATAATTCTCATTATCTAAAAACACTTCTGTACTGCCAGCGGTTGAAGTTGGTCTAACATTTGCAGTTGTAGGAATATTATTAACAATACTTATGCTTGAACCGTTGTTACTACTAGCAGACCCCGAATTATTATTCATATTGCTATCAGGATTGGTATTACTGCCGATGCTGTTGCTACTACTATTGTTTTTGCTGCTGCTATTGTTGTTGTTGTTGATACTATTCGCATTAATATTATGGTTACCAGTAGTATTTGCAGTATTTATAGTTGGATTATTTGCAGTGATCACCGAAGTATTTGAACCTTCTGTTATATTCTCAGTAGATTTGCTGAATCTTCCAGAGATAAAAGAACTCTTCCTTTTTGTAGAATGGGTATGCAAATGTTGGTCATGACTTGAAGAAGAAGAAGAAGTCACAGAACTTAAATGGGTTGTATCTGTGGTAGTATTGTTATCATTATTATCATTATATTCGTTGTTATTATTGTTGCCACTGTTGTAAGTAGACTTTCTATGCCGTGTAGACCATCTAAAGCCTCTCATCCCTCAAATTCCAAAAAAGAAGAATGAATGACCGTGAACAATAAGGAAAATTAAAAGTTAGATGGGTTCTTCTTTTTTTTATTTATTTATTATTTTTTTTCGATATTTTTTAGTTCAACAGAGGAAGAAATTAAAAAGAAAGTGAAAGCTGATGAACCACAAGTTCCTAGTCTTGGTGAAATTTCAAACTCGTTAGAGCAGTAACTCCAAAGTATTAATTGGTGAAAACACGAAACAAGTTGATCCAACCGAAACGAATCGAATCGAATCAAACCAAACCAGATCCTAGTGGAAATATCCAATAACACAGAATGGAAGTATAAATATATATATATAAAAATATATATATTTAGAAATATGTTGCGAATATGATTGGAGCTATATTTAGGATCTATTTGGCCTGATGATATAAAACAACAGTTCTAGTTTAATTATAACTATTTATTCACTTTTAATTAGTAGTTCAACGTTAAGTTTACACGAAACATTTATCAAAAAATAATAAATGTGTCTTTAACGGTGAAAACTGTCTGTTTGCCCTGCATTGTCGTTGCATACGACTTGTAATTTCACCACATGTTACGTGTATGGTGATATGTGGAATGGATGTTGTAGCGTAATTCTAGGTCACGTGTTTGTCACATGACAAACACGTCACATGATCTGTCTTATCACGTGTTCTTGTTCGTCACGTGCTGTGTCCGGGTGACAACTAAAAATACATATTTCTATTACGGTAATAATAACTAACCATTATATATATCTACTACTATTACTGCTACACACACACATACATATATATATATATATATATGTATATCCATAGTGCCATCAAACACTAGATACCATGTTGCCCTATATTCTAGATATATGATCTCTTCTGGCATAGTATTTGCAATAACCCCCATCAATACCTCTTGGTAATATATTAATACACTCAAAACATATCCATCTATCTATCTATCATTCACTGGTTCTCTTCTTCATCCATAGGATTGTATATATTCTTGGACAACATCCTATTCAACTCATGCTTAATATATTCAATTTTCGTAGGATCAACTAACAAATGAGTATCATCCAACTCCTCTAATATTATATCATTATGTTCACTGTCCATTTGAATTATTAAAGCTTTGATCGAAGGATCGCATTGAACTAAAGCCCCTCTTCTAGCTCTTGCCATAATAAACAAACTTCCCTATATATACGTTGTTCTACCACCAGCAGATATCAAACCTTCACTCTCTATCCTTTTCTGTAATACCAAACCATTCATTGTTCTTAGTTAACTTATCGATGTTTAAATTTTGATCTTAATTTGATATCAAAATATCCCATCCCGTTTAAGAACATGCATGGTCCATATTAAATTTAGGTAAAGTTTTACAGTATTGAAAGACCACGAAAACAGACAATTATACAGATACAGGAGAGCTTATACAGTCAGGGGAAAGTGCTCATAAGAAGGTATTATATCTGTTGATGTGTGATTATGTCTGGTTCCGATACAGCTAGTTCTATTTCTTCTGAAGAAGATGACGATTATTTAGACGTAATTGACCCACCATTATTTAATTATTCAAGGATTAAGAAAAAATTACCTGTTTCATTGTTCTCATCGAGAGATTCCATTGCATCGACGCTGTTTACTAAGAATTTTTTGGCATTTGGTACTCATCAAGGTATTTTGCATTTGACAACCACTAATTTCTCGCCAATTAAATCTTTTAAATGTCATAAATCTTCAATTCTAACGATTTCAACAGATTCAAATACCTGTTCAAATTTTGCTACGGCTTCAATTGATGGTACGGTGGTCATAGGAAATTACCTAGACCCTGATACTTCATGCATTGCTTATAATTTTAAAAGACCTGTAAGTTCTGTTATATTAGATCATGATTATGAGAAATCAAAGTTATTCTTCTCTGGTGGTATGGCTTGCGATTTAATTATGTCGCAAAAAAATTGGCTAGGTAATAGAATTGATACTATTTTAAACAAAAAACTGTATCATGATGGTCCAATTCAAGCAATCCATCAATTCGGGAATAATGTCATAATATGGTTTAATGAGGATGGTATTAATTTTTATGATTTAAGCACAAAGACTTTTCTATTTAATCAGCCTTTCCCAAACAGTGATAATACAAGACCTGAGCTTTTTAAACCGTTTTCATTGACTATAGATGCTTCAACATTTGTAGTGTGTTGGTGTAATAATATTTGGTTCTTCAAAATTACCTGTAGTAATTCTAATACAGCAAAAGACGTTCAACAAAATTTTTCTTCACTTTTATCAACAGCTGCCTCAACTTTGAAAATTCAGTCCGACACTTCAGTATCTTTACAATCACACTTCTTGGTTAATTTCATTATTGCAGGTGTATGTTCATATAAAAATGATCAATTACTATTATTAGCATTTGAAAATAAAGATCTTTCTTCGACAATTACAACCACTCAACCTGAATTGAAGATTATTGATTCATTGACAGGTGAGGAAATATATTCTGATCAATTGGTATCAAAAAATTTAGAAAAACTATCAATAAATGACTTTCATTTAGATACTTATATTGATAAGGATTCTAAAGTAAATTATTTTTTAACAAATCCAAATGATATTATTCATATAAAACCACTCACATTAGAAGATCATTATTATTGGTATATTGACAATGATAATTTAATAAAAGCTTGGGAAATTGGGAAATATGTAGTTTCAGAAGAAGATAGATTTCAGATTGCTGTACAATATTTAGATAAATTATTAGATCAAAAAAATTGGGAACTCCTGAAAACTAATATGGTTAAAATATTCCTTGAAACAGATTTTACTAAAGAAGATGGTGACTTATTTAAAGATTTGGTTACTGAAAAATGGGAGAGGTTTATCATGTCATTTTTAGAGAATAATAAAATTGACTTGATTATTGATTTTATCCCTGTGGATTTCCCTTTGAATAAAACAGTTTACAACTCAATTTTAACTTATTACCTAGAAAATAATAATCTGGATTTATTTTCTAAGTATTTGAGGGAATGGCCATTAACAGTTTATGAACCAAAAATTTTAGAAGTGGAATTAGAAGAAAAATTAAAATTGGATGATGAGAAATCAATGACTTATAGAAGGGATTTGATTTATCTTTATTCCAAGCAAAGCAAATATTCTAAAGCCATCCCTCATATGCTTAAGGCAAAGGACATTACTGCATTAGATATTATGTTATCTCATGATCTTCTGTCACAATTCATGGACGACGTTGTAGATATCGTTCTATTACCATTTAATGGGGAGATCAAAGAGTTCGAAAAGTTACCCCTAGGTGAAATCGAATTCTTACTACAAAAACCAATTCAATTACTGATTGAAAACAGATATTCGATATCAATAAATAAGATAATACAATTGTTTTCAAATCCAGCCACGCTTCGTATTGTAATATTCATGTATTTGAAAAATTTGACAAGGATTGATGCCTCTATAACATCTTTCGAAGATCTCATGATAGAGCTTTACTTTGAATATGATAAGTTAAACTTGTTACAGTTTTTAAAAGAGAAAAATAACTATAATGTGGAAAAAGCCATAGATTTTTGTTCTAAGGACCCTGAATCTTATAACGAATTGATTTATCTGTGGAGTAAAATTGGTGAAACAAAAAGAGCACTTTCCTTGATTATAGATAAATTGAATGACCCTGACGTAGCCATTGAATTTGTTAAAAATTGTGGTGATTCTGAATTATGGGAATTTATGGTAGGTTATAGTATGGATAAACCTTTATTTGTCAAAGCATTGTTAAATTCACCTGATGAAGTTGGCAAAACTCATTTGGAGATCATTAAAGCAATGCCACTAAAAATGGAGATAGACACTCTACCTGAAACGTTAGAAAAATTACTGAAAGAAAATTTTTTAACCTTAACAGTTTCTAATAATGTCTATAAAATTATTGATGATGAAACTAACACTTATACTAAGGAATTGTTAGCATTACGAGTTATGGGGAAAATATTTAATGACGAGTGTATGTAATTATTTATTAATTATTAATGAATTTGTATTGTTATATTATGGATAACAGTTTAAAATTGAATTCCATTGTCACTAGAGTTAGTTTGAACACCACCAGGGTGATCAAAATATTGCTGCATATAGTTAGTATTATCTACTTGAGTTTGGTAACCATTATTATTTATATTTCTCATCTTGTTTACCCTTCCCTGTAATTTCGAGATGTTGGAATTGATTTCTTTAATTGAACTTTTCGAGAATGATAATCTTCTATTTTCTATAGCGTACTTCAATACCTCTTGTAAGTATTGTAATAGCTTCTCATCTTTCTGGATATCTTCATCCATTGACATATCTGTTACACTGTTATTGGAGAGTGCTCGCTCTACATCGTAACTTGCAAATTTGGATGAAATGTCGGAAATTAGTTTTTCATCTATCTCAACGTCGTCCAAGACACCATTATTAATGTCATTTGAGTTGGAGTTTTGAATTTCCATTTGATTTGAAGGAGTTTTAGAACTACCATTTACTAAAAATGTATTATTATTTTGTAGATTTTCCAACAGCATGTCTTCCGCAGTAGTAGACCTTTCTGAGGGGGAAACGTTAAATGACAAGTCAAACTGATTTAAAAATAGATCAGGATTGTCTATCAATGTACTAACATTAAATAATTTATTTTGTTTCGAATTGTTAGTATTGGTGGAGAAAAACTGATCAAACCCAACCTCATAACCGTCTTGGTTCCAGTTGTCCCATATATCTAATGAATTTGCGACTTCATCTCCAAGTGACGTACTTGATTGACTCTTTGATGATGATTTATTCGGGAGACCTGAACTAGAATCTTCGTTAGAACTATCATTCTTGATGGGAAGCTGGAATTCTGGCTCAAATTCATCGACAATAGCCCCTTCGATTAATTCGTGCAAGTTTAATAAATTTCTGTATTTATTTTCTAAGTTTAGATCTATAAGTTTCTCATAATCCCATTTTTTTAAACAATTGAAATTATGGCATACTTCTGCCAAATCTCTTTCCAATTGTTCATTTTTTTTGAATGACACTCCCTTTCCAAATTCATTATCCATGACGAAAGTGGGAAGCAATCCTGAACATTTCCAACTACGTTTAATCGATTCTACAGGGATATCATTCCAGGCTTTCTTTATAAATTTAAATGCATTAGACATCGTTAACTCACTCTGTTCGAAACTGATGATAATATTTTTATTTTCCTTTTTTTGAATTTTTTTCTGCAAATCTATCAAAGCTCTATATTGTTGAATTCTATATCTAATTTTAAATTCATCAAGTATCCCCCAATTAAATGGTAAAAAACACGAATTGCTTGTAGCATAAACTAATTGAATATTTTTTAAATGTAAATTTATAATCCTATGAGGACATGAATCATCTAAAACAATCCATACTTTTCTATTGTTGGCAACCAGTCTTTTATCCCATCTTGCCAACCAATCATGAAATAAATTGCTTGTTAATAGAGATTTTCTATTACTTTTATAAGCTACTCCGAATTTCTGAGCCATTCTATCACCTAAATGAGCCTCTGAGGTTGTTCTATCAGTTGGGATATCGGGGAAATGATTTCTGAAACTACTGTAATTATTATAACGACCAATAATGAAAGGATTTAATTTTTCACTACCAGTTAAATTCGAACAAAGCATTACGGTAATTATTTCAATTCTACTTTGTATTCTACTAGATTCATATTGTGCATAATCCAATGGTAAATTATAAGCTAAGAAAGTTTCATTAATGGTAAAAATGTCATTCTGGGGAACATTTTCTAAAAAACTTTTAATACCTGTTCTTTCTTCAAAAGTCCAAACTTTCGGAGCCTTCAAAACTTTACCATCCAACATCGTTGAATTCAAATCCATTTTATTTAAAAAATTATTAATCCACCTTGTATTTAATATACCATAACCTTCTCTAAATCTGGCAGGAATTTCTAACCAGATGGCTTGAGCAGTACGTTGCATAATATGAGTACTCATTGGAATATTATTCCAAATACTTTGTGAAATCCATTCTTGCAAAATACGTTGAACCAATAAGTTATTTTGTTTTCTCAATCTATTTGCATCCTTTTCATGAGCTTTTGTCTTCATATAAAAGTCCTTTTTAGCTAATAGTCTTGACACTGTACCTTGCGAAGGAATCTTAGGTAATTGGAAGGTTTCATAAGCCCATTTAGCCAAATCCAATTGAGTCCATTTGGGATGTTTCTCTGCCATCAAACAGATGTTATATCTGTGTTCCATAGAAAGCATCCTCTAAATCATTCAGTATATTACAAGTTTTAGCAGCGTAGAGAGAGAAAAAGAGAGAGTCCTTGAGATATAATCAATGTAGATAGAGCCAATATTTCAAAATGGAAAATTAGATAGAGATAGAGAAAAATGCAGATATAGAGCGACTTTTTTCAAAATCTTCGACCTGAATTCAAAGATATAGACCGTATATAATCTTCATAAATACTGATTGGTTAGATTCAGTTAAAATTAAACTATTTTCTTAGCAGTTTAATTAAAAGAAGTCATCTATTTAATCATTAAATTATTATCAATTCGAAACATCTTTTCTTTAATTTTTGATATTTCGGTTGTTATCAAGGGAACGAAGTGAAAGATTGTCACGTGATCGATGATGATTCATTTACATATATATCACACAATAATATACTATAGTATATAACCTATCTATCTATAGAGATTTGAATTGGTAGTGTTGACTTAAATTGTTCATTGAGCATTATATGTTCATTTAGTTAACACAATTTTGAAGTTAGAATAGTTTAAAATTTGGTTGAAATATCTTTCTTTTTTGATTTTGGAATAAGTGTTAACCAGAACGACTTTGGAAAAATGATTGAACTTGTGATAAGGCATTTAAATTATCCAGGCCTGGGATTGTAGGCAATTGGAACCATGAATTGTTACTATCTTCATTTGCATTTGGTTCCCATTTATCACAGGAACGGAATCCATAAGCGTTGATTCCTGTTAAACAAATACCAACAGAAACTAATAAGAAGTAGAACAATTTTAGTCTTAGAATGCACATAATGCCAAATACAATCCATACTATTGGAGTCAAGTATATAGACCACCAGAATAGTTTAGAATCTATTGGGTTGATGGATGGACCTGGTGAGAACTGTTTGTAAGATTCGAAGGTAAAAGAACTTGATTGTTTACCAGTAGTATCATACCACCAACGTAACTGAACAAGCTTCCGACCACTTATATTCTTGGTAATATAGAAATCAAACGCTAGTAATAATACCACAGATATAAACTGGGCTGTAAACCCCATAAATAGCGATCCTAATACATAAAATATCAATGGTACAGCTTTTCCCCCTAAGTGGATAGATAATAAAAATGGATGAGATGATTTCAATATAGTACTATAAAAATTATTAATCTGTTCCATCTTCAACACGGTTCAATAGTCTTACTTCAATTGGGGTCTGTTTAACTCAAAGATACCATTCTTATATATATAAATAAATATAAACTATACAAAATCTAATACTATTATATAGCAGCATTCTTTTAGAAACGTTACAAATTTCACTTTTTCTTCGTCAAAGCTTTGCCTACAAGCGATGGATGGATGATGATGATGATATAGAAATTCTATTATGTTATGACGGCGACAGACACTACCATTTAGTTAATTATAGTAAAAGATACTGGTGTATGAGGTTATAGATAGTAGATTTATTGGTGTACCCCTCCAAACTATTTGTTGTGTAGTTTATTCCAAGCCTGTGGAGAAATATAAAGAAAAAAATATAAAGAAAAAAAGTTAAACTACTGCTAGTAGAACAGTTATTCGAAAGAGATGTAATGGGAGGAGACGAAGAAATATATGTAATTAGATATTCTTTTGTATGTTTACATTTAAAAATGAGGCCAAAATAATACTTTTCACTAGGTATGATATTATTGTTACCGTTTTTAATTAACCATTGGTCCAAGTATTGTGGACATTGACACAATGCCATTAAATATTAAACTAAACAATGCTCATCTCTAATGACTTATTTATGAAGATAACGATAATATATTTCTTATCCATTAGTATATTTGATAAAGATGGGTTTTTAATGCCCAGTTAACAGGAATTGCGAACTTCGTTTGGTTCTGTTATTTTTTTTTTGATCTTTTTTGTTTGTTTCAAATTTTTGGCTAAGGAATTTTATACATAATATTATTAATAATCCATGCAATTGACTACGTTCCCAAATTATGACAAACGTCATTCCTATGTAACTGTCGCAAGATTTCTACTAAAGGATGGACCTCATGGTAGTATGACTTCAGGTTGGTGGGGCTCTTACGTATTGCATACATGGAATGTCATTATGAGGTATGTCAATACCAGAAGTGTATGTCAAGCGAATAGAAATAATTCTTCAAATTCTGTTTGCTTGTTGAATATTTACGACTTAGGAGTGGGTGTCATAACTAACTTACTGTCTCTTCCAGCAGGCCTCAGACAACCAGCTCCTGTCGGAATCAATAATATTGAATATTATATTCAAGATCCAAGAATTGCGAAAACAGTGTCTGTTTTGTATCAAATAATAACGGTGGCTATTTTAACATCTTTGCCGGCAATCGTTTATAACCTTTATCGTACATTAGTGGGATATTCAAAATTAGAAGTATCAAAGGTATCTGAAATGGATGAAAAAAGAGAAATTCAAAATTAAACTCTGCCATTCTTCCATATGTTGTTTCATAAATTTCTAATAATTAATAATTTATATACTAATATATAATACACTTAAATAAAATAAAATGTTTAACATGGTGAATCTCTCCATTGGTTAATTATGTGTAAGGATAATTGTTATTTTGTTAGTATTGGAATGGGAGGCATGAAAGCCAAAAGGAAATTAAATTTGTTTTATTTTTATTTCCGAAGTATATCTCATTATTCTGAAGTATCATTAAACATGTATTTTAAAAGTTCAAAAGAATTTATTTTTTTTTGCCAATTGGATTTAAATTTTATTGATTTGATATTTATTACAAGCTTATAATTATCTTATATTGAGAGTTAAATTTGTTAGTTTAATAAAAGGTTCCACTATTTCTAATTTTCTCATTTCTTCATTAAGGTAAGATTAAAACAAAAACAAAATGTAAAATAAACATAACCTAAATCTGTCAGAAATTATGAGATGACGTAAAGTCATACTCATTAATTCAATATTAATAAGGGTGAAGAATTATATGAAACATCATTATTAATAAGGGATAAAGAAATGTTTATAATACGAAAGTATTTGCTTCTGACGTGTCAATAATATCTAAACATTGTATATAAAGTCTGATAAGATCTTAATTGACACTTATCATATGTACTATATTCCCATGTGTATATTTTATACTTTAATACACCGGATCAATATCAACTTATTAAAAATGTCCTTGCAAACAACTAAACAATCTAATACTATTAACGATTCTGTAAAGAATTCACAACCCTCCGATTCTCTACAAAATCCAAATATTGAACTTGGTATCTTGAAGCATAGGCAGAACTTCTACTCATATAAAGTGAAATAAATATTAATTCTAAGCCCAGTTTCCAACATTTTAGATAGCCATTACAAGTTCAACCTTTTTTCTTGAGAATTCTTTAGTATTTCTTGTATTAATTATATAACATCGCTATTTCAGAACTTTTCCCCTTGACATTCTAGGACAATAGCATATTATAAATATACTACACAATTATTCTAAATCAGAACTGTGAATATATGGTTTCTATGTATCTGCCAAGCGTTTCGAGAGAACTTTTCGTGTCATCTGGAGCATTAGCACTTGGCGAGCCGCCATAATCACAAATGCCGAACATATCATGAGGTAATTTAGACTCTACATATACTCATATGAGGTAGAGTGAGTGATTAAACCTAATTTGGCCTAATTTGGCTTATATTAAGGTAATAACGTCGCAATTATTTTTTATTAATGTCAATATATAGAACTTCATTCTCTTCGCTTTCAACAATTACTATCCGATATAGTGTAACGGCTATCACATCACGCTTTCACCGTGGAGACCGGGGTTCGACTCCCCGTATCGGAGGAGTTTATTTTTATATTTTTAATCTCAATCACAATCTATAACCAGAAAAGAGCTAATAGAATGCAAAGTGGGTTTCTTCTAATAGCAATGGTGCATTACAATAACTTTAATTATTGTTTGACTTAACCTTTTTATGTTGAATTTTAATTATATTATTTAAATATATATTACTAAAGATTTGTTGGAAATTGTGTAAATGCTCTTATAGATTAGTTCTCAAATAGTAATGACCTCATGAGACTAGATTTAACAAATATTTATAAATATTAATTTGAGATAAAATCATGCAAAGTTGAAAGAATATTTTTTTATGGAAAATAATGGGTATTTTGAATGCTATTTTCATGAACAACCATCTCATCTCTTTTGAAACTGTTCAATTCACTTTTGATTGCCTCGACATAGCGTTTATTCTGCATTTGCAATAATCTACGATGATTATTGCGGAATGATCTGTCAGATCTCTCATATTCAACTGAAGACCAAGTATTGCTGACATGAACTTCTTTAGAAAATCTGAATGATTTGCGTATCTTCGATTCATCAGATGTGGCTTCTGAGACAATAGAAGGCGACAATGAGCTAATCGATGATGTGCTCACATCGTCAACACAGACAACGGCCCATTCTTTACTTAAACGGTCTAGAATATCTCTATTATTAATACAATCTTGTTGCGAATGGTTATAGAATTTCATTGCTGATTGAATATTACTTAGTTGTGGCCTATTTGTTGATCTTGGAGGCAATGTCATCATATGGGTGCTCGAATTTACATTCCTTGAAATATCTTGTTCATTGGAATCTTTTGAAATGGTGGAGGCTGGCGATGATTCTCTCGAAGAATTAGGAGAAATGCGTTCAGTTTTCAGTAACAAATTATCGAACACTAGATCAATATCTAAGAGCAAGTCATCTTCATTTTTTTCTTCAATTTCTTTAGTGACACCATTCAGAAAATTCCCATCTGTAATTTCCAATAGAGATATTTTTCTTTCAAACGATACATCTGAAGGTACTTCACTTTTAGACGATGCTTTTCTGATCTCTTCTGGTGGAATAACAGTCTGCGAATGTATATTATTACGAGGAGTGTTGGTGCTCAGTGTGTCAGTAGAAGCCAGAGATACAGAGCTCGTTGATGCGTGTAATCCCGATTTATCTTTCTTACCTAATAACTTCTTGAAAAATGAATTAATTTTGGAAGTTGAATTTGATTTTGATCTTGACATTGATCTTGAAAGGGTACTTGAAATACTTGATGATATATTGCTAATAAAACTGCCTGCGTCACTATTATCACATGTGCTTGTACTAGAGATGGTTGATTCTACTTGTGAGGTTTGGCGCGATAGAGCTGGAAGACCATTAGGATTGGTAATAGTGTTCTCTTTTTTAGCATACAAAGGAGAATTGCTAACTAAATATGGCCTATTTCTTCTCTCCGCTTGAACAGGTGAATTTCTTGGTGAAGAAGTTTGACCATGAAATGAGCTATGTGGCTGGCGGTATGGTTCACGTAAATTGGACATTGAAGCAGAACAAACCATCGAAATTGGTCTTTGCGATGGAGATCTAGCCAATCTCCTTTCCTTTGATAAACTAGTCATACTATTCGATCTTGAAAGGCCAGCGATTTCTCTTCTAGGAGTAAAATTCTCACCATTTGGGAATTGAAAACTTCTCATCATTTTTCTTCTTTGTATTTGATATGGAGTGAGTTGTTTATGTTGATGTGGTGAATGCAAATGCTGATGCGATGATATATTTGGATTATTATTATTGCTGTTATTATTATTATTATTATTGTTGTTGTTGTTATTATAATTATTATTATTATTATTATTGATGTTATTAATGTTGTTGTTTTTGTTGATGGAGGGGGAGTTTGACGAAGGTGGATCGGATATTAGTGGTAAATTTATACTTGTGCCAACGTTAGGAATTGACAATGGGTAAGGATTTTCACCAGGGGAATTTGGTCTTTTCTTTACAGAACTTCCTCTATTTAAATAATGTTGCTGTGGGAGTCTATAAAGATCAGATACTGAATCTGACCTTGCCCCTAAGGAAGTGACACTTGCATTAGAAGAATTGTGTAAAGAGTAAAAATTATTTTTCTTACTAATCCCAACCTCTTTCAATGTATCACGATGGTGAGTGTATTGATTTTGCATATTCTGCAGTCAGTGATCTGTCTGTTACTACGAAAAGGTCACAAAGTTTCTATTATTGTTATTATTTTCAATTCTGAGAGTCGTCCTTCCTCTTTGAAATGTTAAAAAATTGAAAAAATCGTAAAATGAAAAAAAATATATATATATAATTGAAGAATTGTTAGTATGCCTATTTTTATTTTGTAACACTGATATAGAGAACAGGAGAGAATAATTAGGAAGGAGAGAAAAATGGAAATGGCGGCAACACTACTGAATCGGTCAATATAGCTTATGTAAGTATCTAAGTCAAACTGATCCAGAGTAGTTTGTTAAGATGAATCAAAATAACGTATAAAATGGGGGAAGGGACGATAATAAAGAGCAGCCAAAAAGAAAGTAGGAGCTTGAAAGAGATATGAAATGTACAATGGTATTTCCCAGACTCACTTTAACGCAATACTTTGTCGATGAATGGAATAGTTAAAAAGAGATGAGATGAGATGAGATGAGATGAGATGAGATGAGATGAGACGAAAGCTCGGAAAACTCAGGAATAACTAAAGATCAACTTTCTAAAACACAAAATATTGGCGTTAGTTGCCTAAACTTCAAATTGTATGAATCTTTGTAATTGAAATTCTTTATTGTCTAGACTCAATTTTCCAGTTCGTTTTCTAATTTGAAAGAACCCTTGACTATATAAATCAAAGTTGAAACTAACCTGCCACAATTGCAAGTATGTGTGAAAAGCCTTGTTGGGTTTAGAAGTGCCATGTGAGGTAACTCAAGATGAAGATCAATTTTCACTTATGGTAATATTTGTAATCTCATTTTTATTTTTACTTTAATAAATTACATTTTTACTTTGTTTCTTTTTTTTTTTTTTTGCATTTGGTAGTGTTTTCGAAATACAAACCTTTCATACCAGGCATCTCGTTAGCATGCCATTTCCAGGTCCCAAACAGTAATCATACCCACCAACATCTCTCTCCAGATGTGATAGCAGAGGTGGTTATTACTTCAGTAGCAACATTTTATTTTTTGATTCTATTTTATTCTGTTCTGTGTCTTCGTCCTTGCAGAGATATATGCCACCGCTCCCTTCTTATTCTGCTGGTATTAAACTCCTACCAGCTATGATTGAAACAGTAACACATACAAGATATTTCCATTCCATCTGTTTCGGTTGAATGTCGTCAGCTCATCTACGAAGAAACCATTTGAATTAGATCCACCCTTCCTGCCCTCCTTCCAATTGCTGTTGACTTTAGAAACAAAGAGAGAGAAACAATTTCAGATCCGAACCAAAATATGATATGGTGAAACAAGTTCAGAAAACAGAGAGAGAGGGAGAGGGGGGTGTGGGTAAAAACGAAGATATGTTGCAACCTCCCTTGGGTGTTCAGAGAGACATTTCAACTAATATAAGCTTGCCTGAAGGCCCAGTCAGCATACAATCAGATTGATAATATGGAACACTATTTCAAAAAGAAAAAGAAAAAGAAACGTAAAAAGAAACGTAAAAAGAATACTCATAGACGGGAACGTCATCGGCGGTTGCAGTCCAAATCGGGAACTTTTTCGCATTCTTTAGGTGGCTGCGTTTCTTTTTCATATATTTTTTTCGAAACGAGATCTAGAAACATTCGCAAAGGGAAAGTCAGCGGGTTTTGTTTCGCTTAGGCGCCAGACAAACCTAGCAGTAGATCAAAGGAGAGAGTTGCCGATGTGTGGGATTCCCCCAAAATCACGGGTATGCAACAGTCATCGTATACGATATACAAATTTATATATATCTATGATTGAGGGCTTTTAAGATTTAACTAATAGGTTGATGATTTATTTGTTTAAACTCAACTAGCTTACCAATCTCTACCAAGCAACTAGTTGACTCATTCGAATCTCAGCAGTGGCAAGTTGTTTAGTTTCATTAGTGCATTAGTTGAGGATGCAACCCCTCTTGCCGAGTGAAAGATTCCCTCCCATACGACGTAAAAGAAGTAATTGAGATACAATGGAGGCGGATGCTTATTGTAGATACTGTTCTTATGCTGGGGATCAAACGATTAAGCAATCTAGGTGGATTTTACTATTTTACGTAACCTGTTAATTGTGTTGAATCATTTTAAAAATTTCTTTTCCATCAATAATTATCGTTGTTTCCAATCTGTCTTGGCTTTTCTTGGCTTGTGAAATCTGATTAAGCTGTGAAGTAATGAGATGATTAATGTCTTATAGATTAAATTATTTAGTAGAGAGAAAGAAAAAAAATTAATTATAACTATGTCGTGGTCCCATTTTCTCTTCTTGAAATGGGAAGGTTAGGTTGAATAAAGTTAAGTTTTAAAAATCAGAAAGGATAAAACGTATATTGGAAAAAAAATATTATAATGTACACTGCAGTCAAAATACTGACAATTAGAAATGCAAAAATAAAATAATTTAAGACTTATTACAGGCATATTCATTGCAATTAATAATTTATAGTCAAAAATTGTTCTTAAAATGGAATAAATTTATGAGGAGGGGGAGAGAGGGGAAGATATATGCCGTTTAAAGATCATCATTTATTCTGTCTTTTACCTTGATACTTATTTATCCCCTTTCGGTATGGTATTGTTAATGTTCTTGATCATGAGAATTTTTTTATAGAAAAATAATAGGCTTTTCACAAGCTGTTACTTTCTCTGTCGTATGACTTTACAGTAATATTCCCTGTAGATTTAGTATGAGATTTAGATAATTCATTATCTTCAGATATTTCATGGAAATCAATGATTGGTTCTTCTGATTCATCCTCTTCACCACCTTCTAATTGTACCTCTCCTGAACTGTAAATTAATTTATTTTCCCAATATTGAACGAAATGGTATAGTGAAATTATACCTGTGATTGTACCCATTTTGATGCATGATTTCTTGTACGTCCTACCAATGGCAGTTTCAGAATTATATAATCTAATACTGGATAATCTGAAAGCAAGGACACCTAATGACGTAACGATACCTGCACCTGGGGCCACAACGAATGCACCAAAGGTACTCCAATCATCAACATATAAACCATTTGAGATGATTAATAATTTACCACCTTCTTTTGCTGAATGGTAATAAATTGAACCAAAGATGAAGACACCTAAAATACCACCAACACCGCCACTAATGACTTCCCATGCGGTCCAAATGTTGTCCATCTTAGACCATAGACCAATGACTAGAACAGGAACGACACTACTTGATAATAAATCGACGATCAAATAGATGGTTAAAACGTCTTGTGCGATTAAACCCACGACAACGACAGGAACCATGATTGCGATGACGATACCACGAACTATTAAAATTGGTAATTTATTTCTAAAGATATCGTTTGAGACAGTGGATACTAGAGCACTTTGTAGGGAATCTAAAGTACATGTGGATAGTACCAAAATAAAAACTAGAGTAAAGCCCATGACCCAGGAAGGTAATTGGGCCAATAGTATGAAGAAAGCTGCACCAGAGTTTTCTTGATCAGCGACGGAAACGAAACCAGCCCATACTGCGATGAAACCAGTGACACCTACCACGGTGACGAATGCAACTAAAATAAAACAAGCGATAGAACAGCCGATTAATAAATCTTTATTTGAACGAGCGGCAAAAGTACGTAACCAAAAGCCACTCATGAATAGGTCATTAGTGAAGACTGCGACAGGTAAGATGTAAACCAATTGCCAACCTAATTTATTTGCCTTTAATAAACCAGAAGGACCAATCAATGATTTGTCGATATCTACGTAACTACCCATTGCACATGCTACGATGATCAGCAAAATGAATACGATACTCACTTGGATTGTATCAGTAAGAAAGGAAATATTAAACCCACCAATACTAGTATAGATAGAAGTAACGACACATTCTATGATAATAACTGGTAAAGCGTTTATACCTGTTAAAGTTTCTATAGCGTATTTCAAAGAAGCGACTTCTGAGACTAAAAAAAGATAGACAGTTAAGATGGTACAAGCGCTTAAATACCAACCAGCTAGTAAACCGAATCTATGGAATACCCATTCAGTTAAAACGAAACCATTTGGAGTCTTTTTTCTAATAAGTGGACCCAAGAAAGCGAATAAAAACATTGGTAAACCACCGGATAAAGCATATACCAATAAACCATGAAGACCATCGATGTTAGCAATTTGTGGATACGATGATAAAACACCACAACCTAAACCTGAAGCAACGAAATTGAAAGCTAATGGGAGACCTTTTTGAGTACCATTTGCAGATAAGAAATTCTTAGAAGATCTAGTCCAATATGCCACAGCTGAAGCGGTAATTAATAGTATACCGTAAGTGGGCCAAATGATGGCATGAGTGGCTTGAAAGGACAGGGAACCCATTGTTCATATATATATATATATGTGTGTATGTATGTGTATATTGTTTAGATGTCTTAAAACCAGCAGAAGACAGAAACAGTATTGATAGCAAAATAAACCTTGAATTGAATTGAAGTGAATGATTAAATTCTTAAATCGAAATACAATGTAGTATATATATATGTGTGTGAGTGTGGAAGTGAATGCGAGAGAGAGATTGTGTCTGTGTATATGTATATGAATATATCTGAAATAATGAATAGGAGACAACAATGGCAATTTAACCAAACTAGTAAGGCTGATTAATCTAGTAGAAGACCAAATAAAGTAGATGAGGTGAGATGAGGTGGTAAGATATTATATTATATTATATGATGTGATATGATAATATATTAAATATAAGAAGAAATTTTTTTTTTTATCTGCTTATTCAAATTGTATGCATCTAAAGTACAACAAAAGAATCAAAACCAAAATCTTACAACTTAGATCACATAAAATCTATTATTATAATAGCAATAATATACCATAACTTAGCTTAACATTGCATTAAAAATAATAACTCGTTTCGAAATAACATAAAATTCTTGACACTTTAACGTAGAAAGAGAGAGAGAGAGTAGCGATGGGCTTAATCATAAGAAGCCAAATGGCTAAAAGCACGATAATACAACAGTAGCTGTAATAGTCGACTCGATTATTTCGAAATTGATAATGGTTGAAAAGACCATACTAAGACATCGATTTCTGTTTGCTGTAAAGTAGTGTCCTGTCCGAATCGAATCGAATCGAATCGAATTGAACTGAACTGAATTGAGTTGGATGGTGTTAAATTCGAAATAATCGTACTATGAGTCTTTATGGGATATGTATTTTCAATGCAATTTGGGCGATGCGTTTATGTGTAAAATCAAGATATGCAAATTTGCCGGATCATTGAAGATGCAGAGGATCACATGACCAGACACAGGACGAAAATGTAATTAATGTGTTGTTAATTGCTGAGGGTAAGTTGTGTCCGACTGAGTAGAGGAGATAAGGAAGAGAGATAAGATAAGATAAGATAAGGTATCATAAGACCAGTTTGACGTTGGATGATCGATGATGAGATAGGAACGGAACACAAGGAAGTCAGGTGCGTTTTGATCACGTATAAGCAGGTGGGAATTGGTTTGAAGTATGTCCGTGTGACAGCAACGACACAATTGCTTGTCTATCTGCTAGTAGGTTCGGTGTCTAATTAATATTATTGTATTTTCCATTATATATATATATATATACTATTTATATGTACAACACTAACCAAAAGTATACTCTCTGTCAATTTTTGTCATGTTATTAACTCGAGAGTTCTTCAATAGTGTGTGGCGGTTTGTTTTGCTATATATGAATTATTTATCTTTAATTCTTGACTATCTTGTATGCAATGCAACTGTTACTTCAATGGATAGATGTAATCCAACTATTTAGTCAGCGGATTCCACAGTGCTATCTTCATTTGTAACTGAGCTGTTTCTTTGTATTGTATTGTTTCGTTCTGTTTTGTTCTGTTCTGTTCTGTTCTGTTCTGTTCGAATGACAATAGAGAAAAGAAAACAAAATCTTCCATTTATTATTCAATCTTCTTCTTCTTCTTCTTCTTCCTCTTCGTCTCCCCTCTCAGTAGGCTGCTCTCCACAAATATGTTCCCTCAAGAAATCAAATTTCTCATCCTGGAGTATCGTTTGCTTCATAACTTCCCCACTTATCCTCTTACACTCCATCTCCTTCGCAACATCATAACTTTTCTTCACCAATAATGCAAGAAAGAACTCTAACGACCTACCTGCAATCACCGGCGTGGCTTGTGATACTTTACCAATGTCATCATCGGTCTGTATTATCTTCTTGACTTTGGCAGGTGGGAAATGTGTCTTGATCTTATCAAATACCTCACCCAATTCTTTCAATTCTTCTTCGGAAATAACTTGTTCAGGTTGGTGTGGATGAGTTTCATCACTTAAAAATCCAGAAGTATCCATCTTTTCAATTATATATAATATACCTGCTAAAAAAAATACAATAACAATAACAACACAATCTCTGTTTAACCTTAAAGACCCTGACCTTGACCTAAAACCTTTGCTTGTTCCTCTTCTAGATCTGATCTATTTAACCTTTCTATACAAATTCAATCAATGTCTTTTGTTTGTTTGTTTGTTTGTTTGTTTGTTTGTATTATTTTTTTTGGAAGAATTCCACTTACTCTTTTTATATCCTTTGCTTCTTCTATTCACTACATCATTTCTTGCAATTGTTTGAAAAAAAAAAAAAAAAAAAAAAAAAAAAATTTTTTCAGTTAAGAAACACATACACACAATGCATTTATATATATCGACTGGCTAATTCTACATGATAGGTTTTGATCAATTGCAAACACTACCAGTTCAATACATATCTAAAAGGTACTGTTGCTTAAACTCTTGCTCGCTATCAAGTGTCCATTCTTTCTATATTATTATTGATATCTATTTCTTTCTCGCTATACACAGTATATAAAGAATAAGTGAAATTGAAAAACCACTTTCTTGATAGTTTATATATATATATGATATGATATTGTATACTTGTTTCATAATTAGAAAACTTGAATCAACCTACATTGAAAAAATAAGTTTCCCCAAATGGAGGACGGAAAGGGAAGTTTCCCTTTTGTCCCACATTATTTTATTTTTTAAACCTTTTCATACAATTAAGTATCTAATTGGAATATGAATCAATTTAATGGCATAACCAATGATACCAACAGCTAAGAAACCAATACCGACAGCTTTGACAATCTTTGTGTATTCTTTTAAATCAGGTTTCTTACATTTCTGTAAAAATTGAGTACCTTCTCTAACAAATTCCAATGGGGATTCTGCCAATTTTTCAACTGGGTTGCTACTTGTTTCTTTATCCTTAGACATCCTAAATTTAGTTTGATCTTGATTCTATCCTTTCCCCAAAACAAAAACACTTATGGAGAATCTCTCCAATCTCAATTGATAAACCCAAAGCCCAAAAACTGCAAAAAAACAAAACTCAAAATAATCAATCATTTATATTCTTGTCATTGTTTTTATTAAACTTATAAAAAAAACTTCTCTTCTTGTTGAGCTAATTTTCACAAAATAAAAATTTGAAATTGACTGTTCAAATCAATGACCAAAAGAGGGTACCCCAAAAACCGGAAATATTTCAGGGAGGGGTCATCCTTTCATTTATTGGCTAACAAACAGTCAACCAACTATCTGGTCTTTAATAATTACCTCTGGTATAACCCGTAAAATAGAATGGTATATTTTAGAGGTAAGTTTTGATTTGAATGAAGCGCCAAAACCTTCTTTTTCCTTAAAAAACACAAATTCCGTCCAAAAGAGATTTTAACAAGAAAATTTTTTTTTTAATTGGCAAATTAGAAATAAATAGGCCTATTTGGTTTTCACTTTTTTTTTTC